ATATCGGGCTTTTGCACGATATTTATTGTTGGGGCCGACTTTCGGTAACAGACTTTTTTAATGTTTTATAATTGTGTAGTAATTAGTTGTGTTCTTCGCGTACCTAAAAATTTTAGATACAATTTGTGAGCAATTTTCTATGTTTTTCTTATTTTCTAGACATCGTAATTGAAAAGTTACTTTTAATAAATGAGAGTATGACGAAAGGAATTTTGATATTATTCCTCCTTCAGTAATGTTTTTTCTTTCTTATTTAAGTACATCATCAATAGTTCAATTTTTTGCGTTGAACGAATATTTACTATTTACTTAACAAAAATGAAATGGAAATGTTAAAAAAAAGAAAAGTAAAAAACTTACTAACAATAAATAACTAACTGATAATGAAACTTCTGAATTTATTTGAAGAAACTAAAAGCAAAACTAGTTATTGTTTAATTATCTATTCATAAATAAGACGATACTAAGAATTATATTTCGAATGAAAAGCATTAAATGGGATTATGAGAAAGAGAAAAGTATGCAATGATTGACACATAAATATGTATGTAAGAATAAAGAAACTATTACTGTGGATTATCTTAATGAATATCCGAAAGAAAATAAATGAATAAAAATATGATTGCATAATAAGGTATGTAAGTAGCAGAGTCAACAAGATATGGTAATAACAAAAAAATCGTTATTTAATCCAAGAAGATGAAGAATACTTAGAAGTGTAGAATTTTTATCAACAATGTTATCAAGTTATAATAGAATAAAGTATCCAACATAGCTCTATTCGTACATACATACATACATACATGCATACATCAACTACTAGTTATACTTAGATGAAAATGATACATAAATGTTACTTAATGGGAAGAAATTGTACTTTTTTAAAACTAATTAAAGTTCAACACTTTAAAAAAACAAATATCGTAAAACAAATGTAACAAAATGTTACATATCCGAGTAATAAATTAAATGAAACTCAATTTCATGTTCATCCTTCCATCCTCTCTTCTAGCTTCCCTTCTAAAAAATTAAAAATTTCCTTAAAGTTAATATATAAAAAGGTAATACAAAAGGAAACCCATTTGATGATATAAAAATTTCATAGTAAAGGAAAAAAATAAAGAAGAAATTTGAAACAAGAAAAGATGTTGCTTTAATTGTATTATTTTTAAGCGAAAAATCATCAAAACTCAATAGCCAGCAGCGCATATCTGCGTGCGTAAATTAAACAAAATTTCATTAAATTTGGTCACTCCTCATTGCATAATCTAATCAAAACTTCAATTCATATTTCACACGTGTTTTACATTTCAAACGTACTTTAATATTTATTATTAAAACCACACGGTCACACCGATCTGTTTATAATTTTAGAATGATGATGATAAAGGTTTAAGCAAAAATTAAAAGTAAACATTTATAGGTTTCTTGGCTATTAGGTTAGTATAAAAATCAATTTAATTCTGCGTATTATCATCATTCTACGACTGACAATCATGGATTTAGTAACGAACATTTTTATAATTCTTTCTATAGTAACATTGGGTATTGTTTCAAAACATCAAGTCAACGGAGCGCCGACCAACATTTCTGCTGATTTCTCGAGCGCTTTGTTTACTTTCATACGGTCGCTATTTGGATTGCCAGCTTTAGACACCGAAAGTTTTTTTGCAAACTAAAAGCAAAAACAAATAATTTACCTAAGTGCATAAATTAATAAATGACAGAATATTAAAATCTCATAACTTTTTATTTTGATAAATTTGAAAATGTTCAAATTGATATATTTCAATTACAGCTGACAAGTGAAACCGGAAATGGTTGTTATTCTTATCTTTCCACGATATCTAACTTTTTTTGTTAATAATTTGATTTGATTTTGATCCCAGATTAACTGATATTAGATTTTCAGTTAAAGATATAAAAGCAGTGACGACGATATTCATTCTTCCATTTCCATATACATATTGCAAAATCTTTACAAATTTAACCGATACTGCCTACGCCTTTTACTTTCCGGCTTAGATTTTTAATTACTCATAAATCAATAAAATAAATAAAACAGAAATCTTAAAATTTTCCTTAGTCTTTTTAAGTTAGTGATTCAATTAGAATGAACTTTCCTTCAGTTCTTGCAATATTTTTAAGTTTCTTTTGTCTAACTTTTGCCCAATTGAATTTAGGAGACAATAACATAGAGAACGAAGAGTCAAGCAAAGAGAAATTTAATGATTTAACTGTTGATTGTTCAGGCGTGGATGATTTTACTTTATTACCAAGTCCAAATCTCTGCACTGAATATTATCAATGCATTGGTGAGGTAGCTTGGAGAATAGTATGCCCTAGAGGATATTACTTTAGCATAGACGTGTCCCGTTGTCTTCCCGTAAGCCAAGCAATTTGTTACATTTATCAAACAACGACTCCACCAGGAGGTGGAAGTTGTGACGGTGTTGAAAATTTTGACTTGATTCCAAGTCCAAATTATTGTACCGAATACTATCAATGCATAGATGGAGTAGCGTGGAGAATGGTCTGTCCAAGAGGATTTTATTTCAGCATTGATATTTTTGAATGTCTTCCAGCTAGTCAGGCAGTCTGCTTTATCCCATCACCATCAGAAAGTCAAACAACAGTGTCAGATCGATCGAATCCATCTTGTGACGGTGTAAATAATTTTGCTTACATAGCAAGTTCTACAGCATGTAATGAATATTATCAATGCATTGATGGGAATGCCTTTCGTTTATGGTGCCCACTCAATCAATATTTCGACAAATATCGTCAAATATGTGATGATCGGGACAATGTGAATTGTGATTTGTCAATTACTTCGCCAATACCAACACCACGTCCACCACCCCGTTCATGCCATGATGTAGCAGATTCTACGTTACTTCGCAGTTTTTTCAATTGTGCAGAGTACTACATGTGTGTAAATGGAGAAGCATTTCGTCTACAATGTCTACCAGGAATGTATTTCGATGAGAGAATACAAGCATGCAACTATATTTTCTTAGTTGAATGCGATTTAAAATTACCAGATCCAACAACCACAACTTCAATTACACCTCCAGACTCTATCGATTGCGATGGCCTTCCAGATTTTTGGATGATTGAACATCCAACAGATTGTGCTTTATTTTTTCAGTGTGTTCAAGGAAGATCGTCACTTTTGTCTTGTCCTATTGGTAGATATTTCGATCAGATGATTCAATCATGTGCTGATTCAAATCTTGTTGATTGTGGTATCAGAGAAAGACGAACAACATCTACTACAAGACTAACCATACCAACAGTTCCAACTATCCCAACGGTTCCAACCATCGATCCTATTAACATTTGCGATGATGTCCCAAACGAAAGCTACGTTGGAAGTCTCACGTGAGGCTTTTCTTCTTTTAATAATAATTCTGTACGATATGGAAACTTTAAGTAATAATAAAATACTTCTCATGGCAGATTTTGTGAGGTTTACTACTTCTGTTTCAATGGCTTTCCAACTCCAAACACATGCGCACCTGGTTTTTGGTTTGATCGCCAATCGCTTGTTTGTGCTCCGGCAGATGAAGTTGATTGTACACTTCAGACGATTCCCACCACAACAGAACAAACCACAACAATCGATAGCTCTCCTGAAGGTGAAAACTTTTATTATTAAATAATTTATTTGATGTTTTAAAAAGTTTTTCTAATAGGCTTATGTCGAAGTGCTAGAAATTCAACATTTGTTAGAAATTTGAAGGCATGTGGTGAATTCTTCCAATGCATTAATCTACATCCACAAGAACGCATTTGTCAAGAAGGTCTTTGGTTTAATTACAACCAGCAAAGGCATGCAACTTTTAATGTTAATCATAAGAAAATTTTCATTGAAGTTGTTTGATTTCATTTTAAGGTGCGCCCCCACATATGAAACTTGGTGTGAATTAGATCCAATCATTTGTGAAGGAATTGAAGATGGCCGATCAATTCGTGCGCCAAGATCATGTAGCGAGTATGTTACGTGTATTAGAGGAATTCCATTTGCGGAACGTTGTTTCGGCGATTTCTTTTTCAATGAAGAAATTGAAGATTGTGAGCCACGAGAAAATGTTGAATGTGATTTGAATATTCCAGTGATACCTCCTACGAGACCTTGTGATGGAATTCCTGATTTTATGCTCTCAAAAAGTATTGAAAGTTGCACAACATACTTCTTATGCTATAATAACGACATACTTATGACTCTTGAGTGTCCCGAAGGTCAAAACTTTGATGCGCGAACACAAGTTTGTGGTGAAGAATTTGAATGTAACATTAACTAATTTGAAATTTTATTACCAATTAAGATTTTATATCTTTTGAGTTTGCTTAAAGTTGAAATGATAAATAAATTTTTTTCTTACTCAGACTAATCCGGACCATTTATTTCGTACTTAATTTTTTTTAAATTTATTATTTCACTTTTGGTTTCATTACAATTACTTTCTGAATATAAAATTCTTTCCAATTTTATCCAAACTTTTTCTTCTTGGATTAATAATGTCTCCTTGATCCTCACTCGATTCATCTTGTTCATTAGCTTGAGCGTTGCTTTCATGATTAACAATTATCTCTGCCAAATTCATAAAAACATTTTCGTCATCATATTCTTTGATTTCATATAAGTCAATATTCTCATTCTTTCGCTCCTCCTCGTTCATAAAATCTACCTCATCTATTGGATGCTCTTCTCCATTTGCTAAATGAATATGAAGCTCGTCTTGTTCAGACATGCTGTCATCAACGTCGGTGTCATCAACAATATCTTCTTCAACTTTTGGATGCTAATGTTTTTGTCATAATTCTAACACTAATTTTATTTCTTACCTTCTTGAAAGTTGTTTTCGTCATCTCCTAATCCAGAAATTCTCTCATTAATCTCTTCTTTCGCTTGACTCAAAAAATTGTCATCATCTTCAGAACCTTCATTAATGCTTGAACTGTCAATTGCTATTAAAACAAATTTATTTTACATAACTCTCAAGTTTAAATAAAAAAATCAAACCCAATGCAATCCCCAGGCAAAGTGTCAAAAAAATTGTTTTTGTCTTCATGTTACAAGTTTTCAAATCTACGCTGAAAATTCCGAAAAATTAATGCTACAAAATCAAACTAAATTATTCTTTTATAGAATTTTCCTGAGCTAAAACGTGATTCTTATAAAGAAAGAAAAATTCATTCACGACATCAGAAAATGCTTATAAAAATATTTTTGATTATCAAGTCAGGAAAAATTCATAAATCTTTTTTTTATTTTTTTGAGTCATCAACATATAGATATACTGAAACGGAAATGCTTGGCAGAAGTTAAAGATTAATAAAATCATCTAAATTACTCTAGAAACGTACTCTTTATCATTGATAATAGGCACTTGTCGAGTGGAAGGCTTTATAACGATAAGATTAAATTCACTTCAAGAATTTTATAATCAGTTGGTTAAAAATATATTTAAAAGAACTTCAAACTAATTCATTTCGGATTTTCCATTGGGACTACAAGGTCTAGCAATCCATCAGAATTAAAAATGAAAGTAATTTTATTTGTTGTGTTAGCAGTTTTGACCAATCAGGTGGATAAGAAGGAAAAAATGTATTATGAAATTGAAACTAATGCAAAATTATGTTTAGGCTACAACTCAACGTTCGGAATTCGTCGACTATCTTCTGCAATTGCAATACATTACAGATCCACTTCATGATTATATAACAAGTTTCTATGCTCAAGCTAGGGCATCGTTAAGTGAACAACTTACAGGATTAAATGATGATTCCGTTCATGAGATTACTGAAGGTATTTTTTAACCCTTAATTAATCTTAATTAATATTCTTGTAAATTGATTGATTTCTCATTAATTGTGTAAAGGTCTTAGAACAGTCATAGCGATTCGGGACAGAACTGAAGAACTAATTGGAGAAAGCTCAACACCAGAAAACGAAGAATGTGTTAATAATGCTATTTCAGGATGGGCAAATGATTTAGAAAATGTTGGAAATGACATTAATCAATGCGCTGATCAACATGTCGCTGAGATATACGATCAAACAGAAAGCTTGCATTTGTTCATCCAACAAAACAATAGACTGGCGTTTGATGTTCAAAATATGGTTCTGAATACTTTCACAAGAGTAATTATTAGAAAAAAGTTTATTAAAATTTTTAAAGCAGCAGAAAATTTTATTTTATATAGTTAAATCCCATGACAGATGTTGATGAAATCACGCCGTCTGTTGAAGCAGAATTTGATGAGATCCAAAGAGAATTTGACAACGACGTTAGACCGGAAATCGACAATCGTCTTAGAGATATCTCAAATTTGAGGGTTTTAGTTCCAAATGATATCCATACATGTGTTGATGAAAGCATTGTTCGGTATATGATAAGATAACTCACACACATAAATTGTTCCTTCAAGTGCTATTTTCTAATTGCAGATTTAATCAAGTCGCTGAAACTATTCTGGGTAATGTCGGTGCATGTTGATTTGGTGTTTTTTCTTCATGTTTTGTTCTAAATGTAAAAGTGGAATAAAACAGAATTTCTGAAAATAAAAAATACTTTTTCAACTATGTATTTGCGAGTGGCAATTTAATAACTGCGTCATTGTTTTCATAAAACTGGTCATAATCAAGACTCTTCTTATGCAACATAGTCATAAATATTATGCAAACATAAGGTGTCATAACCAAAATGTTATAATATGAGCGCACCCGTTTGCATTTTTCTACATTTTTTGAGTCATTTCTCATATTTCATTTTATTCATTCGCTCAAGTATCAAGAACAGTTTTTCGTATTTTGCGATTAAATCTTTTAAGATGAGTATCAAGTTTTCAAGCTTCTTGTTAGTCTGGTTTTTCTGTGGTTCTGTTAGGAGTTGGAGTTTAGCTTCATTAAATATAACAGCTTCAAATTGTTCTATCATAAATGTATCAGTTTACTATGGACGAGCATTTCTCTGTCTGAAACATTCAGTGGATCAAACTTTGCCTACATTAATTGAAGCTTCATGGCCTGAAAATATAATTGGCGTGAAAACAAAAATATTTCCAAGTGATGTGGTTTATTTGAAAAGATATGGAAAATGCAAAGGAATAAAACAAGCACAGTCAACAGACATCGACTCGAATGGAAGACTGTGGATGATTGACAATGGAAATGAGATTTGTTCTGCGAAACTTATCGTTTATGATCTTTTATACTTTAATGATGAAGTATGCGAGTTTTAATCCTTATTTGATTTATTTATTCTTATACTTCGTACTTAAAGGTTCACTTTCAAGCATTTGGAGGTTTAAAAGGGAAAAGATTTGCTAAAATTATTGTTGATCCAATCCAGTCAGCAAATGGTGATGTGAGGGTATATCTTAGCACTTCTGAAGATGACTATTTATATGTTTATTCGTTGAACGAAAGGAAATTAGGGAAAATAAAATTTACGTGAGTAGAAAATTTGAATACGGTATAAAAACTTTCAAAATTTAAAATATATTTAAGGAATAATTACATTCAGCCTTCAAAATCTTTGTCATTCTCGGAGATGGTGCTGTCACATAAATTGGATATGATGTACATTTCCGACACAACAACAGGAAATTTATATTCTTTAAATTTAACACCTTTACGTTTTTTGAATTTCTCTATGATGGACTCCAAGAAAATTTCGATTCGAAGTCCACTGACATACATTGGATCTCTTCTGGGACCACCAAAGGCATTGACCATAAATCCAAAAGGAATCATGTTCTACATCATACCAAGATTTTCCACAGTAGTCACTTGGGACCCAAAGACTCCTTTAACAGCTGAATGGCACGAAGTGATTTATCAATCAAACGGAAACTTAAGCCAACTTTTGTGTGGACAAAAAGGCAGTGTCTACGTCATAAGTGAGAAGAAAGTGAAGACTGGAAGAGATGGTAGAGAAAAGCATGCAATAAAAATTCATATGGAATAAATTTATGTATATTTATTTAACAAACAATTATTAACGTGTAGAAAATTCAGGAAATATTTATCACGACCCTTCACATGCTGTAATCTCACATTGGATAGTAATTTTTCCGAAAAGCGCCATAAGTGATGAAATTTGGCCGTTTTCTTCGGTGCTATATTTTTCATCAATGCATTCATTGTTTGTGAAATCAATGTACTTCGATCCAACGAGACGTTTCAAGATTTTCGGATCAATGTTTTCCACTTTATTTTGATTTACTGAGAAGCTGTAGATTTTGTTCGTCACTGGTAGCCAATCGGAGAGAACCGTTTTGATTTGGTTGTTTGTGAGATATAAAAATTTGAGATTAGCATTTCTATCAAAAATCATTGATGGAAGTGATTCGATGTTGTTGTTTGACAAATCTAAGAACTCCAATTGTTTTAAGTTACTAAATGATCCATTTTCGATTGAAGTTATGTCATTTCCAAGTATGATTAATTCTTTCAAAGAAACAAGATCAGAGAAATCGTTTTCATTTATCTTTCCGAGGAATGTATTCTTCAGAACAAGTTTTTTAAGATTAGGGAAATGGCTTCCAATTCCAATCGGAATGAGTTTGACAAGTTTATCAGAGACATCCAAACTTGTAACATCGACATTTCTCTTGCCTCTTGCGTGATCACCTTTGACATCTTGAATTGTTGTATTTTCGAAAAGAACTTGCAATTTTACAGCTTCACATGAATAATACAAAGGTAAGGTATTCGTGAAATTACATTCCAAGTTTATATTTGATTGTCTGTTGCTGTTCTCGCATGTCATTCTAAGTTGCTGATTTTCATTCTCAAGGATTATTAATTCATTTTTGAGTTTGCGATTGGAATGTTTCTCATAACTCAAGTTATTTCTCATTCTATGCAAGGTTTTATTTAAGGAAGAAATTTTATCCTCCGAATTTACCAAAAAATTGCGTAGTTTTGTATTTTCTTTGTTCATGCTGATAATAATCGATCTGCTTACAAGCATTGATGATGCTTGATCACCTTTACAGATGTTGTTCAAGTTATTGCATTTATTTAGTTGTGATTTAAGCACTTCAATCGGTGAACACTGGTTTTGAAGCGCAATTTTAATTTCTTCTTGCGAATTTGGTCCAAACATTGTATCAATGCATTTGTTATGACCTAAGTGAAGTTCCTTTAATTCTTCCAATCTTTCAAAAGTAGTTTCGTCGATTGATATGATATCATTTTCCTTTAAGTTAAGAAATTCGAGTTGGAGATTATTTTTGAAAGTATTTTTGTCAAGTTTTGTGAGATGGTTACGAGCGAGATTGAGAGTTACGAGATTTGGAAAATTCCAAAATGCTTTATGACTAATACAAATCAGTTTGTTCTCATCAAGGTGCAAGCTTTTTAATGAACCAATTTTTAAGTCTCCCAGATACTCAAGTTTATTTCCGCTTAAATTTAACTCTTCTAGCGACAATAAATCGTCAAACATTTTTTCAGGAAGTAGTTGTAAATTGTTATCACTCAAATCTAAATTATTAAGGAAAGGCATATCTTTGAATGCTTCAGGATGAATATAAGATAACGTAGAATTTGACGCTGACAGCTCCTTGAGACTAGGAAATGTTTGACCAATATCATTAGGAAAATTGTTAAGTTTATTGTCATTGAGTATCATTCGCTTAACTCGACGATTTTCTGGTTGATCTTTAATTACAAAAGGTTTTGTTTCGACGACATCTTCCAAGGAGCAAGTGAATAAGTTTGATTTTGAAAAATCTGAGTATGTTTCATCATATTTGCATGGTTTTCTCTCCACTTCGTAATATTTCTGCATATCAAGATTGGGATCAGCTCTAAACTGATCGTTTTCGTTCTCAAATAAGCTCTGTGGTGCAAGCGAACTCGTTTCTTGAACAAATGGTTTACTGTGATCAATAAAATTTGGATAAATGTCGTTTTGACATTGACGAAGAATTTTAAATTTCATTGCTGAAAATGTTAATGATGTGAACACTTCAGATATGCAAACATTTTCAATTAAATCAATTTCCTTCAAATTTGGAAGCATATCGAATGCGTTTGGATGAATGATTTTGATTGCATTTCCAGCTAAGTTTAATATTTCCATCTCACCGTTTCCTTCAAAATTATGTGGTCCAATTGAGCTTATTTTATTCCCATTAAATGATAAAACTTTGAGATTACTTAAGTTTTCTAGTATTTCTGGTGACAACGATTCAAGTCGATTTCGATCAGCTTTTAATATTTCCAAAGTCTTTGGCAAACTCCGTTTTGCAATATTTTTGATTTGATTATAACTCAAATCGAGTTCCTTAAGTGAATTTAAGTTGTCAAAAGTACCACTGTCGATATTTTCAATTTTATTGTTTGATAAATCAATAAATTGAAGTTTATTTAAGTCATTAAAATTTTGTGGCTCAACCGACAAAATTGAAGAATTTCGAGCAGAAAATTTTAAAAGTTCTGGAAAAGTTTTTCCGATATTCCTTGGCAAAGTTTTCATATTTTTCTGATTGTCAATTTGAATTCCTTGAACATAAATTAAATCTGTAGAATGTTCAAATTCCATGTTGGGATGATAGTTGACTTGTAGTTTTAATACACAATTATAAATTATGACATCATTCCATTTAATATAATCGAAATTGCATGACAACTTCTGGTCACGGCCCGTCTCTTGAACATAAGTTTTGGGAATGCTTGGCTTCGTGTCAGATCTGAAGATTTTGTTTTCAACAATCTCTGCTACTTGCTGGCATCTTCTCATAATAGCAAACTGAATTTGAGAAATATTATTTCGATCAAAATTTTCATTAATACAATCATTTCCTTCCAACCAAATTTGTTTCAAAAGTGGGAGATTGTCAAATATTCGTGGATGTAAAGCCTTCAAATTGTTGTCCTTAAGCCAAACATGCTCGAGTTTGGAATTGTATTTAAAAATTGGAGAATCGATTTTATTAATTTTATTATTCTCTAAGGAAATATTTTGTAACTTCAATAAGTTATCAAAAATACTATCGGGGATAGTTGTGAGTGAGTTTCCACTTAAATTAAGAACACGAAGATTCTTCAGTTTATCAAATGTTGATTCAGCAAGTTCTTTTATCTGATTATCTTTCAAAATGAGTTCTTCTAATCCTTCCAAATGATAAAAAGCATTCGGATCAATAAATTTAATTTTATGCGAATTGATTATCAAACTTTTCAGATTAAACAAATTATTCGGAATGAATTTTAGCGAAGTATTTGTTAATGAAATCGAAATTAAATTTGGAAACTCTTTTACAAAGTTCTGGGGGATAGAGAAAGCGTTTTTGCCATCGATTTGAAGATTTGTAACTTTTTTATTCAGTGGTGAAGGTTTAACATTTTGATTGTTGAAATCTGTCAACTGACAAGTGAATAGTGGATATCCGCCATAATCCCAGTAAATGTCTTTGAATGAACAAGGAGCTTCATTGCTACTTTCATATGGTCGTAAAGTAATTGAGGAAATGATTGTTTCCGGTTTAAGAGCTTCTGTGCTTTCTAAATTAAACATTTTTCTAAACAATTCATCTTGGATGGATTGCGACAAATTGTTACCCTCCAATTTGAGTATCATTAACCCTGGAAGTTTAGAAAACACGTTCGGATGGAGGAAACTCAATTGATTTTCATTCAACATAATCGAATTCAATTTCTCCAAATATGGAAAAGCATCTTTGTGAATATGATGAATTTTGTTATTACTCAAATCAATTTCTTCCAGAGAGCCGACATCATTGAAAGTTTCCGACTCAATGTTTTCAATCATATTCCCCGATAAGTCTAAAAATTTCAGCTTCTCTAAATCTTCAAAGTCATCTTTAAGTATCATCATAATTGAAGAATTTTCTGCAGAAAGTTGAACAAGATTTGGCAATGTTTTGCCAATATTTGCTGGCAAAAACTTTACATTTTTATTGTTTTCAATTCTTAAGCCTTGAATAATATCTCGATAAGGATTTGTGGCTATGAATGTTTCTGGATCATCAATGACTTGTTGAGCAAGATCGCAAGTGATCAAACTGACGTTTGAGTTAGGCCAATCAGAGTAACTAAGAAAACATTTGACTTCCTTTTTCTCACTTTTCTTTGTTGTCTTATGAGGAAGAATAACGTATGGTCGTGTAGGGACAGGAGAAGTGACTTCAACTTCTTCATCCGTCGTGTTTTTGATTATTTTTCCATTAATTATAATCAGTTTTAATTTTCGGTTATTTATGATTAAATTTTGTGTAAGTTGGTGAATTTCATCAGATTCGGGATCAGAATTGATATCAATTATCAGTTCAACTAGTTCCGGCAACGTATTCAACATAAAAGGATTTAATGTTTTTATATTTTCAGCTTTCAATTGAAAAGTCTTGAGTGATGAAAGGTCAGAAAGATTCACATCATCGATTGACTGTCTTTCAGTTTCAAGCTGCAAATATTTAAGATCATTCAAATTTTCAAAAGAATCTGAATCAATATTCGATGTTTTAAGTTTCAACACTTGGAGATATTCCAAGTTAGCAAAATTTCTTCTTGATATTGAAGCCAAATTAGAAGCTGAAATTTCTTCAATATTTGGGAACATTTCAAACATTCCATAAGGAAGGTATTTAATGTTGGGACCTTGAAATGAAATATTTCTAACATGATTAACATTTGCATTGAAACTATTTGGACGTGTCAACATTTTAATTGAATACGAAGGATGATCAACTGCTTGATCATCTACAGAACATAAATCAGCATCTTCATCGAATTCACACTCCAATTCTAAATATTTTTCAACTTCATTTTTCTTTTCAGTCACACAATTAGCTTCAATTTCATCTTTCAATTCAGACATCGTTGATTGCTCAAAGGTTCCGTTAATACAATTGTTATTTTGTAGACTCACAATTTCAATATTATTCAAATATTTCATGATTTCTGGATCAATTGATTCAATTTTGTTGTTGTTGAGAGAAATCATCTTGAGTTTAACGTTATGCTTTAGTAAGGATGGCTCCAGAACTGATAAAAAGTTGTTGTCAATATTTATAACTTCCAAATATTTTAATAGATGCAGGGTTTTAGGATGTAAATAATGCAATTTATTAGATTCGAGATTTACGTTTTTAAGATTCTTCAAGTCATTAAAAATATCTTCCTCGAGAAACTCCATGTCATTGTAACTCAAATCTAAATTTTCAAGAGATTCTAATCCATTGAAAGTTTCTGGTTCAATGTGTTTTAGTTTGTTTCCTGAAAGATCCAATGATTTCAAATTGCGAAGACCTATGAATGAGTTTCCATCAATTTCAATAATGCTGCTGTTCACTGCCGATATTTCAATAAGTTGGGGGAAGAAAGATGAAAGATTTTCAGGAATTCTTTCTATTTGGTTGTTATCAAAGCTTACTTTTTTCACACTCTTCAGTTTTTGATCATTTATAATAGAATAGCTCGTGAGCAGTGGATCAACATCAGATATTAAGCATGTAAACAAGCTTTCATTCGTAAATGTAGAAATCATTTCAAGGAATTCACATTCAACCTCATTGAGAGCTCCTTCAAATTTCTTCTCTGGTTCCTCAAGATTTTCTGACACTTCCGTCGTTGTTGAATGTGCTTTATATGGATAAATAATTTCACCTTGAATTGTTATTGATTTGACGTTTTCATTTCTTTTTAAAAGTTCCTCTGAAATTTTTTGAGTATTTTCTGTGTCCATATCAATAGAAACTTCAATTAATGTACTTAAGTTTGTGAAAAAATCTGGATTTACTTTTTTCATTCTATTTCCAATTAATTTTAATATTTTGAGAGTTGAAAGATGTTCAAATAATTTCTCATTTGTTTCATCTAAAACGCTATTATCAATCAATAGTTCTTCCAATGTCGTCAAATCATCAAAGGAATCTGATGCGATATCTCTGATATTGATGTCAGTTAAATCGAGAGATTTGAGATATTTCAAACCTTTAAAATTCGTTTTAGAAATTGAAGTGAGAGAACTTCCGGAACCATTAATTGCAATGAGATTTGGAAATGACTCGCTTATATTGTCAGGCAAGAATTCAACCATTTTGTTGTCTGTAAATTTGAATGCTTGCACAGTGTCACCATCAATAAGAGGTAGAGCAAAGAAATTTATATTCGGAACAATTTGATATCCTGGTTGATCTAAATTTTCTTCTTTAATTAAAATACATGTGAATAAAGTCTCATTGAGGCTTGGCCAAAAAATGTCTTCATATTCACATCCAACTTCTTTTATTTCTACCTCTTTTGACTTTTCTTTGATCTTTTTTTTCTTCACAATATTCTTTTGTTCTTCAACGAAATTATGATCCTTTGGAACTTGATGTCTACGCTTTATAACATATCCGGCCCCACATTTTTGCAGAATTTCTTTTCTCATATTTTCAAACGAAGAACTTTCATAAAACGAATCTATGCATTTATTATCACGAAGATCAACGTATTCGATATTTCTTGCGCTATTAAAAACATTTGGGCTTATCGATTTCAATTTATTATTTTGAATCCAAACATTTTTGAGCCTTCGATTTGTTTTGAAAAGATTTTCATCAATTGTTGACAGCTGATTATCACTCAAAGAAATGTTTTGTAAATTTGGCAACGATCGGAATATTTTTGAATGAATAAAATGAAATTTGTTTCCACCAAGTCTTAAAGCTTTTAGCGATTTCAATCCTTGAAAAATTGTCTCATCGATGTATTCCATTTTATTATTTCGCAAATCAAGTCGTTCTAATCTTTTGAGGTCATCGAAAATTCCAGGTTCAATAGATTTTATATTGTTATTTGCTAAATTTAAACTCTTGAGAGATTCGAGACCTTCAAAAGTTTTTGCTGATAAAAAAACTAAAGACGAGTTACGAGCTGAAAATTGTATCAGCTTGGGAAACACTTCAGCAACATTATACGGGAGGTATTTAATCTTCTTTCCATCAACAATACTTAACACTTCCACTTCCGAATTCTCGATAGATTCAGTAATTCTGAATCCTTTTGAATCAATGGTCTTATTTTTAATTACACAAGTTTTTAAAATTTGATTTGAAAAAGCCCAATACAAGTCGAGATATGCGCAAGAAACTCTTTTCTCTGTAAGATCATTCTCGAGATTTACTTCAACCTGAACATGTGGCGCTTCTGTGAATACAATTTCAGGAACTTTAGAGGTCTGTTCAATTGGAACCATTTGAACTTCTTGAACAATTGAGAATAAATGTTCATCATCATCAAATTGATATTCATGTCTGATTCCTTCTTCAACTTCAATCAGTTGGCCATCTCCAATTCTTTTAATAGTTTTCTTTCTTAGAACTCGTTGAATTATGACAATAGATGAACAATCTTCTTCCAAAGTTCTCTTCATGAATGTGAAATTAGATGAATCGAAATTTCCATCAATGCATTCGTTTCCTTCGAGTTCCACAGATGAAAGACTATTCATTCCTTCAAAAACATTAGGTGACACACTAACAAGATTGTTGTTACTCAATAAAATATTTTTCAATTTCGTGTTGGAACTAAACAAATTATCGTCTAAATCACTCAAATGATTTAGTTCAAGTGAGATATTCAATAACTCTGGTAATCCTTTAAATATCTTTGCTTCCAGAAATTTCAATTTATTTGCACTCAAATCTAAATTCCTTAGAGCAGGTAAATGATTAAACGAAGCTTCTTCAATAAAATGAATGTCACCATCACTGAGATCGAGTTCTTCAAGGCTGAAGAGTCCTTCGAAAGTTTGACTTTCAATTATCTTTAAGTCATTCGATTCCAAGAAAAGATTTTTTAATTTATGAAGTCCTTTAAAATTATTGTTTGAAATTGATTCGAGATATGAATCTTTGGCGGAAATCTCAAGAAGATTGGGAAAAACTTCTGCAATTTCCACAGGAAGATATTTCATATTTGTGTTTCTATTGAAATTGAGGCCTTCGATTTTATCAGCGTTTTCTGGAGATAACTTAAGCTTCATTCCAAGAAATTTAATTGGCTGGTTTTGGATATTGCATGTCAATAAAATTGCTTCAGAATATTCCCAAAATGTTTCATTAAATTCACAAATTAAATCCATATTTTCAACCATTTCAGAATTTTCATTGTCGATTAAATTTACAATGGAAGCTTAAAGTAAAGAAGAAAAACAAGTTTGAAGAAAGAATTAGCGAGATTCAAATTTGGCCAAATATTGAATGTGTCGAGGTTGAGAATTCTCACATCATTGACTAATTGTGTATAAAATAATTAAGAATAAATAAAAATAATTTTTTATCTCAGTCTTTCCGATAGCAGAATTATCAGTGTCGACATTTTCAATATTTGCCATCAAATTTTATAAATATTTACTTTTCATAACTTTTCTCGTGATATCTTCTGGAACATTTCCCTCATCCAAATTCTTATCAGAGGAGTTTAAATCATAAATCATATTATTTTCATGGTCTTCCTGTGTACATTTTTCTTCAATGTGCTTCTTCAATGTAGAAATGTCTTCTAATCTTTCGTATGATTCATCAATACATATGTTGTTTCTCAAATCGACTACTTCTAGTTCATTCAGCGAATCGAAAACGTTTGAATTTATATTTCTCAAATTGTTAGAATTGAATAAAACATATTTAAGTCTAGCGTTGAATGCAAACATATTTTCGTCAAGTGATTCAATAAGATTGCCACTAAAATCACAAGCCACCAAATCTGGAAACCATTTCAGATTTTCCATTGATACTTTCTTGAGTTCAGAGTTCAAAATGCTAATACTCTGAAGAGCTGGAAAGAAATTTTCAATTTCCGAAGGAAGATAATAAATCTTTTGATTTTCAGCAATTAAAGCTTCGACATCCTCGTTGTATTTTCCCGGAAGATGCTCCCCACTCACAGAAGCTACCAAATCATTCTCTTCCACAACTGTTGTTTCTTTGATTTCACAAACATAAGCCTCTCCAACATTAACTACTTCTTTGACACTAAACTCACAGTTAATATTTAAACCTTGTGTTTTGTAAATCAGCTCAGTGATGAACAGAAACATCAACAAACGCCAACGTCTATTAGGAAAAATTAAAATTTATGATTTATGATTTGATAACAAAACAAAAATAAAAGATCACATCATTTAAAAAAGAGCACATCACTAGAATGTTTAAAAATAATTCTGTTACTCTACATATTAAAGGATTTTAGTGCAGATTTTTTAAAGTAAAGTTCAGAGCTTGATAATTTTTTTAAAATTTATAGAAATATTTTTACATTCAAAAAGATACATTTAAAAAGGTATCTTCACTTTTTGGAAATTAATTAATTTTTTTTTCTAAATTTGCTCGAGTGTAAAATTTACAAACACTCTTTACGGTTGATGCTTGAGTTGAACGAGCAATTTATGTGTCATTATTAAAATCATCAATATTCAGTTGAATTCAAGGTCAAGCTTAAAGTGAGAGATAACTTTTCTCTGCGCAAAATTTATTTAATCATTGCATTTGGAAATGAATAGTGAATCTTAAGTCCAAATCATATACACAAATCAATGGTCTTTGTTTTAATAAATTAAATTAAAGGTGTAAAGACATTTTTCTAATGTTAAGCTGGCGTCAAATTGTTTTAACAAATACGCAACCGTCTAGATACTGTCTTGACCTCTACAAAGAAATCAGAAAAAAAAGGTTTTTTATAACTGCTGACGAATCAACAACAAAGCAATCAAACTGTACCGGCTTGATTCAAAAGCAAATCTTGTTTTAATATGAAATATTTGATGACACAATTCATCGCAGTTATTTATTTTTATCGACAATTTTGAATTTATAAAGAATATCTTGAACCATAATGAACTTAAATTATTATGCAGAAAATACTATTAAACAATTAATTATGGTTTAAACTTTTTATTAGATGTACATTTCTGTCTTTATGTTTTTTCGTTTAAAAGCGCATGATTCTTAGATAAATGTAAATATCTATGTACACTATTTGAGTCTGATTTTAACATAAACTGCTATAAACACTTCACTTTGATAACACACGCACCTCATTTCTTTTTTTAATCTTCTTTATCAAAAACCACAAGAAGCTAAATAAAGCTTTCGTACTACTCCGCTGCCGTCTGTATAATGAAATTAATTTGCAGTTTTTTCTCAATCATCCCCGACAATTCTAAAGCTTTAGAGGAAAAAAAGAGATTCACTGCTCGAGAGATTAAAATTTAAATTTACACTCTGAGACTGAAATTCTAAGTGGATTTGCTTGAGCACAATATTTAAGATAAGTCGAAGTTTTTTTTCTTTTTGAAATATGCTTTTATATTATTCATCTTTATAATGCTACCAAAGATAATTAGCATGCTAATCGCATGTTTCTTTATAAAATTAAAATTTCTTGACAACTACGATGTCGATCATAATCTTTATTGATTTGAAAATATTTTTTTCTATTTTTTAAAATATTTTGTCACATTTTTTAAAAGATCGACTTCATTATGGTATAAAAACTAATTTCTTACAGATTAAATTTATTTTCTCATAAATATGAATATTTAATGCCCTGTTGAGTTAAATATTTTCTGAATATAAAAAAATAATTACAGAAAATGAAATTTTACCTTTCCAGGGAACATCATGATCATCCAAGAGTATCCCAAAATCAAATTTGATTTCCTGTGGTCCACCTTATGCAACATGATAATTAATTTACCAATTCTTTTTGTACAATTTTGAAAAGGTTCAATTTTCCAAAACAGCAAAGAAGAAAATGTGAAATATATTTTGAGTAATCTGACCTGAGAAATTCAATGTTATCCGGGATAAAACACAATGATAAAATATGAACTTTCTTTTTACCAACTTAAAACCAGAAGAAATTGTGTTCCTTTTGTATGAAAATCATTTCGTTATTGACATTAAATCATTTCTATCCAGACAAATAGATAAACTATCATATTTTTGTATTTCTTTTTATTTTACCATCTGTTTCATTTATCATTACTTTATGTACAAGATTTCTATTCTAAAATAAGTTGCATATCTTTTCATTCTGTTTCAGCATTATCGTAATTCCTTAAAGACTAATTTTCATCTTCTTTTTTTTAATATCAAAAAGATTTTGTTTGCTTCTAACATCTTAGCTTAGTTACGAATTTATTTTACAGCTCTTTTCTTACATAAAAATTTTTCTCAAACCAAAGAGAAGTTACGACATATGTATTGTTTCGAAGTGTTTTAAGTTTTAGGAAAATTGGTGAAACACTGCAAATTAAAATGATTGCATTAGTACAATTTTCCTTAAATTTTTATATCCGAAATGCAAAAAATGAGATTCAATAAGTGTAGGACTGAAGTGAAATGAATCAAATCACAGATATCAACAACATTAGTCCCATTCTGATTTGATAATCAACAGCATAAAAACATTCTTAAAACTTCTTAAGATTTTTCATTCTCTCACTTCGTTAATTTTTTAAATTAATATTGCTTGTATCTAATTTCAGATTAACAAACGTGAAAATTGTTATCAAACTCCGTTTGAGTATGAATCACCCAAAGGTACAACTTTCCCTAGTTACAATTTTTTTATGTTGTTATAAAATATAAGAAAAGTTTTTAGTATTAAGATCATGATTTGGGCAAAGGGTCTTCAAAGTTCCAAAAAGAAGCTCAGAGTGTAGAACAAAATATTACTCAACGATTCCTATTGTTAATAATCATTGCATCCTGGACATATGTATCTATGTATATAATTCTTTTTATTGTTTCACTACTCGTTAACCTTATGCATGTCGCTGTTTGTATTCAACTATTCAGTTGCTGTTTAGTGAGAATTAAATCAGCATAAATAAAGTGGTGGAAATTTAGAGCATTTTGGGTTTTCATCTTTATAGATTCATACTACTTTCTTTCTCTTCTGCCTTAACTTGAATCATAAAGTGCGTTTTACTATTTCAATAATGGTACCCTGTTGAAAAGCAGAGGTTTTTGTAAATATTCTTTTGTTTTGTAATGAATAAACATTAGTTTTTCTTTTATATTTCGTTTTGTAGCATTGCATTGAAATAGAGTTTTATTCAACACACAATCGATTGATTTGCTCTGTGTATGCATTTCAATATCATTCTTCCTTTTACTGCTCTACGCCCATTTCTCGTCATCAACAATTTATTGTTCAATTTCTGTATTGTTACTTCAAAAACGTGAGTGGTGAAATTAAAAGGTATCTGTTGCTATAGTAATATTGTTAAGCTCAAGGTTTTTCTAACTGAAAACTATGCGAGATGCGAGGGAGAATCTTTGCTAGTCTAACATAATTAATACTTTATTCCTAAACTTTTGATGTATGGATTCGTTCAGTTTCTGGCTTCTCTAATTGATTCTTAGGCCATTAAAACTATAATAGCAAACTATTGGTTTTAATTACTCACTTCCTATTAGGACATGATTCTTACTCTACACAATTGTTGTAGCAGAAAAAAGAGACAGCAAACTTAGGCTGTACAATAAAAGAAAATCTGTCATTTTTACAGACTATTCAAAATATCGTTTACTTCTTATTTTCTATTTGCTAGAAGATTTTCTAGCAACCAAATCTTATTTACATGGCACGAATTTTTAACTCCCTTCAAAAGAGCGTATAATAACTTTTTAATCATTTTACATATGGCTCACTTCTTTATGGTTCTAGACTAAATATTTGCATGCAATGAGTGACCTCAAATTTTTCTCTTCCATCGACTAGTTTGAAATGTTTAAAACCTTGACGGTTCAAATTAATTTTGCTTGCTCTTATCTTCCCTTTTTCTTTCTCTAAAAAAATAGTTTAATTTTCCTTGCAAGAATTCTTTTATAATGAATAAAAAATTCAGTCCGTCATTGTAAGTATGAATTTACTTATTTTACATGTGGATTTATATGTGTATATTATGCTTGCATTAAACAATTAAATAGAAACTTTAGGATTCAGTGGATCTAAATCTGATTATTATGTTTTTAAGAGTTTTTTTTCTTTTGTCTTCCCTTTTCTGATTTTTTCAGGCTTTTCATATCTTTATCTTCATAGTTTCGATCATTATCTTTACGTCAGTGTCCTTTAGAGCTTCTCTGGAAGACAACATTGCTTGGATCATCGGCAAGCTGTGGATACTTGTGAATGATGTGAATATCAACTCCGTCGTAATGTTCAACTTCACCATGTTGAATCAGTTCTTCCTTTTCGTCTTCTGTCCAATTGATACTACCTTCACCACCACCTGCGACTATTTGTTTTTCATTTTCCCAAGCACGATCAACAGCGCGCTTATGAGCATGTTTAACAATTCTCTTGCGTTCCAAAGCAGGGTCAACTCCATATTTAATAATAATGATTGCATCCATGCCATGTAATCTCAGTTCCTTTCCATTTTCGTTTCCATGTTCGTTAATATCATGTGTTGTCACGTTGAACATTCCTCCCAATCGCCTCAATTCTTCGGTATCGTCTCGTAATTTCATGATATTATCTTTGACGAAATAAAATACGTCTTGATTGTGAATATTGAAATGCAAATCAAGAAAATATGAGTTATTGAAAACTGATGACACAACATCTTGAATTACGCTATTAGAACTATCAATAGCGGAAACTAAAGCCCGACCACCAACACGTGAAAACAAAACGCCTTCACCAAAAATACTTCGTCGGTGAGCAATCCTCGGTCTTGATATAGGTGACTTATCAAAATGTGTAGAAATTGGAACAATTTCTACGCTTGAGAATGATTCATCAATCTAAAATGAAGGCATTTAAAATGAAAAAGAAATTATATCCAAGGCATCTTATTTAGATATGTACTTACTTTATCCACAATACATTTAAGCCCAGACATCACTTCAAATTGAGGTGCAAGTTTAGATGCTTCAATTTTGGTTATTGGTTTATAAGCCATTTGATTAATGTATTTCGACCCTTGCATTTTGTTTATATCAAAACCAAGAAGCTTTAACCAATCATTAATACTTGACATATATCCTATCGATTGTTGGTCGTGGGATTGATCACGCCAGCCATTAATAGGATCATTATTGCGGAATCTGTAAGTGAACACATCATTTGGGAGAAGCATGTTGGTTGCAAGTCTTTCCCAATCAGGAGTCATCCATTGTCCAACAGATGGATCATAAATACGCCCATTAATAAACACAAGGTGAGTGTTGGGATCAACAAGACCACCATGGAATCCAATCGGTACAAAGAATTCAACGTTGGTGTCTTTGTAAATCTTTCCGAACGGTGTGCGCTTAATTTGTTTTACAACATTTCCATTCACGTCATAAAATGCCAAAGGTGAAGAATTTTGGTCTGTTGCGACATAGAAACGTTGATCAATTGTTTCCATTACAATCAAATTTCGACGATCGTCATAAAGAAATCTAAATTGTAATATGTTCAATAAATAAATTAGCTCACATTTCAATTTTTCTTAAATTATTTATTACCTGAAAGTCCTTCCGTTTTTAGGTTGATACATGTGAGTGACAAGTTGCTTTTCTAATGGATTGGCATAAAAATATTGTGTGACATTACCTTTATCGTCATGCCACATAACAAGACGATCCATGTCATCATAACAGAACCAGGCTTGGAATTTATCACGTTCAGCAGCGTGGATCATTTGTCCGCGATTATTATAACGATATTTCTGCTCTCCTCGTCTCACAACGTAGCCTCTTGCATCATATGAGTTAAACTCAACGTCTCCTACTTGCATCACTCTGTCAGCAGGATCATATCCAAGATTTGTTTTATCTCCCTGATCCATCATTCCAACAATATTTCCGTTCTCATCGTAAAGATATTTCCAATTGTTTGTACCCACTACTTCCATGACATGTCCATCTGCATTATAATTGATCTTATCCATTGATGTTTGACGACCTATGGCTGCTTTATGAGATTTTAATCGATTCTTTACATCGTGTTCAAGCTCTAAGCGGAAAGTATCTACTGATTTTATGTTCATAAGTACTGATTTCACACGACCATGCTCGTCATAATCGGTTATAGTGAAAAACTGTTTAGAAACATCTTCAATTACGGTTCGATTAATATTTCGAGTAAACTTTAGATCAGATATGTTCATTAATGATCCTAAATTTTGATGGAATTTCAACCGGAGCATCGGCATGTCTTTTCCATCAATTGACATTTCAATCGCACTGAGACGTGCTTGATTATCATATTGATATTTGAAGTGAGATGATGTCATTGTACCTTTAGAGCTAAGACGCATTTTCTCATCTCTTATCAGACCGGTGTGGTAACGGAATTCACGACGAAGCTCGAAACCAGGTTCTTTCGTTTCGATTTGTTTTACAAGGCCAGTTCCCTCCTGATAAGTGTAATGAATTTGACTAAGTCCAGCAAGGATTGTCTCCACTTGTCCATCATCATCATACACATAAACTACTTTCCCACTTTGTGGATGAGGATGAGTTTTTGAAATGACATGACCATCATCGTTGAATAAAAGTTCAAAAGGATGTCTTTGAACTGGAGTATGGTATTGATATTTCACAAATCCGAGTGAAGTCTGTACAGAGAATGTGTGAATGTGACCTCTTGGTGTTGTCAAACTTTGAAGTGCTCCTGTCTCGTCATATTGCAAAAGATAATCGGATCTTCGTGGAGTTGTTATTTTCAATGGACTCAAACTGTTGCCGTCTTTAAAAGTGAACAACATTGATGTACCATCAGCGTATTTAACCTCACTCAATCGTCCAGCATCGTATGAATAGGTTTCCTTTAAATCTCCCCATGCCCAACTACCAATGCGACCATACCGATCATATTCGATTTCAACAGGATTATAATCTCCGGTTTGTGGACGGAACGCAGTTTGTCGTAATCCTTTGTCATATTGAACAGTGAGAAGCCGTGTTACTATTTTTTCATCCGAATTGACTGAAACCATTTGATTATCTCGATCATATTCAAGAGAGAGAATTGATTCTCCATTTACTCGAAGTCTTCTTAGGACTGGTTGAGACTTTGGGCGTGCATTTGTTGGACTTGAGCTCATTCGTTTCATTGCGTATCGCCATTCAAATCTGTTCACAATCTCATTTTTCACTTCGATACGTTGACGAGATGGTACTGGATAAGTTTCTCCCAAATAAGGATCAACTTCGTTTAAAATTGCATGGGGAACAGTTTCGACAGAAGTTATTGTTCCAAAAGGAGTAACATAAACAGTTCCTCCACTACCGTCTTGAATGATTTTTGTTACTGCATCCCCAACACGTTCAATTACTTGATTTTGCTGCACAACAACTGTTCTATCATCAGGTTGCACTTGAATCACTGCACCTTTCTCATTAAGATCAAAATCTACTCTGATGACTTTTCCACTTGGTGTTACTACTGATGTGCATCGTCCAAACTCATCGTAATTATAAAAGAATGATCTTCCACTTGTATCTAATTTTGATTTAAGTAGACCAGTTCCTCCATAATAATCATAAGACGTACTGAAATTATCTGGTGTTCGGAATTCATGGAGCATTTTGTAACGTGGACTCAGCTTAATTGAGCTTTTCTGACCTTTAGAATTCTCAATAAACTGAATTTGTGCAGAATAGTCTCTTAAAAAGTAAACTCTGTTTCCTACTGAATCGGTGACAATTGAAAGCTTTCCGTTTGAAGTGTTCACATTGTATGAGAATGTAACATAAGTTTCGCCAGTTAGAACGTTTCTTGTGGATGTATGCTGACCAAATCTATTGAAAATATAAACTTCATGGGTTTCGGGATTATAAATTTCATATTCTCGCGTAGAACTTGCAGGAAGTTGAGATGTCACAGCACGTATTCTATAATTAGCTTGATCTGCGATGTAAAGTGTTCCATCTGGGGTTGCAGTCAGTGCCGAGATCGTATTAAATTTAGCTGATGTTGCCAGGTGATGATCGGTCGTGTAACAATCGCAACCACGCTCTAAACAGTTACATTTTGATTCAGCACCAGCGTAAAGCTGAATTCGACCATCGGTTGTCACAACGCGAATTCGATTTATTCGTTGTGAATCTGATTCAGCAACAAAAAGATCACCATTTGGAGCAAATGCTATAGATTGAGGCATGACTAGAGTGGCATGAGCCGCTAAACGATCGCCATCTTCACCTCCCAAGGGGGAACAGTGTAAAGGCCGACCAGCTATAATCCTTAATCGTCCATCAGATGTTTTCATCATTACAACACGATCATCTAAGAAGTAGAGTACACCTGTTAACGGATTAATGGCTACTTCAGTAGGCCAACGAAGTAAAACCTCTTCCATCTTCAAAGTTCCTTCGCAAGGCATTGGTTTCCAATGGGACTTATGGACATGAGATCCAATAATCGTTGTAATGATTCCATCTCTGTCGATTTTCCTAATGTTTGTTCCATCAGCAAAATAAACTGTTCCATCATTTGAAATAGCAAGCCCTTTGGGATATGCCAGTTTAGCATCTCGTGCCAATGAACCATCGCCACAGTGTGCTTCGTCACCAGGTAGACAACGCTCACCAGAACCAACAAAGACTTCCCAGTTACGTTCAGGATCTGAGTAGTCATTTTGTCTAAGCACTCGGATAATTTGATGTGATTCTGGATCAGAAATATAGACTGTGCCATCAAGTGGTGAAATCGCCATGTGGTACCGATATGATACTCTTGTTGCATTGAGTTTGACAATTGTTCGTACTAATCCATCGGTTGTTATTTTACGAATATAATTAAAATCTCCAACATACACTGAACCATCGGATGCTGTCGCTAAAGCAACAGGAGCCAATAATCGTGCTTTTGTCGCTTGCTGGCCTTCCTCGCATTCGCCATCACAGTTGATATTTCTTTGATGACCATCACCCATGACCGTCTGAATCATTCGAGGTTTTTGTCGAAGATAAACAGTAGTTCCGTCTCCCATTTGAATAATTCCATCATGAAAATTATATCTATGATGGATATCTAAGTTCCATCCTCCAATTTGACTTATGCTCATGTCATGTCCACTTAATTTTGTTGTTTGTATATTCCAAATAACAGATGAACAATCAGTGTACTGATATCCTACACGTACCATAGCTGTTGTTACACCATAAACTTTTTGTTTGTAAATGTTAAGACGATTCCATGCGTAAGTAAATTTTATCAAGGGATCTGCCTCAAAAGTTCTTTCAAATAAAATTCCTTCAATTGTTATTCGTAGATGTATGCGATGAAGAGTTGTTGGAATTTTTTCGGGTGTAAGTTGAAGTTCTATTGTACTAAGATATCCTGTAGCCTTAGAAGAGTGATACATAAGATTTAAGCTAGTACCAGGAATCGTTATCGATTCTTGGACAACTTGTGATTCTACAAGCACAGCAGATTTGGTTGGACAAGAACCCTGAAAACCATGCTTCCATGTCGCTAACACGATGGGTTTGACCAGATCATAATCGTGACTAGCACAAGGTGTTGGATGTCTAACAAATGATTTATCATCATCAATTGACATTGCTACTGTATCAAGGATTACAACTTCATTCCATGGAACATTAATAATTCTTTCTTGTGGACGGAATGGCTGACGACCAAACAGAATTTTAACTGCTCCACCACCATTGATCATCAAATCAAACCAACCATCATCGCGTGTAATTGTAAAACCTTCACGTGAGATTGTTGTTGATACTCGCACTCCCATCAGACCCATGCCAAGTTTAGTCACAACTCTTCCTCGGATTACAGCAGCTCGACTGCAGAAAACATTTAAAGATATTGCATTAAAATGTGTGTTGATAATAAATTGTATTGAATAAATTCAAAAATATAATAAAAGAATAAGAAAAATATATATAAGTATTAGATACCTATATCTAATTTTAAAAATTAATAATAAATGATCACAATCACAATATGACATCCACACACAATCAAAAGCACATTGGATTAGTAGTTTTAGTTGATCTGAATCATTTTTATAAATCAGTTGTGTTGAAGAGGCAAAGAAGAAATGTTCTACGGAAATAATAAATTTCATTCTTGTGCTTCATTTTTTCACGATTTCAGTTTTATCAGTCAAAAAACTAAACTGAACTTAAACTTTTAAATTTGCATGAACTACATACTTAGCAGGTACAAAGATAACGAATTAAATAAGTCATGAATATGTTTACTTCTCTTAAGATAGCTCTTAGATGATGCTTACCTGGCGTTAAAATGATTCCAAAATACGCTGCTCAATTGTAATATTTAAGTAATATTAAAATAAGTGAAAGTGAGAAGAAGGAGAGAGAAGTGAATTAGTTGATTTGTTATGCTACTTGTATTGATTAGATATATGTAGATTATTGTTCGAGAAATAAACTCAAAAATATGTATTTATGTAGTTTACTGTAACTGATAATGAATCCGAGACCCGGTAATTTTATATGAGTGGTTCATAACATTTTAAAGCTAGTATCTACCAGGACTTTTTTTCTTCTCATGTTCATACTTATTGCTATCAGAAATTACAACTTCATAAGATAGCCCCTAATCTTAATTAAAAGCAACTCGAACCATTATCGATTATAAAAACTACAAACAAAATTATCAACGAGAGATTTTGTTCAAATAAAGAAATGGAATTTAAAGACCTAATGAATCGAGTTTTTATATCTTTCTCATATCAAAGTTGAACCTGAACTTTTCTTCATGAGAAAATAGTGTTATACTCTATGTATGTATGCAATTTTAAATCTAATTATCCAACAGCAAATTATTAATTAAATTGTCTGTATTTCCATCCCTACGATAATTTTAAACTTTCAATTTGTTACATGTGATAACGAGTTTATTAAAACATAAATTTATTCTCCTTTTCTCTAGAGCAAAGCATAAATTAAATTGTGTTTAAAGTACTCATTAATCTGGTGATGAAGCACCTTTTCCTACCTCCTACTTTTTTATAACGCTTTCAATATCACACTCTTCTTAAACGCGATATGCGAAGTGGATGTGTGCGAAAGTTTAATTTATAACCGAGGAAAGAAAAGCATAAAAGTTCAAGATGGAAAATTCCTTTTGCAAAAAATCACATGTGAGAAGAGAAAATCCAATTAAAATGTTACATGAAAATTCCATTCTTTATAGCACTCGCTCCCTCCATGATAAAATGATTTTCTTTCTTATCAATTTCAGTTCAGAGTTTCTAAGGATAACCTTATTATACGGCCGTTAAAACCTCCTCAAATTCTATTCTCAAAAGTAGAAACATAAGTTTTCATTAAACATTTAAGTTGATACTCTTCTATAAAGGAGTTGATAAATGGATCGCTTTAAATAAGACAATTTTCTTAGTTTTTTTTCACTCAAATTACGATTTTATACATGTAAGTAGTAGCTACAATTTCATCAAAGAACAAAAATTTAATTTTCAAGTAATGAGTATATAAAGAAAATGTCGAGAAAAATACATGTGGGTAAGTGAAAGTCATTCTAAAATGAAAACTGAAAAGTCGTCTGAATTCTATATAAGTGTTGACGATTGTGACTTCAGTTTCGATTTCAAAATAATTTGATTAATGGAAATTGTATCGTTTCAATTTTGTTTGTTGTTCATCGCTTCTTTTTTTATTCTAAAGAAAAGAATTCAAAAGAAAAATTTCAAAAATTCCGAGACGAAACTTTTATTCTTGTAATCAAGCTGTTTGCCTCATCCTCCATTTCCTTTTATACTTTTCTTTATAAAACCCTGCTGGCGTTTGTAATTGCTTCGAGAATTTATGTTTGCAACATAATTAAACATTATTTTAAAGTAGATATTTTCTTTTACATTTTATTTTCAGTCTAGTGAAATTTTTTTAGCTTGTTGTATTGAATCCAAAAAGCAAAAAAAGCTGAATGTATGTATGTTGCTATTTACGCTTCGGTGAATTTCAAACTTATTTTATGGGTATGAGATGCAAAGGAGGTTACATACGCACAGTAGATCAAGGATCAAGGACTTGTGTAAACGGGGGGAAATGTAAAATGTATGTAAATTAATTAAAAATCATAAATTATGCTCCGCTTTTACATTTGAAGTTTGTGGAAGGGTGGAAAAGTTGGTTGGATGATTGTAGGGTAGAATAATATTCACTTTAGAGTGGAAAATGGAAAAACCATTAAAGTCGTTTTTGGAAGAACATTTAGAGCAATTAAGGCTGAAGTTATGCTTTCTTATTGTAAACTTTCGCTCATTTAACTCGAATAAAATGTCTTTCCCTTCACCATGACATAAAATGCTGGAGTATAACGACGATTTTTTTATTTCATTTTGCCTAGAGTAGTTTTTGGTTTCGTAATCGTCAATCATGTTGTTTTTCAGTTGCTTGAATGGTAAGAAAAAAACCTCACCGACAATAATTTTCGTAAAAAGAACGAAAGGAAGTAAAATGTAAATTGCTGTTTTTTTTTATCGCCATCTCCCTAAGCAAGGAAGTATGAAGAAAAGAAGAAAGAATCAGCTTAAAACAAGCACTACAACTTTACTAACAAGCATTAGTTAGGTTTCAAAATGAAAATTCGGCTCAATTTAAAAAAAAATTTAAAACATTTTTTGAGTTCTTGCTTGAAATTTTTATTTTCAAAATCGAAATACTAGAAAAGCATAAATGTACCGTTTATTTCATAAAATATGTTCTGATAGTTTAATGAGATGAGATTTATTTGCAGACAGGGGCACAACATAAAGAGTACACGGTTATTAAACTCATAAATTACGTTTTAAGACTTATAACCACATGAAAATTTAAAGCTTTATGCTGCTTATGTTAGTTTTATGTTAAACTGATCAAAATGCAATTGAATTAATTTTAAGTTAATCTTTTTTTCTTTTCTTTTTAGTTTTTTGAAAATTTTGAAACTCTCTAATCGGGATCGGAAAGCAGCAGTAAATATTTTTAAACATGTAATTTTTAAACAAGTATTTATGTATTACCTTTCGTTGAATGTTTCCATTTTGGCATAGTTTTGTAAGCTGCCTTCATCGATCAAGAATTTCATTCGTTCAAAAAATGACGCTGTTATTGCAGGAGGTTGTTTCCTCAACAAAATATCGATTGGTTTTGGTGCTGACACACAAAGTTGATGTGTGCTGCAAGCCGCTTGTGTACAACATTCAGGATCTTCGCAATCAGTTAGACCATCTTTTAAATGTTCAAATCGTGTGTTAAATTATTTCTTATAAATAAAACTTAGTTTATTCATTTACCTTTATCGTTGTCTTTACCATCTTTACAATCTTTTTCCAGTGGAAGTGAACAATCTATTCCATCCCATCCATCGTTACAACGACATTCAAAGAGACCTTCTGGTCCAACACGACATTGACCATGATTTGAACAACTAGCAAAAAAATTATTAAAAATCAAATAAATGTTAAAGAAAATTTAAACTTACCCTCCAGGACACCCTTCTAATGTGCAATGTTTTCCATTCCATCCAGTAACGCATAAACAAGTTCCATTCTTACATTGACCATGATCGTTGCATCTTGGATCACAAAGTTTCATATTGCACAAGTCACCATCCCATCCATCATCGCACTTACATTTGTCTTCAACACATCGTCCATGTTCTCCACAATTCAAATCGCAAAGTTCCAATGAACAATCGTCGCCACTGTATTTAAGTTCACAAATACATTTCTGTGTATGCGGATCAAATTTTCCATGTTTGGAACAGCTTGGAAGACAAGGAATTGCAGCTTGATCTTCAACAGAACAATCTTGACCTGTCCATCCTTTCTTACATATGCAAATTCCTTCTGCACAATATCCGTGATTTGAGCATGTTGGATGTGGGCAGTCAATTTCTTCACAAAATCGACCTTTAAAACCTCGCGCACATGAGCATTTTCCACTAATACAATGTCCGTTACCATTACAATCTGGAACCTCACATTCACCTTGTGCCAACTGACATTCTTTTCCTTTCCACCCTGGATTACAACTGCATTCTCCATTAATATATTCTCCACGTTGATTGCATAATACTGGACAAACGCCTGAGAAATAAAAATATTTAATGATGTAATAATTATTCATATTAGATTGACTCACTATCGTTGCATGATTCACCACCATAACCAGCATTACATTGACAGTGGCCTCCAATACAATTTCCATTTCCATTACATCCATTTGGACAGTTTCTCATCATTTCACCTGCTACTATTGCATAAAATGACACTTCTTGATTATGTCCATCATCGTTATAAAGTGAAATGAACCAAAATCCGTTTTCCATGAATTTTATCACATCTCGATGAATTGTTGGCTGATAAGCCGCCCGTGATGTTCTTGTGTTGAAACCACTAAGAATTTCTTTAAAATCATATTGTGTATGAGTGGGCAAAGCGTTTCGACGACCATAAAAGCCTATTGATGACCCTCGTGCAATTGTAAAATTAAATTTCACATAAGCTTTTTCAGTCATAAAGAACTGCATGTTCCAATAACCATAGGATGGAATTAATCTTTGTAAACGTTGCCCTAACTCAACTTCAGCAAACTGTGTGTTATCAGGAGGAATAGCCCTTGGACCGGGCATATCACCAGCTGTGAATGTAGAATTGAAAAAATTTCTTATCTTCTTATTTATTTAAATATACATTTCGTTTTAAAGATATTTAAGTAAAAATGTGGAGCACACAACAAAATCTTTGGATTTTCAAAGAAACTTCTGTCGATATTTATCAGGAATTGGAATAATTTTTAGAGTAATTTTGAAAATTGATAAGCATGTAAATTATTATTGTTGTACTTAGTTTGTAGATAAAATATAGAATAATACATAAAATATCATCCAGTCCCTGATAAAAATGTTTTAAATATGGTTTAGTGGAACGGAACCAACTGTCATTAACTCATCAAACTTCTCCCTATTATCTATCACCTCCCTTTTATTACACTTATAAATAATGAAAATTGGTTGAGTTTCAAAGTAATGGAAAGTCATAAATGAATGAAAAGTTACGCATGCAAAACATTTGTTAGTAATGACTCAGCAGAGATGATTAATGAAAGCAATGAAATGGATTTTTTCGCATCATCGTGATCCATTAGTTGCATTCCTTTTTCATTTAAATTAGTTTTTCAAACCTTCAGAATAAACAATAAAGCCATCATCAATGCCCTCAGTCGATGATTCATCAGTAGAATCTTCCTCATCAGAATAGCCATTGGTAACAATTTCATATGAAGTAAACTTTTCTTTTGATTCTTTATATAGTCGTACTAAATCTGAATTGTCTTCAACATCATAAGCATAAAATTTTTCATTTTTCTCTTTTTCTAATGGCAGAGGAACTGCGACTTGTAACTGATAAACTTCCTGCTGGAATGAACCCAACCCAGAATCCGTCGATATTGAAATATTTACCAACATTCTCTTTTCTATTACAGTTCTCGTCTTCTTAGTATCATGCCCAAAACCATCATCAAAAACTACATCAACAGTTCCGTTTTCATGCGTTTGACGCTTCTCACGTCGATTTTCCTTACCTCCAATGGTGTTACCTAACGATGACGCTATTTCTGGTTGATCTTGTGATGGCACTGATGACTCTGTCGAAAATGGCAATATAGATGGTGGACAATCCCTTCCTGAGGGATTCATGCCGTCTTGTTTCTCTTTAACTAAAACTGTACACGGATTTGTTGATTGATATGACCAGCTTGACATTGAAGAAGCTGTGAAAATCAAATTTTAATAATTAACATACGAATTTTGAGAACATTTTAGACAAAAAATAATCATACCTGATATGAAAACTAATATGGATAGTAAAACAACACATAACATTATAACTAAAATGGCTGTGCACTTCCATGAGCACTTTGATGTGAATCCTTTTCGGAAATTTAACGGTGTCGAATAATGATGATGATGATGATGAGAAGGAGGTCCACTGCTTATATGATGGGCTGTAGAGAGTGTGCCAGTAGCGCTGCCACCAAATAACACTCCCATGCCCCTCGCTGGCATCATCGGACCTGAGTATGCACGATCATATTGCTTGAGTGTATCCTTAGTAGGTGTTGAACATGCTGAGCCACCACTCACACCAGATTTGTAGTCAATTGGTGAACTCTTGTTTATATCTAAGTGATTAAAGAAATGAAAAATTATTATTAAAATATATGCATTCGATTATAAAGAATAATTTCTAATGTTATAAAAGTTTCCATATAAACAAAAAGTAAAATCAGAACATTTTCAATTTGCCAAGTTTCCTTTTCTTCTTAAGAAAATTTCATCGTCTTTACGCATGTGTGAGGCCCGTCAATATACCTCACATGCTGTTTTTCTATTACAACTTGGTTACATACAATCTTGTGAAATTTTCGAAAAACTAAGTTCTTTTCTCTATAGATAATCCTTTTCTTCATAAAAATGCATTTCTTTGCTATTCCATTTCTAAATAAACCTATCAGACTAAAAATTGAAGAAAACTAAGCACAAATATATTCTCGTAATATTTTCTTTCTATTCAGAAAAGAAGCTTTTACAGTTCATAAAAAAACAAGGAAAATGAAATAAAATAATCAGAAAGGGAAATTCCGACGAAAACTCTCAATTAAAGAATTTTAAAGGAAAAAAAACTCCTACACACGGGAAACACACACATTCAAAGTTAAAAGTTTTGTATGAATTTTAATGTTCTAAACATTCGAATGTATTGAAAGTTTATTTAAAATATTATTTTAAATTTAAAAATATCAGGAAATGAATTGAATTAGAAAATTTAATTTCTAAATTTGTTATATTTAATATTTTAAATTATTTTCAGGGTTTTTGTAGTCATACATTATCCATTCTTAATGTGAATGATACAAGAAGATTTTCTAAAGGTGTTGAATAATACAATAAAACTTCGAATAAACTAATTTCATAATTTTCTATAATGAGCTTAACAAATAATTAGCTTAAAGTTAAATATAACATCGTTGATAAACTAATCGTTAACTAAAAGAGAATACTCGGAATATGTACTATACTTAAATTATAATTACAGAACATTTCCTTAACATTGATAGCTTTATATCTTGTAAAAGAAATTCATTCAGTATACTGTTGATTGGAAAATAGATGAGAAAAATCATTATTTAGTTCTAAGTTTTCCGGACAATTAATCTTACTTCGCAATTATTTTCTTTTGTTCGTTGGAGGCAACATTTTCATTGCGAAAAGTTTTTTATAAAATTATTCTATTTCTAGATGTTCGTAGATTTAAGTATCAAAGATTCAAATATTCTGTACATATGCATTAAAGATAGTACAAAGCCTTAGAAGTTTATGTCAAGTTTTGGAATTAATATAAAAACATACATGGGTAAATTTTTACAAAAAAAGGAAATTTAGCTAGTATGCTTAAATCATTATTAGAGATTCAATCTTAAATTAATCAGCATACGAAAAGGAAATTTTCACGACTAATTTTAATTCATCTTTAATATTTTTGCATGCTTTTTTTAAATAAAACTCGATTTGCATTTGATTAGATGATATTTTACAAATTATTGAGCTTTGTGATGAAGCTTCCAACATGATGCGATATTTTTATAAAGGAAACCCTCATAGCTGTACTAAAACATAATAACTGTCTTGTGATGTAAAATTTTACATCCACATAAAATGGAATGCAAAAGAAAAAATGTTTGCCTTATCACTTCGCTCGAATAAAGCTTTTATTTCAAAAATCAGAAAATGAAATTCTTCTCAGGAATTTAAATTGGAAAAGTTTTTAAAAATCATTACGAGGGACATGATTCGATATATTTATAAACTTAGCATCAATTGGGCAGTTGATTTCTAAAGTAAAGCAATAAAAATTTTACAAAGAAAAGTTTTTATCTTCAAAAGTAAAGTCAATAGAGATTTAATTAAAAATGATATCTTTCGTTTATCTAAAAGAATGTCAGATTTATTTAAACTTATGAAACAAAAATAAAAGAAAAGTTAAACTTGTTGTATAGTAATAAGATAAAACTTACTGAGATTACTGCTTGGTATGTAAACATTTCCTGAAGGCGTTCGCACCAGACACGATGGCTCAAAGTCCATATCGAGATCATTAGCTATACCTTGAACTCGACCATTCATGCGACTCATCGTTGGATTTCGAGGGGGTACATCGGGGGGTGCTATGTGTGGAGCTGGACCTGCAAATAAGAGAAGAATTACCTCATTAAATGAAAATAGCAGATTTTATTATTCATAGAACACTTGCTTCTCATTGAATTTATCAGATATCCTCATCGATTTCTATTAAACACGACCTTATCAGATAACTAACATAATAATAGGATGCAACACAAGAATGATGCTTTTCCATTAGTTTTATTCAACTGGCTTAAAGTTTTATTAACTTCGTAAGTAATTCTTAAATAAAAGATAATTTGCGGCATTTCAGGTTTACAAGCTAATGGCAATTGGAAGTCACGTTTAAATCGTAAAAGCCCACAAAATAAGAATCATCAATGTTTGAAAAGATTACCTCAACATTGACTGAAAGAAGGAATACAAGGTTGAAAGAGACTTTAAGACATTATTAGCCTAAGAACTTTCTCTATTGATGAAATCACTTGGCACCATAAAATCGAATGTCTAAATATTTTATGACTCAACGTTGGATAATGTATTTTTATGAGCTGTGAGCAGTGGCGCTTGCTATGAATATCTAATTAGTTTCTTCCATTCAACGATGATTAAAGATGTTTAAAATTTTCCTTATTTTATATTTTTGTCTCATAAACATTTTACGCTAGATTGCAAACATTTTTCTAGTTAACTATGCCACCCGCCCCTAATGAAACTTTACCTGACATTTTTTTGTTCATTAGCATTTCAACTTTCATATGAATTATAAAGATTATGTCTTGGTAGAATTAGCTTGCCCAACACGTCAGAACAACAAAAAAAATTACACAATTTCATGGTCCGTGTGTGCTGAACAAATTCGATGTGTATAAAGCAGGATTAATTTTTACCTTCCAATTGATTGGGTTAAATCCGTCAATTGCACTAGGGCTTTGCCCTTTTTCGATTAATTTTTATCACTTCCATTTCCACAACCTTGGTTGATGCAACCATATCATTTCCCTCTTTCTTTTTCACTTCGTTTTCTGTATGTACATAAATCGTGAGAGGAATTTTATTTTTATGAAATGAAGCCAATAAATTGACGATGCAAGGGAAACGGATTCTTCAATGTAGAAAGGAAGCAAGCGAGAGTCGACTTTGATGGCAGAACAATTTATCAATCCGATGATATCTAGTCGAATGGTCTACTTGGAAGAACGGGATCAGAATAGATAAGAAGATTACGACTTCCCCTATTCACCTTTGAATAAAACTTTTTTTAAAACTGCCACGATGTAAAAATTAAATTAAATAAATTTTTATCTAAATATACGTAGGTGTGTGTGAAGGTTTCTGGAACTAAAATTTTTTTTCTTCTTCTACCATCATGAGAATGACAGTTGCTTCTCAAACCTTTCTTTACTTATTATAAATGTAACAAAAATACTTCGCAAAGTTTCAAGTTATCCAGAGATCGGAAAAGATAACATTTTCAGTTGAACAAGAGTTTTACAGGTAAAGAAAAGGTTGGTTTGCTCTTTATGAGCTCTGAAAACGATTAAAGATAGATTTTTATCATGTTACGTATAAAGAATTTTGAGAATAGAATCCATGTGAAGACTTTTTTGTTAAAATGTTCGCTTGATAAACGAACAAGGATTTGTCTTTTCCTTTTTTAAACGACTTTATTAAATCTTCTTTCAAAGAAAGGAAAACGAGTACTCTAATTAGATAGTTACAACAATAAACTTTTGTTGTAAATTTAGTACGGAAGCACATGTTCCGACATCTGAGAAATTTCTAATTATGATAGCTTAATAGACAATGGACAATGATCAAACTTTAAAAAAGATTTCTCCTTCTTTTCGATACTCAACAACCGTCTCAATAGAACTTCAAGGCTAGAAATGACAAAATCCCTATCACAATAAACATGGAACCAAAAAATTAACAAAGTTCTTTTTCCGAATAATTACAAGAAAGAGAAATCCAATAGCAATTCCAAAAAGTATTTCTGAATTATCACAACATTGCTTTATCTTAAATTTCTTCTGATTATATATCGAGTTTTGTACTTGAATATCCTCTTAATTATTTTTATGGATCTTCTTTGTACATTTTAATGGAGGAAGAAAAAAGCTGGGAAAATATTTTAGTGATTATATTTAGTATGAAGATGTCTCCACTATTTTCTTTCTCATGTTTATCGAAACTTATTTACAGAAAGTTAAGGCATAGGAAAATGTTTTTTTAAGTTTTCGATTTTTGAATTAATTTTTATAAATATTTTGCACAAAAACTTCAGATACAGATATCTCTATGCGATAAAGGATGCTTTGCGTGAATCTAAAACAAGAAATACAAAAATTTCTGGAGTGGACTCTTTAAATGAACGAAAAAAAAAAAGTAAATTCATTTTATGGTCTGTCTATTATCGCAGTTTCATTAAGTTCTTTTGACTTTGCGCTATTTTCCCCGTAAAGATCTCATTAATAAAAGGATTATGATGATGTCGCAATGTGTGCTAATATAATATTCTCTGATAACGAAAACTCATTACACTGGAATGGGAAAGATGAAAGCTATTATGGAAACGTTTTTCCCAGGGCTCGTCAAGAACATTTTCTTATTCTTTTCTTTTTTTGATAAAATGAAAGCACCTGAAGATGTAGAATTTTCTAACGTTTCCGCTGTCAACATCAGATTTCTATTGATAAAGATACAACAGTTATAAGTATGAGATGAGGGAATATACACAAAATTTAAGTATAAATAAGATGATAACACTTATAAGGTGAATTTTTTTTTGACAAGTTAAACAATTGAATTCGAAGGATTTAAATATTTTCAACAGTTTTATAAAAAGAGAATTTGAAAAATAAAATTCACTGGAAATCATAAATTACAACCCCTCATTTGATCTTATAAAAAAGAGTTAAGAAAATTGAAAGGATGGAGAAATTAATTTAATACCATGGGAAATGGATTCACATCGAAAGGTGTAAATTTTTTTGAATGGTTTTAAAATTGTCAAACTTGAAGCAAGGCGGATTTTCATTAAACGTCTTTATTACGCAACTTTAATGTCTAACTTCTTTTATGCGAAGTCTTCGAATAAAATCAAAAAAAAAATTCAATCACTAAATGGAAACTTCAAAATTTTAATTTTCTTACTTTGCTTTTACTCTCACTTGGGGTAGCACTCCTTTTCTCCATATTTAATCTTCTTAACGAAAGGATTTAATTAAAATCATCTCACTTCTTATCCTTTTCTCTCTTTCTTTCTGGTTTTTCATCAAATATTCAAAATAAAGCAAAAATAGATGTTTAAATCGCGACGTAATTGAATTTAAATATATTTGAGCTTATGTCAAGAGGCACTCTAGCAGGAAATATTTCTTTCCTGATACTCAAGAGAAAATTACGAGAATCACTTTAACGTGCATACTCAGGAATCTGTTTAATTCACGCATTTTCCTTTACGAACTTTAGCGTTGTTTTAATACGTCTCATTTTGAGCTTTTTACTTCATTTAAGTGCCCAAATAAAGCAGTAATATGCTTGTTATCCCTTCCCCTTAGCCGTTTTATTATTCAATCCTTTTTCCTTCAACTTTATTAAAGCAGTTTTAGCTTCCCTTCCTCTCACCTTCCATAAAACAATCAACGCATGTTGGAAAAAGCTCTTAGTAGCGACAGAAACGTTCCCTGGAGCAATACTTGTTTCAACATTTTCGTAATTTTTAACCCTTGCTTTAAGTTTGTTTGGTAATTAACGCTCTGTTGTTTTTGCTTTAATATCAAATCTGAATGATTCAAGAGCAAAAGGTCATAGCAATGTGACATTGGGTAACGATCTACAATTTTTAAGGGACCCCATTTATTCATAGTGCATGTACAAGTAAATGTAAGGAGTAAGAGAGAAAGAATTCTTTTCATTATGATAGGAAGAAAACTTTTCAAGCATGTTTGATATTTGACGGTGTCTATAAAAACAACAATGCCAAAAGTTCAAATCATAAAACGTCTTTATTTTTAATCTTAAACTCGATTAGCATGATCTCTTCTGAAACACCTTCATTACGGAGACTGTGACTGTTGTACATTTGCTTCTTGATTTCTTTTTTCTATCATCATTTCTATTTTCTTACCACTCTGCGATAAGTCAATAAAAGCTTGGAAAATGAAAAAACTTTTCCTCTTCCTTTCTTGATCTCATTTGATGACATTAATATTAATTATTTCATAACGAGAAGAAAGATGAAGAAACCGTTTCAATCATCCACGAAACGTTGAAGAAAAAAAAACTTTTTCGGTTGTCAATTTCATTTCTGTTCCTTTTTTGTACATTGAATGAATCATCTTCTATGTATTGTTAGGTGTTCCACTCGATTTAACCCCAAATTTACCCCATCTCAAGCCCCAAATTCGTCTCATTCCCCCAATAATTACATATAATCATACCCGGGACTTCCTTAATTGGAAAATTAATCAGGATTTTTTGATTTTTCCCTCCTTCCTTCACATCAGAGTAGTGAAGTTTAAATGAAGCGTAACTTTGAGTTTCACATTCATATGTTTCTAGTTATATGTAGAACAAGAATAAACGTAGGTGGATTCGTAAAAGGTAAACAACAATTCTATTTACAATACAATACAACACAATATTTATTTCAAATTTGATATACATAAGAGCATATTTCTATCCACATTTTTAATTTTAAATCCTTTCTTTTATTATTTACATAAAACTTTGTTTCGTGTAATGTTGATTATTCACAATCAAATATTTTTGGAAATCTTATTTTGATTTGACGGAATTAAAGCTATTGCAACTTATTCATTTATTTAAATGAAATTCTTGATTTGTTATTTCCAGTAAAAAAAATTCAGACTTCCTTGAATTTTTACATTGCTAATTCTCAGTTCACAATTTTAGTATTTATTTGAGGAAAAATTTAAAAGTTCATTTTAATCCCCGCAGATACTCTATTAAAATTATTTTTCTAGTCTCGTTTACGATGATGATCCAACAAACAAATTCAACTTTTCGTATCTACTTAAATTTTTCCAAGATTTTTTTCGCTTATTATCATTTTATCGTTCTTTTCCGTCGTGAGTATGAGAATGGTATGGCAAACAATGAGGGGAATAAAATCATCATCTACCCACCGAACAATCTTTGGTAATTTCTACCTTTTACTTTAGAAGCTTGGAGAATGAGATGAGAAAAATAAAGAAAGAAAATAATTTCGTTTATGACTTCTTTCTTTCCACATCTTCCAGTAGCAATCGCTGATGGTGTGCCCTCTCTACATCCCTCTGGGGCTGTTCTTGAATTTCATACATCAGGGTCGAGAAAAAAGAAATGAAGCAGTCATTCGAAACAAGATAAATCGCGAGTTGTTCTGCTTACTTTTATCCCAATGGAAGCAGAAAAAATTAGATCCTTTATAAAAAAAAATTAGAAAAGATGTAGAAAGATATATATTTTTATTTTTATGAACTTTAGAGTTGGCAAGTTTAAGGAAATTTATTTTTCACGAAATTACTTGAGAAAAGAAAGTAAAAATTATCATCATGATGGGTAGATCATGTAGAAAATCTTTATGTATCTGCCATTGCCATTGAATAGAAATGGAAAAGAAGTTTGGATTTATTGTATCAAAAAGTGGAAAAATAAATAGAAGCAAATGTAGACAGAGAAAGCAAAGCTGGAACTAAAATAATTCCTGTCTGATTTCATTACAGTATTTGCTTTCTTTTTTTCTCTGAGAATCTTCTTAGTAAATTCTAAAACTGCCAATTATTACAAATTTTTCCATAATTTCATGCGTCAAAGTTAATAAATCGTTCAATTTTTTGAATTTTGATATGGGACAAAAAAGTTCTCATTGTTTAATTGATGTTTCGTGAAAATTAATAAGGAAGTTCAATTCATTCACATTCAATTAATTTATTTTTCTTTTCATCAACAATTCGCTATTTTTTTTGCTGTTTTTATTACTCATCTGACCAACTGGAAACTGTTATCATTATTAGATAAGTTTAATTAAATTCTTATTTCTTTAATGATTTGATTCAAAAATACATGTAAACAGACAAATGACAAGAAAAGTCAAATGACTCAGAGTTGTTGTTAAAACAGTTCACTTATTGAATGACTGTAGTCATTTGATGGAAGCAAACTTCACAGATATCTATGTACAAAATTTCACTCCTAACTTACTGAACAAGACTCAAAATGAAGCTCTAAAGCAATATATGAATGTTAAAAAATTTGTAACACTACATATTCTAACATCGCTTTTTCAAGCTGTAACTAATTTCATGACGTTTGAAAACGACGAGATATTGTTATTATCTATGAATGGCTTTATAGTTTCTGGAAAATCCATTAAATTTAGTTTATTGTAATACTTAATACGATCAACTGGGGGCAATTTTTTAAGAATATCACGATGAAAAAACTTTATAATTGTTGGCATGTGTTTAATCAAATATTCTTCACAGAGTTTTTTTGTTCGTTTCTTAGTCATCATTTTAATATCTATATAACTCTCATACATTTTCTTTATAGCTCCCTATTCGTTCGCTCATCGTGAAATGAATTGGAATAAATAGAACTACACATTTCAAAGTATTGTATGCGATCATATTTATTTCAGCTACTTAATTGAGAAATATTTAATTATCATAACAGAAAAATAAGACAAAAGCGAATTTTATTGAATTACAGTACATGGTAAATATCTATACATAAATCTAAGTTATATTTTCTTTTTTATTACCAAATAATTTTATTAAAAAATTTAATTTAATATGTGTGTGAATTTTTCTTTCCATTACTTTCTTATTACAAATTTAATGGAATTAATTTATAACTTTACTTATTATGACCGTATTGAATATTTTCAAATTTTTTTGGTAGTTGTTTATATTAACGAGATCTTCTGTTTATGAATCATTTGGATGCAAAAAGGGAAATAAATATTCAGAAGTGGCCTTCAAGATATAGAATAACGTAAACAAATCTTAAAATATTTCCCATGCTACCTCAATTTGATTTGCATTAAAGAGAGAGATTTCTTGAAGTAAATAGGTTAGACATTTATGTATCGTTTTGGTTTTCGCGTTGCATCATGGGTGGGCAAATAGAAATACGAGAAGAAAGCATTAATTACTTTAAAATCTTGCTTGATAAGGCACAACTGCTTACGTGCTTCTTCCATTTTAATTTACCAACCTGATATAAGTCAAGACTTGAGACTGAATTCATTTTAAGCGTCATTAATTTACCCACTAGTAAACATTTGATATCTCGCCTTAACCCTCCATCATTCTGAATTGTTCGATTTTCTCCCTCGTTCACTTTATTAATATTGTTGCACTTAATCTCATATCAATTTTCGTTTCGAAAGCAAAATTTACATTTTCCCGGAGTTTTTCTACATAGAAATCCCTCGCGATTTTATAATAACGACGACGATGACTGCGTACTAGGGTGATGTTGCAATCAGTTACACATTTATATTTTGTGAAATCTTGAATTTCGTTGTGTTTATGCCAATCTAAATTATGACTTTAAATTCATTGTTTAGATTTAATTTGACTTCACTTAAAAATTGTTGGAAATTTGAGTGTGAGCTAGGAAGTTTAGTAACTTTGTTGACTTTCATAACTTAGAAAAAAAAAATTTGTTTTATGTTTTATGGAATTGAGTCACGTATTAAGACTACTGAAACTTCTTTTTTTTCTTTTCTGCGTTAAAATGATGTATCTAATCAAAATAACATGATGCATCCAACAGTCGACTCATATTAACTTTCATATTAACATATTCATGATGGAATTACTAAGAAGTGACAAACGAAATTAAAATTCGGCGAAATCATTTTTTGCTACTCATGAAATTCAAGGTTTCGCTTTTTATTCGCAAGGTAAATTTTCTCTCACATTAATACCTACATAAATATAGTTTACATATTTCAATACACAGTAGGTTGATTTGAGAGTCTTAGATAAAAATTGTCCTATATAGAGGTGCATGTTATATTAATGTCCTTTTTTAAAGAGAAAGCTTTTGTCATATTGAGTTTTAATGACCTGAAAGACTTGAGGCATATTAAATTTACCTTTTAAAAGGGTAGTGTGATGAGCAAGCTATGGAATTAAATGTTATTTTTGCAAGATTTGTCACAAGATTCAATGTAAGAATTTTTTTAATTATCTGTGAATTTTCTTTTCGATACATATTTCCCTCAATTTATTTATTCACTCGTCGCCTTCTCAAAACAGGCAAAAATTCTTATCACGCAAACGTGAAGTTAGTGAATAAGCAAAACCTGTTAATACGAATATTTAATGCTCTATTTGAAATTGTTTCTGTTGGTTTTACTTTCTTTTCAAATCCCTTTTCTAAGAATCAAGATCATTGGAGAGGAAAATTGTTGTTCAACTGAAACATGCAGCGTTTTGTCATTTATTTTCCAATCTGCGACTATCCGCCTCTGATCTATACGGTTCTCACTTTTTTCTTTCTTGTTGCAAAATAGAAGAAAGATTTATAGACCAAATCGGGTGAAAAAAAACAAATTTTGTTGTGAATTAATTGCCTCTCTGTTCTCGATTTACACTCCTCAGACCTCATTAAAACGAAAATTTCTTCCCTTTTTTTCAAAAATTATTTGGTGCAAGGGAAAATTTTGTCGTAAAAGCAAAAGGGAAAACTATGAAGAGAAGAGAGGAACCTTTAGAACTCATCATCGACTTTTTGAGAAATTTGGTTTTCTTTGAGAGTAGACAGTATGATTTTTCGATTCATCCGGGGTTGGAAAAATGTTTTTGACAATAATTGAAAAACTCATCGCCCGCATTCGAAGATTGATAAAGAAAGAGAACAAACAGATGGGCAGAATCATCGCGAATGAAACGTGTGTCATCATCAATTTAATCTTCTTAAATCCTTGATTTAGTTTCCCTTACTTCTTTAACATTTTTATGCTATTGGAATTGAAAGAGAAAAATATAAAAATCAGAAATAAAGATGTGTGATAAGAATCTTTAATGATTGAAAATGCGACGTACATTGAAAAACGAGACACGCGACTGCATCGTTATTGACAATATGGCCAATTCTCTCTAATCACTCGACGACGTACAATTATAAGAGGGTAAACAGAAGCAGTTCTCTGTTTCCGGCAAAATATTTTGCACTTTTCTTTCTCTTCTTGCTGGTAATCAACGCTTTCAAGTCAAAATTAACAAAATGAAATAACAAATCCAGGTCATGACTTGTTTTATTAGTGTTATCTCAAGATTCCCTAGTGTACGATTTGAAGCAGATTTAAATGAAGCTTAACTATAAATTCTCCAGTGGGAAATGAGGCTCGAGATTTTATTTCACAACTCGACACAGTAAAAGAAATCGAAACCCTTTTCTGCTAACCCGAAAAAATAAAACTAATGAAAAGTTGGAATCTCCACACATCTGTCGCGATAATTTCATCTAATTTCAAATATATTCGTTTATTTTTCATCTTGGGATGGCTTGTGATCCTTAAAAGAAGATAACAGAAAGTCAAAAATTAATTCTATTCTGTTTATTTAGATAGAGGGTTTTGATTTGATCTAACTCTTATTTTGTAATGAAATTGAAATATTTATCTAGATATTTATTGTTAACAGCAAAAGCAAAAACAAAATTTTGTGACTGAAATTTTAAGGAAATCGTGTCCGAGCTGACGTCAAGAAATTTAATAAGCATTTCTTTCAAAACAATCGATGAGTAAGAAATGTGTAAGGAAATTCAAAACAAATTTTCCATTAAAGTAAAGGAATCCTTTTCTTTCTATTTTCATTCATTTTATTGCCATCCTCGAGTGTGTTTCGTGAGTCGGTTCGCTTACATAACAAAACTAGGCTTGTACACAATTCGCTCACTTATACTTTCTTACTTACGATTAGGATATTTATAAAGACGGTGCCTCCATTGTTTCATTTTAGCGTGAATAGGGTAGATCGATTAGTTTTGATAACTCAAGCAGCGCACAAAATCTAAGCTAAACTTAACAAAAGTAAGGAAAAAGGATTGCGATAAAAACAACAACAGAAAGTGATTTTCAGAATGAATATTTTCACGTAAAATAAAAGTTATTTTTGCTAAGGAAAAAAACGGCAAAGAAAGTAGCTTAATGACAAAGGATAATGGTTGGAAAGTGTAAGGGGAAAAGGGTGAAAGACTTTTGAACTTATATTTTTATAACAATCATTTTGTTCACACCGCAGGGAAAAAGGCTAAAACTTCAGCGCTCTGAATATGGAACAGACGTCAAAAGATTTCATGATTTTGTAAAAAATCTTATAATGGCCATAGTCGTAGTCATTATCATTAAGTTACCTTTTTATATTCTTCGTGTAGAGTGTTAAAATCACGAAAAGTAATCAATAACTTTTCATTGTACAACAATAAATTGTGAAGTTATCTATTACCTACTCAATCATGGAAGAGAAATGAGATGAGTTACTTTTATTGTTTAGAAGGAAGAAAAAAATTAATGAAACGAATTTACAAAGGAAAGGATGATGATTATCTTTTTTTCTTGCAAATTCGACATAAAAAAATAATATAGAAGCAACCTAACTGGAGACAAGTAAAGACGACAGATAGCTAGATAAGAGGTGAATATCACCGATCCCCAAAATATCCGTAGAACCCTTTTCTAACAATTTTATCGCTTTTTTATCAATTTAACCTTTCTTAAAAGAAAGAATGGACAAATTGCCTTTCCTCCTTTTTATCCTTTACTTTCACTTTGAACGAAACATCGTAAGTGTGACATACTCACACTCGTCGGGAATCGCCTGGTACCGATAAATACCGAAATACTCGCTGCCACGTGTCTCCCTCGGATCTCTGAAGACCCTCGTCTCACGCCCCTCTTGCCTCTCGATACCGTGCCCCTCAAACCAGTCGCCACAGTTTCCCTTTTCCTTTATAAAAAAAACAAATTAAAAAAAAAAATCCTATGTCTCCATAAATTCATATTGAAATTGTTAGTATCATTTTTATTTGTTTTGCATCTCTCCAAGATGCTCAACAAGATGTGGTTTGAGACTCGTTGATTTTTATTCGTTCTTGAGCTGTCACTCCTTGACTCACTTCACCAACAGCAAAAACATTCATGCAATCTTCGTCAATTTTCTCAACAGCACCAACTAAATATTTATGAATGAAATTTCTTGAATTTAGATTCTCATAAAATCCTCCAATAATAACGCAATCAAATTCCTTCACAACATCTCCATCAAAATAATCAGCTTTCACTTTATACCAACCACCTTGTCTATCGCCAGGCTTATAAATTGATTGTGCATCTTTAAGTACAATTCCTTCCTCTTGTTTTTCAACTGCAGCATTGAAAAGATCCAACATATGATCAACATCACGAATTCTAATTGGTTTTGTTTTCACCATCACACCAATACGATCTTTAAACAGTTGTTGAAGAAGTTGGCATCTCTCAGTGTAAGGCCGATTCATGTAACTTTCATCATTGTAAAGCAGAATATCAAAAGCACAGAAACATGGTCGAAACTTTGAACTTTTGTCTTTTATATTTTTGACGTCCACTGGTGTTTCTCCTTTGGTGAAATAACGACTTTGATATGTATCATAAACAAGCATTTCACCATCAAGAATAATCGAATGAACGACTGTAGAAAATTTTATCAATGGTGCTAAAAGCATATTGAAACCTTCGCTAAATTCATTCGAGACGTGATTCGAGTGCTTCATTTCTTGATGCCGCTGCTACAATCGTTTCAAAATCCCAATCATCTATAAATGCACGATTTGATAAACTCTTATCTTTCATTCCTTGCAAAAAAAACGGTTTCTTATGATGTTTTTTGAATCTTTTAAACCGCATAATTCTGCTTGTCGAAGCAATCGGACTCGGAATTCGCGTGCACCTTCATCTGGCAATTGTTTCATCGAGTTAAATGTATTCAAATGTGCATTTATGTCAACTGTTGTTCTATAATAGCTGTCAAGTTTTCNTAATGGTTGGAAAGTGTAAGGGGAAAAGGGTGAAAGACTTTTGAACTTATATTTTTATAACAATCATTTTGTTCACACCGCAGGGAAAAAGGCTAAAACTTCAGCGCTCTGAATATGGAACAGACGTCAAAAGATTTCATGATTTTGTAACAAATCTTATAATGGCCATAGTCGTAGTCATTATCATTAAGTTACCTTTTTATATTCTTCGTGTAGAGTGTTAAAATCACGAAAAGTAATCAATAACTTTTCATTGTACAACAATAAATTGTGAAGTTATCTATTACCTACTCAATCATGGAAGAGAAATGAGATGAGTTACTTTTATTGTTTAGAAGGAAGAAAAAAATTAATGAAACGAATTTACAAAGGAAAGGATGATGATTATCTTTTTTTCTTGCAAATTCGACATAAAAAAATAATATAGAAGCAACCTAACTGGAGACAAGTAAAGACGACAGATAGCTAGATAAGAGGTGAATATCACCGATCCCCAAAATATCCGTAGAACCCTTTTCTAACAATTTTATCGCTTTTTTATCAATTTAACCTTTCTTAAAAGAAAGAATGGAGAAATTGCCTTTCCTCCTTTTTATCCTTTACTTTCACTTTGAACGAAACATCGTAAGGATAAAGAATTTTTAAATCCACGCATTGTCTTCATTATCTCTACGTTTCGTCTTTTTAATCCTCCACATAAAATAAACATATCTTCAAAAGTGAAAATGCGGGTGAGTTGTATATACATCCCTCCGAAGAAAAAAACTCAATATAATCCCAAAGTAGCAACGGAATGAATTGAAAAGAAATCGGAAGAAAAAAATTTTCACACGAAATTGGTTTCATGTGATTTTTCGTCATGTGTTTCTTTCTTTCTTTAATGGAACGAAGTATCAGAAGTTTGAGAAGGGCTTTTTGAGGAAAGAAAACTGCACCCATTCGAAAGAGAAAGAAAAGATAGAAATGAAAATTATATTTTATTTATTTTCCATTACATTTTCCGATAAGGTTTTGGATCTCATAGCGTTTTAGTTTTATGAATCTCGAAAATTTATTCTCTTTCGATTTTGAAATCGGAAAGGTGAAATTGAACATAACAAAATTAGAATATAACAGAGAACCTATGAAGTTAAGAGTCACTATTTTTATGGTCAATTGGAAAGACATTAAAACAGTAGATTATAAATTAAAACAATGTATGCAGTTAAAGATTGGAAGCCTTTTCAATTGGAGGAACAAGTTACAAACATTATATCTAATGCATACATGCTACTGTCGTTCTGTTGTCATGAACAAGTTGATTGATTTAAATTTTAAAATTAGTTTTAGAAAGAAAAAAAGTCGATTGATTTGAAACTGTGTGTGCAATTGTTTATTGTCTTTTTAATCAAAGTATTATAGCTGCAAATAACAGCAAAAATTCTGAATTCTGCTCACATTTTCTTTCGAATTTTTCGTGTTTTCAGCTCCTTGCTTTCTATTTGTATATTTTTAACATAAGCAAACTCTCCCCCAACCGGAAAAAGGTGCCAATAAGTTCGTGAAGTGAAGCGATTGATTTGAAAGATATTGGAAAAGAATAAAAAGCAACTTGGCGCTGCGAGAATCTCTTCTCCCTTTATCGATTTGTTTTTGTATACCCACATAGACAAAGCTTCCTCCTTAGAACAAAACATGAAAGTTTAAAGAAAGTCAAATCAGGTCATTTTTAAACGAATCCCGCATATGTACCTTTGCAAAATAATTTTGTCATTTTTGTACTAAAAATTTAAGGACAACACTTTTTGGAAAAAGTAAAAAAGAATCATAAATATTTTCAAAGCTAATCCTTCTCGCATATTAAAAGCTTGACAGTATAAGCCATATGCATTTGACGGTTTTTCACGTCCATGTTTTATTTTTGGTTGTGCTTTTCAAGCATCAAGCATTTTGGAAGAAATTTTTTTGTGTAAGTATTGTAATGGTTGCGTGTATTGAGTGTATTTGTGTCTTTTCGCACCCACACAATAATTTAGAAAATCATTTTCTGGGGTTGAGTTCGTTACAGAAATAAATAGAATAAAGAGAGAAAAATATTTTGCTTCCATTGCAAAATCATCTTCATCTGAAAATTTCGGTATCGAGTATGGAAACGAACAATTCCCTCGTTCAATAATTCAATCTTTATGGATGGATGGTAGCGGAAAAATGGGGAGACCCTTGCTATAATGCCAGGGATCCAATTAATTAAATTTTCATTTTAAGCTTCTCTCAGCAAATTTCACACGATTTGCATCAGTGCACTTTCGAATTATTCTCTCTTTCGTTCTATCGCTTTTCTATGTTGAAGATTCATCGTCACCGATGATGATGATTATAATAAAAGTAGAAAAAGAAAATAAAAATTATGAGGGCGAAGACTACGTGGAATGAGTCGACAAGATCTGATAACTCGCGATCGAAAATGCAATTAATTCTCGATTGAATTTGATTAGAAAAACGGAAGAAAACCGAAGGACTGACTTCGAAAAATATAAAAAATCTGACACGGGCTTATAGAAATATTTTATGAATATAAATTAGAGAATATTTTCGCATTGTCATCGCCTTAATTTGAAAAATATCGATTATTATTATTATTACTAAAATGCTTTATTTTGCAAGGGATTTCTGGGTTCAATATTTTAAAAGACGACATTCTCAGTCAAGTATTGTTCTTTTGTAAGGGATATTCATAATTCGAGGCTGAACAAATTAAAGCATTGATCCGAAACCAATAATTGATGATGCATTTTGAGTTTCAATGACACTACTAGACGTAGAATCACTGGAACCAACAAGATGAAATTGGAAGCAGTAACTAAGCATGATATACATAAGTAATTATTACACATTAACGTATATTCGTTCATTTTTTAAAAGAGGGATAAGGGGAAAGTAAACCCTCTTGTACCGATTGAAGCCCAGGCTTAATTCGTTTCGCCATAATTATATTTCGTATTGGTTGACTCATCAGTTAGAAAGTAATAATTACGAGAAAAGTTCTATTTTTAAATAAATAAAAAACAAATGTAAAGCGGAAATAAAAACATAATTAATTTTCTTTTTAATCTCATGAGAAGTTTTGAAGTCGGAACGCGACTTCTTCATTCTATTTGTTGAAATTTATTGTCGGTTATCTTCGAGTTAATGCTTAAAAACTGAACAGAGATTTGATTTAATTAAATAATTAGTAACTTTTAAGGTTCCACTTCCAAATGCTTATTCCATAGATCTATTCATAGTCGTTTTAGGGAGAGGGGAAATTTATTAAATTTGTTATCAAATGTGACTAAAAGATTTCTTTTATTCCATTGATGTCTTTAAAGCCCCAAACTTCATTCTCATAATACAGATAACAAAAGACAAAGTCAAAAACGAATGAAGAGAAGCCGCGCATTGCATATGGGAAAAAATAAAAAGAAAGAGATGAGCAGGCACGAATCTAAGTTCTGACCTTTGCCATCCAATGGTTGTTTTCATCTTTTTTTATTGTCTCTAAGTGTTTTTATTTTAGATCATAAGTTTTTTTAATAAACTTTCTCATATTTTCACATTGATGTTGCTGTTTGTACATTTGAAATCATCATCATTAATTTACATATCACTAACATAATGCATACTCTACTGAAAATATAGAAATTGTTTTAACAAATACTGAAAGTCTCCATTAATCGATGATGTTGAAAACAGAAATGTTATTAACAAAAAACTTTTTTTATATTTACATACACCAATATTTCATTTATTTTATCGTCCCTTAAGATGCATGTATCATCACATTTTTCATCGTTATAAATAATAGTTCAGTCTGATGCTTCTTATAAAAAAATGTTTTCTGTTTTACTCCCGCTTAGCAATACAAAGAAAGAAAAAAGGGAGCCGGGCAACATGCACCAACTGTCGTAGCTCTGTTTGATTCTGCTACAGTATTACAGTCATGCGCAAGTGTCATTTTACAAAATTAACGTGTTGGAAACCAAATTTATTGGGAAACGAAAAAGAAGAATGCGAAATGCTTGCTAATTCATGGCTTAAAATTCGTTCTAATGTGTCTTGTGTCTCCATAATAATAACTTTTTTCTTCTTCTGTTATTCTGGATTGAAAAATGAAAGATATCTTTTTTTAAAAACTATACATGTTTAAACAGATATCTTGTATACAAAATACAAATAATGAAAAAGAGAAAAGAAATTTAAATAAACAATTAAAATATTATTTCGAGAATCTTCAACCGCAACAACATTACCATATCAAAAATCTATCAAAAAAGGTATACGCTGTTAAGTTTGAAACTACAAGACATGGGTATGAATGATTGAATGATGGAATGGAAACAGTCAAAGCAGCACAACGTAGAGAAGCAGAAAGAAAAACAACAATCAATCAAAAAAAAATGTAAAAAACATATTTATATAAATGCTTCCCGTTCTAAATTCTTCTTTCTTCTTTCACTTCATGAACTTTCCGAAATGGGTAGATATCTCAAAACATCATCTTCGGACCTAACTGATTTAAACTCACAAACACATTGAACTTAAAAAATAGAATAAACCGGCACGACACAAGATTTGTGAGGAGAGAAAAATAAGCATGAAAAATAGAAAGACTGAATGTTCAGACAGAGTAGAAACGTCTGATGTCAGGGACGCCATCGGAATACCATATTTGATAGATATACATATTGAAATAGAGTTTGAAAATGTGTTTATGTAAACAATGTGGATATTTATGTTTAAGAGAATAAATACATATATTTTCAGCAAACAACAGTCTGAAACTCTGTAACCCTTGCTGACCTCTTGTTTACGCCTTTACTTTAAGACGAAACATGTAAATACGCATAAACCGACACACACATGCAGTATGTACATTAGCGATCAGAGAGATCTTAACGATCTGATAGGGCACAGGCAGTCGAAAATGAATAAAAATTTGTGTAACAATCCAAAACTTTCTTTGAATCCATTTCCAACCTACAACTTCTTTGCTTGACGAGAGTTAAAAAGAGGGACGACTACAGACGTGTTCATATCATGACACTGGAATCACGACGTTTGGAAATTTTGCTTCAAACCTAATGGAAGTTAAAGTTAAACAAACTTCAGTCTCATTAAATAAACACTGTAAGTTTTTTCAGTCTTTCTCCTCCAACTGCACTTACTGTTCTTGGCCCATCAATCATCTACTGTGACACAGAATCTGTTTCGTTTCTCTTTCGTTTCTTAAAACTTCGACGACGACGATGATGATGATGGCTTTAAAGGGTAAATGGATTCATATACATATTGAAGGAGGGAATGGAAAGTGAATAAGTTTTCAACTCAAGATATTTTGTGAGCAAATTCGAAGTTCGAACAGACAAAGCAGCAGAAGGAAGCAATATGCCTTTTTTTAATAACCACTTGAGTACTTCAGACATCAGAGGTTTCACGGAAGCTCTTATGGAAAAGCATCAGACGATGATGCAATAAAAATGAAGCAATGCAACATCGTTATCTCTTTTTTATGTCTGCCTGCTTTTTGAAAGAGGAAAAATTGTTTTATTATGCTTTTAGATCCTTTTTTTCATCGTTCTTATTGTGAGATCTGTCGGCCTAAACGAGACACTTCACCCATCGTGTTATGGTGAAAGAGAAGTAAAAGAAGTGCCGAATTATCAATAGAATTTGAAGAATGCATATATTGTGTAAATTATGAAGGCAGGAAACACTTTTAAGTATCGATTGATGACATAAAAACATTGCATTATATCAGTGTTGTCTTATACATGCTGTGATTACCACCCACCGTGTAGTTCGTTCGTTTTTTAAAGTGAGTCCCAAAAACATGACTCAGAGGGTCACTCGAATAAAATTCTTTGAAGTGTATTCATAAATTTCATAAATAAAAGTAACAAAAAAGAGTCAAGGAAATTTGCTTACCACGTCCATTTCTCAATAAATTTATATTATTATATCCACCACCGCCAACACTATCATCCTCTCGATCACGACATTCCATTGTAGTGTTGAATTCGTACGATGACGATCCCAACATTCCTTTTGTCTTTTGTCCTTTTTTCCTTGATTTAATGAAGATTTTGAGTCACTTATTTGAGTCCTTTTTTATGTTTTACTTTTGATTCACAAAAAATGTATGATACAGATTATTCCAGATCGCCAAAGGGATCGGATATGGTGGATGCTGATCTTTTCATGAGATCAATTTATTATTTGTCATTTGTACTTCCCAACTCACTTCTATTTCTCGTCTATTTCATAAATATCTCTGATGGTTTTCTTAATAATTTTTTAGAATTCGTTTCTGTTGAAAATATTTTTCCATTTATTTATACATAATTTGAAAATATTTTAAGAGAATGAAGAAATAAAATCATGCATAGAGTGTCGACAGATAAAGATTCATTTCACTTTGCTCAGCTCATGCAAAATGGTGCTTAGTGTTTTATACTTTTTTTTTCTTCCAGACTCTGGAAATTCCAAACAATTTCTATGGGAACGTTTCCGGCCTTAGCAAATTGCAAAATAAAGATTACGGCTAGAACAAGAAAAACTTCCGTTCAGAGAATGCTGATAAGAACGATACTTTCAGCTCCACTAATCGCGCAGTTCTAGTAGAATTACATTCATAAATATTTTAAGTAAAAACTCTTTATATAAATTAAATTTTCGAAGGCTGACTGACATATAATGCGGAGAAGCATTAAAGTAGCAGAAAAGTATCTTATTACAATCTTTTATGTCGCCTTATGGTTCTCATCATTTCATAACAATATGTTTAAGTCTTCTCAGTTTGATTTTTTTCTCTTTAATCCAAGCTATTAAAGTTAGGATTTATTCATTTTGTTTTTGCTGTTGATTATTGATTCTGAGAAACCAAAGCATCTCTATGGTTCAAACCTCTTTACTTGACCACAAAGTGATATGCATATTGCTTTATTTATTTTCTTTTTAATATAAATATCGATTATGATACTGAGAAGTCATATCGCATTTTTGAAGGTTAATTCCTTCCCAGAATCGCGAAAATAATTCAATTTTCATTCTTTAGAATTATTGATGTATTTACCATTTTTAATCATGATTTTAAGATATTTAAATTTTTACAGTCTGATGCTGAGCATTAAAAGAAAAAGAAAAAAAGAATCTTAAAAACTGCTCAGTTTTATGAGGAACATCAAACCGTCTTTCAATACTTCATATTTATTCCAACATGCAAACTTGACTTGATTTTCTTGCTTTGCACAATTTGAGTTTCATTCAACATTCAAAATTGTTTATACATATGCATGCATTTGAACTCAGCTCAGAGAAACGTTAAGTCGAAACTGATCAAAGAAGACGTTGAAGCAAAATTAGAAAAAAATAATTAAAAATTCCATCTCTTAAAGTTTTTGCGTAGGTGGATATTAATGAACAAAGATTTAATCTTATATTTTTTCGTTATTGTTTCAGACCAAAAATTATTTTTCGTGCAGCAAAAATGAAATATTTTTAAAACAAAGAGAAATATAAGAGCTGAAAATCGTAAATATTTGTACACATTTTGATAAATAAGTAGAAATGGAATGGGTTGGAAATGGAAGAATTTACCACCATGGGAGATGTTAATTTGTACTTTAAATGTTCAAACAAGATGTGAATGTTAATTTTCTTCAATTTAATAATCAGTACTTTGGGATGAGGCTAGTGTCAAAGTTTCTAAAATAATGTTTCAAAACTTTTTGTTTGTTTATTGATCAAGAATTATTTATTCATGAGTCCAATATGGAAGTATCAAATGTAATCAATCATTTTTTGATTTTCTTATAATATTTGCATGATTGGAACGATTCTCATAATAAGAATTGCATAGATAAGCTTATTTATATTTGCATAATTCACAAGCATTTATATTTTTCTTCTCTCTTTTCACTCTGTTTCGTTTTCCTCTTCTCCTTGCTTTGAAATTTTTTCACAATTCATTTTTTCTATTCCGTTTCTTGAGTTTTGTGATTAGTTTCGCTCGCCGTTCAACATTTATGGGATTTCTCTTATGTTTATTTTTTCTTCTTTCGTTTTCTTTCGGTATTTTATTCAATGTTGTATTACTCGCTTTCTGCAGCGGAATAGGTAAAAGAAGAAGTTTGATTGAAAACGAAAAGGTTCTTAGTGAGAACTCGCTTATGGGCCAAATGGTGTAAAAACCACCCACTTTTAACAGTTTGCGAAGGATTTTCGTGAATTTTTTTTCAAATTTTGAGCTGCGCAAAGTGAAACTCAGCGTTTCATGAAATTTTCATAAAGGAACAGTTTTAGAAAATTCAAGAAATTCTCGTAGGTGCAACGATCCAGGGACGATAAAAAAATGACAAAAAGTCACCCACACAGAAATAGCCGTGGAAATATTTTCCTCAGTCCAACTAACACATACAAAACGCAGGAAAATGTCCTTCTTGATCAAGTTGCTGACACTGGAGAAAAAAATCGCATTTTCATTCTTTAAATTTTTTTCTTACAAATTTTATTTTCACTTTATCAATTTTATTCCTTTTCAAAAGATTTCTTTTCACAAACTCTAGAATATTATAACATCCAGATCCATAGGAATGGTCACACACGAACTTTGAAAGTAATTTTCCCTCACATTTGATATATTTTTTTATTTTCCCATTTTTCATCTGTTTTTCTATTTAATTTTTAATATGAATAGGATTACAACTCCCAATACATTATTATGATTCTCAATTTTATTAATGATGTTTAATTCTTCTGATTTTTTTCTTTTTCTTAATTTTTAATATACGAAAAACAACATTACATGAACTGACTGGAACGACTGTCTCTGGATAACTAAAAAAAGTGTTAAAAGATTCTGTCTCCAAACCTGGGAAGTTTTATTTTACACTGTTTTACACAAGCATAAATATGAGCAATATTGAGAGGATTCCGAGAAAAAGAGAAGAGAAGGGCCTATTCCAACGCTCTGTGTTTGCATTGAAATATGAATGTGTTAGTACGTCTGGAGGTTCCGAAAGTTCATGCGAAAATATTTTTAAAGGGAAATCAAATAAAGATTTATGAGAAACATTCAAACTCTTCGTAGTGTTGGGATCTTTATTAAGTAAAGAAATACGTGTTGGTAAACAAGAGAAAAGAAATGATTTGAGAAATGAACTGTAGAGAGAATTTTCGTTGAATCATCAGACTTAAAAGAAAAATTATTAAATTAGAATATTATGTTCCGTCTTATGCAAATTATGTTAACATTTAAATTCGTGTTTAAATTTTCATCAAAAACTTTCTTTCCATTTTTGCATAAATATTGCAGTCAGAATTGGCACATGTTCTGAAAGTCCCAAAAACGTTTGAATTTCCTAAAAAACATATATCTTCAATCTGGCCGGATGTGTTGATGGTGTGTGGTTTAAATGATGGGGAACATGTGATGCTGTCATATTAGAATAACAATTTAACACTTGAAATCATGCTAGGGTATACTGCAGGATGGCATTAAAATGTTTTCCATTCCTATCTATCTCTCTTTCTCGTTTGAATTTTCTCTTCTCTAAACCTTATTTTTGGGGAAAAATTTTTTCTCGTAATCATGCGCTATGGAGCTGCTCCCGGCTTCAGCAATAAAATATCCCTCTATCTTTTTACTCAAAATTGCTAGCAATAGATTTTTTTGTCAATCTGACAGAGGAAATTTAAATGTACGTTGAAGAAATGTAAGTGTTAGTGACCGTCTGACAAAATTTTTCCAAGAATGAAAACCTTATGAAATATTTTTTGACTATGATTTTTAATACCCACACCTTCCACCTACCCCTGAATTTCTCTGTTCTTTAGAGAATTTTTTTTTTATTCCACATTCAAGTGACGTTGACATAGATTTATTATCATTAACCCCTCTCAAATGGAGCAAATCCTTGATACATATCGCTCTCGAAAGAAAATTATATTATAAAAAGTGAATAAGTTTGTGTAGGTGAGAAATGTTTGTATCTCTGAGTGCATGAAGCAGCTAGGAAAAAGGGTTTAAAAAAATGGGAAAAATTTTGGAAAACATACATTCCGTTGCACAAGCAAGTATTGCGAGACAAAGAATTTGAAAAATATAACAAAAATATTTTCTTAACTGGTCAAATGTCAATGAAAAGGAAGCGAATTAAGGAATGAGTAGAATAAGACAAAAAATATGAACTATTTATTATTTCCAGACATTTCAGATCAACGGTTTTCATGTTATCTTAGAAACGAAAAGGAAGTTTCGTATATTATGTTCATGAAATATGTATAATTAAGAAACTTTAATACTTTACCATTACCAATTGAAAATGATGTTTTCTTACGTTAAATTAATGTTCATACATTCATACTGAAATTTTAAGAAGTGATATGTGAAATATACAAGTTGCACCTAAAACAAAATCTTGATAGTAAATAAGAAACATAAACGTTATTATTTACATGCATCACATAAATATTTGTTTTCTTCTCTTCTTCGTTTTTCATTCCATTCTTTCATTTTTTGTTTTTTAACCAAACAAACGTGTTGTTTGACTTCAATGACTAGATTTCATTAGAAATTCTAGCCGTTGATTCAATTTCCATTCTAAAACCCTAATTTGTATGTTTTCATCTTAATTTTTTCTTTAAATTTAACTAGGTAGGTCATCTTCCAAAATAAAAAGCAAGCCAAAAGTTAATGTGATTTCAATATTCAAAAGTCTTTCTAAACTAAATATCTAGTTCCATCTCGATCAGTAGTTTCTGGAAAATAATTTCAGTGCGAATCAATCATTTGGGAATTATTTTTTTACTTTTTCAGTACACTCAGAAAAAAAATTAAAGATCAAAATATAAAAGTATTATTAATGTTTCCAAAGTAAAAAGAGAGCTGAAAATTAAATATTTACTTTCAAATCACGAATGTACACAATACTTCATGTCACCAAAATTAAAATTATATTTTTATTTATTTTGGATTTTCATTTATTTCATATAGTCATGTCATTAAGAATTTCTTTTCTTAAAGCATTAAGTACACAGTAAATTAAATTTGCATAAAAATGGTATGGATTGTCATCAAATTATTCAATGAAACACTACTTAGATTAGAATGAGTTTGTGCTTAAATATGTGATTTATATGTATTTTTTACAATCATCTTCTCTTCAAGTAATCGACATGAAAGTTAAGAATAAAAAAATAAGTCGTCAGAAAGGTAATCTGTAAATATTAATGACACGTTACAATCAAAAGAAAATCAAACTAAAACTGTTTACGAAGCGACATACGAATCATTATTTGCCTTACAGCATAACAATTACATTGTTATTAATTGATGCGTTGCGTTACAGGAAGCTAATAATTGGTGGATAGCAAAATATGATTTTCGATCAATCAATCCAGTTTGATCTAAATGTAAATCAAAAGAATGATAAACATTGAACTTATTAAAAAAAAGAAATGTTAAGGAATCAAATTATTTTTGACGGTTTCCTATTTTCCTTACTGCATTTTATGAATAGCATAAGATTTGTTTTTTTCTTTTCATTGATAATATGATATGACTTTGTCTTTTAATTTTAATTAGGTATTATGATTTATTTATGAGTAATAGGAAGAACAAAATGGAGTTCAAATAAAAATGTTTTTATGAAGTAGATAGTAAAAAATGCGATGGAAGTTGCTACTTAAAAAATGAAAAAGGCTTTTAAGTACACAAACAGTACATCTACTTACTTCCTTTTTTCATGTCTACTTTATTTAAGCCTTTCTATGTGAATAATATTCCATTCATTGCAGCGTGCTTTCTATAAAAGATGGTTATATGTAGGGAGTAGAAATTATTCACCGAGAAAACTTATTAATCGAATCAAATCACTTGCAGTGATTTTTTTAAACATTTCCATATTTGAAACTGAAATCAGTTAAAAATCTTAAATTTTATTTGCTCTTAGAAGGATCAGGTGAAGGAAAAATATCAAATCGTTAAGAAAAATTTCCACCGACCTTTAAAAAGATTTTCAGTTACATCATGAATTGATGGAAATGGGAATTAAAACTTAGGAAAACATTTTATCTTTTTTTAATTTTTAATGAAATTTTTAATAACGATATACATATTGGAGAATTTTGAATAAATAAACATAAATATAAATATACCTAATTGCCCGGCTAGTTTGAATTTTATCAGGTGTGAAATAAAAATCCATTGATTTGATAATATTCGGTGATTGTTATGATTTAAATTAATTGATACTTATTTGATAACTGTGAATCTCTATTAATTAAATGATAAAATAAAAAAGATATATATAGCATAAATAGATAGATCTATATGTTTATAAATTCACATAACATAAATGACAATTTTTTGGCTTTCAAAAAATAAATAAGTGATTTATGAGGATATTAAATGCTTGTCTTCTTTCTTTTTTCTTTCATAATTGTGCCTAATTGTGCTTTTGAAGGATATTATGTGTCGTTTAAAATAGTTCTTTGCTATCACGTGTTTCATAAGTTTGATAAGAATTTTGAAACTAGAAATAGGAAATAAGGAAACATGTTATGCAATTATTAGATAAATATTTAGTAATTTATGTCTATTTGCAAACAAAAACTCGTTATAGAGTCTTCTAGCATTGAAAAACACTGAAGTTTATTGTGTTTATCATTAACACTAATTATAACAACAAAACTACTACCCATGTTACTAATCTTGCTACTAACGATAAACTGAATGATTAAAAATATTGTGGAAGCGAAATTAGATGAGAAAAATTTATTTTGATATATTAATGTCATTGTCTACTCTTCTGCTTCTGTAAAGTATGTATCAGCTCATTCTAATTTTTTTTTGCACACATACCAAATTTTCATGATTTCTAGAATATTTTTATCGACTTCTAATATAAAACATTTTAATCGTACACTACTGATCAGTGTGCTTTTTGTATTATATGGATGAAAATTTTTAACACTTTACGGTCAATAAGTTCTTTCTGGAGCTTACTTAATTATTTTAAAACATTTTTATGTATAATCTAGTTTCTAATTTATCTAGGTGTTATTTATTTTTATTCAATTAGCATAAAATTTCATTCTATAAAAAATTTCGGTTTCATTTTTTATATTATATTTAGATATAATAAATATATAAATATATTAACAGTAAACAAATTTATTTGATCTTAAACTTTTAAATTTTATAGTTAAATCACAACGTGATTTCATTTTATCTACTGATTTATGGTTAGTAAATGATTATTTCATGTATGATTCATAATGTAAAATATCGGACTTCTCGAAGTGTCTAATTTATAAAAAAAAAACATACTTATGTGAAAATAAACCGAAATTGTTTTGTGAAATTCTCAACATATAAGTAAAGACAAGTTTCAGATCATCGAAAACTTCCAGAATCTGCTTTAGTTATAGTTAGCTTCTGAACCAACTTCTGGTTCTTCAAAAGCTTTCAAAGCCTTATTTGATTCCATTTCTGGATATCATTAGAAGCTTTTAAACCTTACAAGTAATTTGGCTTCATTTATTATACTGTTTTTTTAAAAGGAAAAAGTGAAGTTTGATATTTTGCATTTTGAAACTTTACATTAACAAAAACAGAATTTCACGTTTATTCTTTTATTATTATTGTTATTTTTTTTTTGAAGCAAAATTAGCTGGATCCAGTACAATGAGAAATGAGTCTTTATGACACGTACATATGTTTGTTCATTATTTTTCTAACTCATATTTCAAATAAAAGATAATAAACCAGACTTCATACAAAGGTGATGATATTTTAAACTACCAAAATATTCAAATGTGAAATTTCCATTGTTTGTGACCATCTTCATCTAATTTTCTTTTTATTTTTTTAATTTGAATGTTTCGAGACGAATCGTGAAACAAAATGAAAGTTATTGACATTCATTCTTCGTGACACTAAAAATCTAGTAGATATATGAACATTTCATTATACTTATGACTACTGTTGCTGAATAATTTCTTCAAACTATATCCGTACCATTTTTTTTTTGCAGACTAGATTTACTTTTTGTTTTCTTATTTAATATTATCTAGTTTTTCGGCTCGAATAAGTTTTTTTTACCTTTCTCTTTCCAAAATGTTNAAAACGTAAAAAAAAAAATTTTAAGTAGATAATAATAACGTTTATTATTCATTCATTTCATTCAGTAATAATGTTAAAGAATTGTTTATCAAAGTACGGTATGTATTTACTTTTATGATTTTCCAAAAGATTTTCTTTTTTTTTGTTAAAGCTTATTTTGCAATTTTTATAATCCTCAATTTTTTCGTTCTTGCCATCCAAAAAATCTCATTTGTTTCAGTCGCTTAATGTTCACGAAACTACGCAGGTGAAAAAGTGAAAGTTAACAAGACATTTTTAATGGTTTGTTTTCCTCAACTTAGAATCTAAATGATGTTGATTATATTTGTCGTAAAAAGAATAGGCAGAGATGATGGTTTAAGAATTGTTACAATTAAAACATTTTAAGATCAAGATTATCATTACCAAATTGATATTTCATCATGTTCATGCATCTTTACTTTTAGCTTTCAATTGCGTATCCTTTATACGATTCGGCTCAATAAAACAGGACCGAGATCGTAAGAGTAGACGCTAGTTAGATCCATTTGTACTCTTAGATTGTATCGTTCCAGTTGGCGGACTTATTGTAACAGTTTTATTGCCAGTATCGATTTCTGTTCCATAAATTTTGCCGACTTTTTTATTAGTTATCGAACCAAGAAGTTCTTGACTTGTCCTGTGAGCGTTTCTTATTGATTGGATCCATTCTTTCTGGGCTATTTGATCCTATTTTAGAATGTCTTATGATCAGATTAAACTTCCAAATTATAAAATTTCTTTTTTACCTGATTGTACAATATAATGCGCTGAATATTGTCTTTAAGTTTTATTTGGATACTCGATTCGTTTTTATATGGCACATCGGCAGCCACTTCCTCAATTTGATCCATAAAGATCAGTTCGGGTTTATTATTTCTTGAAAGTGGTAAGAGTTCCAGTCTTTATAACAAAAATAAAAATATAGAAAGCATAGAATTATTTTCTTAGCTAAACTTAAATAATTACATGTTTAAGTCATCAATTCACATACCTATTAGGATACAGTTTGGCATATTTTGTCTGCCAGCCAGATGCAAATGAATTTCCGCGCTTTTTAATGTAGCCTTGAAGTATACAATCGCTTTCCTTCTCGTCGTCATAGAATCTTGCAAGCTTTTTTGCTTTATTTTTCTTCTCTAGGCGATCAACTTCTTGATTGACTGATTCAAATACTGTTTCGGTTATTTCCTGTTGCCATCTATGAATAAAATAATACACAATTTTCACATACTCCCACACACAAACTTAGTTATCGATTACCTTTCGGAAATCGTTAAAGAAAAATCTCTATAAATCTCTTGATCCTGATCAGTGATTTTCACAGCTTTTGTGTCATCTTCATCAAAGTTCCCAATATCGCAAGCATCGGCCGCATTTACCTCTCCTTTCGGAGGTATGAATGGGGGAGCGTAGTTCTGTTGATAAACTTGTTTCCAATCGACACCATGAAAGAAAGGATGTCGTTTAACCTTAATAGATAAACACATTATTGAATTGTTTTATAAATGAAATTATCAATAAGTTCTTATACTTCATCTGCTCCTTGTCCACCGCAGCCAAGCCTTTTGTCAACATCGCGTTGGAGAAGCCCATCAAGCAGACTTTTAACTTCGGCACTAAAGTTATAAATCAAATAAATTTTCTTCATCTGAAATTTGTTTATTTCAACTTTTCACCTATATGAATCAGGCAGTTCAACTTTCATCGTGAGAGTCATGCGATCAATTTCATGCTTATCTTTTGTTTTATGTTGACGAAATGGACTGTGACCCTTCAGCAGTTTGTAGATCATACATCCAAAGCTAAACCAATCTGCACAACTATCATAGCTCATACCTTTGCAAAGAACTTCTGGTGACATGTACCCATGCGTGCCAACACTAGCATGAGGTTTCTTTTTACTATTTTTTTGGAAATTGTATATTAGTGTCACTTCATTTGATGCCATTCTATAATTTACCTGAAATCACATGCGAGTCCAAGGTCGCTGATACGCACATGACCATTTTCATCAAGTAAAATATTAGCAGGTTTCAAATCTCTGTACACGATATATCTATTGATGATAGAAATAAGAATTAAATTTATTTTTGAGTGTACTCATTGAATAAATAAATAAGAATGGATTTTCGTGAGAATTTTCATAACTAACTTTTTCCACTAACGACTAATCAGATTGAAATCAATCTATGAAACACAATTTTTCTACATTATTATTAACAACTTGAAGCTTTTAGATTTAATAAAAAATCTAAAAAAAGAATATAAAAAAAATTCATTATACAAGAAATTTTTTAATGACAATATGTTTGCGTTTAACTTCCATGTAGGTTTTCAAATGACACATCCAACACTGAACTTTTTTTAGCAAATCTTTTTATCAACTACTAATTTCATACATAAAACGCTTTTTTTTCTTGCTTGACAGAATATTTTTCAGTTTAAATGAGAAACTTTATTAGTATGGAAACAACAAAAATTATTTTGGGTGATATATAATAAATTTTAAAATAATATTTCTTTACCGATATAATTATTTATTTGGATTTTTTTTTAATTTTAGTTCTCATGAGCCTTTCAGCTTTTGTCTCATGTTGCATGAAACCTTGTCCAAAAATTTTGCAACCAATTTGTGGAAGAATTGTCGGTTCAACACTTCCAGATGGCACTCAAAGTTTTGAGAATTTGTGTTTAATGGAAAATTATAATTGTGAGAATCCTTCGAAACAATACGAAAAGATTGGTAATGGCGAATGTGATCAATTAGATCTTCTCAAACATGTTAACTGATTTGTAAACCAGGATAATAAATGATAATTTTATCAATGAGAAAAAAAAATAGTACTCACCTTTTATGCATATGTTCCAATCCTAAAATGATTTCTGTTGCATAAAACTTCATATTTGTTTCATTGAATACACCATGTTGAGACAAATGATAATGTAAATCACCACCGTTCATTAAGTCAAGAATAAAACAGAGCTTGCTTGGTGTATGAAAGGCATAAGTCATGCAAACAATAAATGGACAGTCTTCGCCTGTTGATACAAGGCTCAACATTGTTCTCTCATTCAATGCTAAAGTTTCGCCCTGTTTCATTTTAATACGCTTTTTGTCGAGACACTTCATTGCGTACATCTTGCCGGTGTCAACTTTTCGGCAGCCATAAACTTCACCAAAGCCTCCACGGCCAATAATTCGGAGAACACTGAAGTCGTTCATTGTAAGCTGATAAGCAGAAATGATCATTTAAACATCCCTATGGATTCATTTCAATAATAAATTCTTACTTTCAAATTCAGCTCAAGATTCTTCCATTGAAGGAATCTAGTATAGCGTGAACTTTCCATAAAACATTTGAAAGGATCTCCACGTAAATGATTGAAAATCTCCTCGATGTATGGTTCGAAAAGATTAGCTGGAACTTCATTCTTTTGCAGGAAGCTATTGACATGAGCTACACATTCTTTTGAATATTCCTGCAATAAAATTACTTTAATTGAGGAAATTGAAAAATGGATTAAAACATCGCTTACATGTGTATGACTTAACATCTCTTTCATTATAAAATTGTCATAAATTGATTTTGCTTGTTTTTTTCTTTCTTCTGGACATTCTGTTTTTTCATAGTTCCGAATCTCTTCGTAGAACTTCAATTGAGGCACTGGCTCATCGCGATAATTTTCACAATAGTCTTTAAAAAGCAAAAAGCCTAAGTGAAAAAAAGATGTTTGATTATTATAATAAATAATAATACATGATAATAAAAATGTACGTTGTTACCTATTTTTTGATTGAAGATTTTATCAAATGTCACCTCGCTTTCCCTTTCAAGATATTTGTGCATGGCACTTCGAACACTGAAATGCAATTGTACATTTTGAATATGGAAATAGTTAAACACTAACAACATTAAGTAATTTATAAGTATGATAAATTCAAGATTGCTTGGGATTTATTAAAAATCTTAATGTTCTGAATCTTACTTATGAGATCATCTATGGAAATAGTACGTCCGTATGTATGAAAAAAAAAATCGATCTCACTAGAGTAAAATCTCTTTTAAATAACACGCGGAAAGTGTAAACAGAAAGAAAAATAAATTTTCATGGAAAAATGTTGATGATTTCATCTAAAATTACTTCGTTCTGCTTTGAAATAAAAGCTCTGTCGAAAAAAACTTTGCGTATAGTTTTTTTTTTCTTTTTATATTTGAGAATTTGTATTTATTTAATTTTTCTATGACGTCAGAAAATCATAATTCGCCAAGCTATAAAAAACGAAAAAAACTGTTTCTTCAGAATATCTGGTTAAATAAATACATTTAAATAAAAATTATGTAATTTGAATAATTTTTGTAAAATACTTTAATATTAAATTTAATCATCGAGAGCAAATATAATTCTGTTGGTGTCTTTCAGTTCTTATCGTTTGTTTACATTGAAATGCCAAAGCTGGTGGCGATAGAAATCACAGAGAAGTTTCAAATGATGTAAACAAAAAAGTATAGCTCGCACAATGTAGTTAATGTATGCACGTATTCACTCACCTGGGATCCGGTAAAATAATTTTTTTGCTGGATTCTGGAGTTTGTTTGCTCATTTCCATGGCCATCAAGTAGCTGACATCAGCAAGAACTGCTTCCAAATCTGCCATTGTATTCAGTTCTTCGTTTTTCTTCTTTGTTTATGATTTGATTCTCTTATGACACAAAGAAAAGTTGTTTTTCTCCGCAAAAACGTCTTCTATCTATGAAGAGTTTTTACACCGTAGAACTTTTTTAGTTATTTTTCATTTAAAGCCTCATCATTTTCAAATTGATTTTCCTCGGAAAAAAGCAATAAACAGCAATACAGTTCATTTTTTTAATTTAGTTTTCAGACAAATCCCAAACTCCTTCTACGACTCTATGAAGAGAAAATAAATTGAAGAACTTTACTATTACAGACCCAAAGATGAATTTGAAGAATTTAAGAATATCTGTAAAATATTCGCAAAAGCATAATCTTCGATTTTTTAAAATAAAAACCCGAGAACATTTATATTTCAATTAAAACATTGAAGAAAATTATTTGATTAGTTTGGACAATGGTGTTTAATATTTTAGATCATTTTCTTAAATTATCGAATAAAATGTTTAACGTAAACAAAGTATTGTAAAACGAAACTTTTCCTTGTTTTTATCGCTATAAATTTAATCGCAATGGAAGACACTTCGCACAAACTTACACTTAAGTTCCCACTGTAATCACTGATTGCCTTAGGATATAACTGACATGGTTCGACTATTGATCATAACAAGTGAATGCAATTGTTATAAAATGTAAAGTATAATGCGTTTCATCAAAGTTGGAATTATTGAAAAACTGCGAAATTTTTTTCTTCTTAGTGCTTGGTCACAATTTCCCATAGATGTCGCACAAATTCAAAAAAAGGGGCATGCAAAAACGTTTTCAAAAGATTTCCCCGAACGCAACATTGATTGAAATTTCCATTTAATTTATTAATCAAATTCCTTTTAATTAGTTCTACTTGAAACAAGCAATGAAATAATTTTACGAACTTCAAATAAAAATTAATGCTTATAATCTAAGAGGAAATAATTTTTTAAAAAGAGTATTTTTCTGAAGCTTTATCTTTTGTATACAAAACGTAATATTTTCATTTACCAATTGCAATTTGAAATTTTCTCGAGGTATCGTCAGAATTTTTTTATTCAACAGTATTTAAAAAGCTATTTTGTAAAGCAAATGTCTTGTGACTACGCTGAAAGCCTCTCGCCTTATGAGGATAAGGGTATTTTAGGAACAGCTGAAGTATTATCGTAAATAAATAATAAAAATTTAAATCTATTTTTAATATTTCTTCTTTAGATTTTTGAGCCTTCTGAAATTGTTCACAAGAAAGTTGAAGAGTTGGTCGATCTAATGTTAGCATCGAAGCATACAGTTGTTCATACTGGAGCTGGTATCTCTACTTCTATCGGCATTCCCGATTTTAGAGGACCAAATGGCGTGTGGACTTTAGAAAAGCAGGGAATTAAACCAAAAATTGATATCGATTTCAAAGAAGCCATTCCTTCAAAAACTCATAGAGCATTGAAACTTCTTGTTGAACGTGGATATATTCAGTTCATTATCAGTCAAAATATTGACGGTTTACACATGAGATCTGGTGTTAAAAGAGATAGTTTGGCAGAACTTCATGGGAATTTTTTCGTAAGTGAATGTCCTAAGTGCAAGAAAAGATTTGTCAGATCAACACCAAGTCCGACAGTGGGACAAAAACCTATTGGGGACACATGTCCAAATCAAATACGCAGTTGCCGTGGTAAAGTTATTGACACAATACTAGATTGGGAGGGCGACCTTCCCATTGATGACCTTCATTTAAGCGTTATGCATTCAACAATCGCAGATTTGAATATTGGACTCGGTTCCAGTTTTCAAATTATGCCAAGTGGTCGTTTGCCCTTGCGAAACTCAAAGTTTGGGGGTAAATTTGCTCTTGTAAATTTGCAACCAATAAAATTAGAATCTAAAGCCGATCTCATCATTCACACATATGTTGATGATGTTCTTGAACGAGTACTTAAGCGACTAGGGATTGAAGAGATTCCAGAATATGACGTTTCCATTGATCCCACAAAGAATCAAAACTGTGAAAGCTGGGATTTCCATCCACTTGTAATGAAAGAGGTGGACAAAATCTATAAAGCCCGAACAAGCAAGAAACAAAAATGTTTAAAATCCGAAGTAACAGAAAAGAAAAAAATAAAAAAGTTTAAAGATGCAAACGTTTAAACAAATTCCAACAATAAACTCATATTTTGACTTTATATTTTATACATTTAAGCATTTAGGTAATTATAGATCAATCTACTATCTGAACTTGTTCTAATTTTAACGTATGTTTTATTTCATAAAAATGTTCGAAAGTTTCGAAATAATGTAAAAACAAGTCGAAACACACACTAAGAAGGCCAAGACTTGTTCATATCGCCATGCACTTAGTTGCCCTGTCTGCTTGTCTTTATTCTTTGTGATGTTTCTCATTGTATCGCTTTACTGCTCATCGATGTTAATTAGTTATATCTGCTTATGTCTGTCCTTTTTGTTAGTTGTTGTTATGCTTCTCTGATTTTTTTTGGTAATTCTCTTTTTCTACTATAGTGCTCGGTATGAACAAGTCTTGGTGAAAACAACAAAAATATAAGTCGAAACGGGGCCAAGAGAAAAGAAAAATTATAAAAATTCTTTTTGCTAAAACTCGCGATAATCTTCCAGTTTTCTGTATCCTACTCTTATAAAAAGGTTCTTAAAGCGTGTTGGTTTCGAAACATTTTAAAAATTTGCTTTGAATATATTTAGAAACTTCCAAAAAAGGCATAAAAATTAAAGGCGAGTGTTTTTATTTCGAACACGGAAAAAAGTCAACAAAAAATCACCTGGTGAGTTTCTAAAATTATGAAAACCTTTATAATTAACAGAAGTACAAAAAGCATTCGACTATTTTGTTCATGTAAATAATCAGTTTCTTGATAATATGTCCCGATATTGTAAGGAATTCTTTTGATTAGAGTGAAATTCATTCGGTTTCTTTTTTTTAACATCGTGTTATTGAGACTCAATATAAATTTATATAAAGTAACTAATCAGATTCTCAATAGTTTGATTACCAATATTTATGCTAGTGCAATGCAATGCATCGAAATTATATGCTCATGTAATAGTGTCAATAATTATCTTCATTTTCAAGCATATATCCTGATGATACCAATACATCAACAAGTTCTCATAAAATAATCACATAATGAGTAAGCATCACCATCATTTGGCCCAATCAGGGAATTTTTACTCATCATCAAAGAAATCACATCCAGATAATCATGAAAACAGCCTGATGATGTCTTCACATCATGGATCAAATGGATTACGAACGAACGGCATATTCAATGGAGATATCGACTCTAATGACTCCAATAATAATTACAATAAGCATCATAATCATCATAAAAGATCAGCTGTATGTAGTGGAGTTAGCGTAGGAGAAGGTAGCAGTTCAAAACGTACAAAAATGAGTGTGCCAACTGATAAAATTACAAAAATTGACACAGCGAATGATGGTAAAACACAAAATCATTATAATATTATGGACAAGCTGAAGGAACTCTATAAAGAATTAAAAAACGACAAAAGTTGTAAAGAAGTAATTATAAAATTACATAAAAATATTCAGTTAGTATAGGAAATTATAATTAATGTACAATTTAATCTCAATTTCCAGCTTAATCTTTCTCCTTCGTCATTTCTACTTGATAAACTGGTCACGCGTGAACGCCTTCACACATTAATAATCAATTTATATCCAGGAAATAAAGGATATTCTCTCGCTTATCGACCAGCAACCTCTACACCAACGACTTCTAATAATCAAAGAAATCATCAACATTATTATCATCCTAATCATAATCCACCTGGTGAAAATCTTCAGGAGACACCAAGTTGGCTTTATGATAATGCACATCTCTTAGACGCTCTGGATTCCGAAGAACTGCCTCCGCTGATCATAGACTTCTGCAATGTTCACTGCCCACATTTGTATTACAATGGAGCTGTGATTGCACAAATACGGGATTATCGTCAGAGTTATCCATTGGACATCTGTGATATTCACTATGTATTGCTTCGTCCAACAACAACAGCATTGTGGGATGAAATGAATGGTGTAGTTGACACGAGTTGGTCAGTAAAAGAGCGAACTGCTTTTGAGTCGCAATTAATACTTGCAACGGCTCCTCCAATTTGTCTGGATCCTTCGCCATCGATAGGGATTGCTGCAATAAATGCGACAAGAGAACGAGCACCTCTAGCAATAGAAGGTGTTAGACAAACTGCTAAACGTTTCCTCCAAGTAACTAAAAATAGGAATAATAAATTAGAGAAAAAGACGCATTATCATCAGACTGCACTTGCTTCACATCTCGCTATTGAAAGACGTGGCTTGAAACGTGAAACAGCAAAACATATTTACGTACCGGAACTTAAGGAACCTCATCATCTTGATGGTGTTGAAACTGTTATGTTAAGAAGCCTTCCGGCTATTCCGCCTTCACGAGGTTTGGACTGGCAACCGAAAAATACTGAACGACTAACGTTTGAAACGGATCGTGATAACTGTCAATATCGTGTTCGTGTAGAATTATTTGAAAGAGCAACAAGTTGTGAAGTAACAGGACAATTGACATTAGAGAGACAGAAAGTCGGACAATCAAGTGGTCGAATGTGTCCTTTCAAACTATCATCACCGCTTGCTGCTCGAAGATATGTTAAAGAATTTATGGGCATTTTCACTGAAGAAGGAAGAAAGTTTGTTAAAATTACCCACGAGAGAGAAACAAGAGCAGGAAGGGAGGTGATGGAAATGCAAACTGGTGAAAAAGCTCAAACAGCAACAAAAGTTCAAACTCTTCCATCAGGAATCCAAACTCTTCCTTCGCCGCCTCCTGCTCTCGTAGCAACTGCCCCACTGAAATTAACAGCCCCACAAAGGATTATTTCAACGACACGACCTTCTCCAACTCAACAGGTTGTTGTTCTGGCTCAAGTAAAACAAGAATCTTCAGGAAATCAAGTGATAAAGAATCTCCTTAATCAGCCGAGAGCACCGATGACACAAACTATGGTGAATGGAAATCCTGAAGGCCTTCAAACTGTCTACTTACAAGTCGACCAATCAAACTTAATTCATATGGGTAGCACTATGCCCGCTAATCTTCAGGTAAATTTTAAAACAATGTCATACTTATTATATACATAGGTATAATTCCATGAGCTGAGAATCAATTTTTTTTTCTCTTTAATTAGTTTCAACAACTAATTGCAACTCCCGTGACACAAGCATCAACATATACTATGAATGTACCGGTACAAGGTGCAACACCACAGCAAGTCACTGTTGTAAAACGTCAACGTGATATGTAAATTAGCCAGTTTGAACATGAAAAAGTGCTTTCAAAAACAAAAGGTGATGTTACCTACATCTTGTGAAAGAGAAACAAATTTAATTGTTTTATTTTCTTATTTTTTTAAAATATTTTCACAGACTTAAGAAACGAGACATAATAGGAGTTTTCTCTGATGAGTTTTTGTCCTTGAGTTCTGTATGAATAAATATGTATATAGGAAAAAAGATGTTTTCATTTGCTTTTTAGTTATAAAAAAATGATGTTTGTCTTTCATAAATTCTCCATCTTTTGATCTGTGGATAATTAGAACTAAGGTTTCTTATCCCAATTATCAGAAGAATCTTAAAAATGTATTTGATTGAAATAGATTAATTCAAATTGCATAGTTTCAATATTTGACTAGATTTTACAAATGAAGGCAATAAAAGTGCATTAAAGATTTATTTAGTCTCAAAATATTTATTAACTTCATACTTATTAGATTTTCTTCAATTCTCATAATTTTTTCACAGTTTTGTTTTCATTAAGAAGATTTTTTGTTGCCAATTTCCCATGAAATCATCTACGAAGAATTTCTTTGAAATAAAACTCTGAAATATTTAAATTAACATAATTGTTTTTCATTTTGTAATGTGAAAGTGACAGATTAGTTTTAAATTTTATGAAATTTAGCAAATATTTCCGAAATTAACATAGAATGGAAACAGTAAGCTTATGCTTATTAAGCAGCTCCATTAATAAACAGGTGATTCAATGAAATTAGTTATCTAAGAAAGATTTTAAATTATTTTTCACTAGTTGATTCACTTATTGATAATAGTTGATAATAATTGTAACTATCACTTTATCAAACTCCCATTAGTTTTTTCCCAAAGAAAGGAAAAATTTCAGGAGATAAACAAGAAACTTAAAAAAAATTAAAAAATCTTTATGGATGTTTTTTCTTGAATCCAGTCGAGATATTTTGAAACTCTTGTGAAGACTGCTGGATGGCCAAGAGTACATCCTATCCGTGCTCCATACGAAACGACACCAACAAGAACTTTTCTGCCATTCAAGTCAACTGTTAATCCACCGCCAGAATCTCCTTGACATGATGATTTTCCACCTAAGTTTCGATTAATGATATGTAATTAATGCTTTTCTGCATTTAAATTTTAATCTCTAATCTTACCAGCAGTATCTAAGCAAATGTTTGTATATAAAACATTTGCTTTTCCAAAAACCTTTTCACAATTCTCATTCGGTACGATTGGACTTAAAACCCATCTAAGAAATTGAGATGGACCTGAAGTGTCGGTATACCTTCCGAATCCAGCAACCGTTGCCGATTTTCCATCGAGCAAAATATTTGCTTCTGATCTAGTAGGGAGACTAACAATTCCAACGTTTGGATCACTTTTAATTGTAGTTGATAAGCGAATCAAAGCAATGTCGTTGACCAAATTTGATGACGCAAAATTCTCATGTATAATCATATCTGTTTGACTTTCTACATCTAAACCCCAAACAGCCGGACCATTAATGCGATCAATTATTCCAACATAAATTGAAACACTAGCAATTTCCTCTAAACAATGTGCAGCCTAGAGGTAAAAATTTAATTTGTGAGAAGTGAAATAAATTCAAAACTATCAAATAAGTTGAAATTAACTGTTAAAATCCAATTATGACTAATAATTGATCCTCCACAGACAAAATCATCTCCATTGCTATCGGTCGTCAGAATAAGTGCTTGATGTGGAAATTGGCCTAATTTAGCAAACTCTCCTCCAGCTATTCTGCTTCCACGATAAATTTTTGGTAGGAAATAATATTCTGGAAAAATGTTATTCAAAACATGTTGGTTTTTGGGTGATTGAAGAGGTGAAGTGACTTTCTTTCCTTGTTTTGAATTGAAATCTGCAGCACTTGCAGTCAGCACTATAAAACTTAATAAAGCAATTTTCATTTTATTTTGCTCGAATATCTGATTAGGTCAAACTGAAAATAAGTTAGTACAAGAGAGAAAGACTTTAAATACTTAAATGGAAAATTAATACCTTATCGGACATTTTTATCAACGAAGTAGATATCGAAGTTTTCTATGTGTTTTATCAGAGAATCTTTTGTTAAAACTTTTTAATCAGATAATAAATCACTCACAATCCCACAACTCACAACTTCTTTACCAAATGTTGTTTTTATACAGAGCTTAAACCGTGAGTCACCAAATGATTGGAAAAGTAGGTAATTACACGATAGTGATTGTGAAACTACTTAATCAATTTCTCAAATAATTCTTGAAATCAGAATGCGAAATTTACCAAATGAATGCAACTGATATGATAAAAAATGTAGTTTAGATTCACGAATCCTTTAAATAATATCAATAAACAGACCATACTTTGAAATTAAATTTTTACTAGATGCATTCGCTAAATAAATTGAAAAAATAATACCCTTGGAAACATTTTTGCTTTTGGAAGTTTGCTTTAATATTAAAATTTTCTAGATTTATAATTAAGAATATTTTAAATCTGTATTAAAGAGAGATTAGAGTCAACTTGACACTTGGGAAACTTACTTTTTATAACGACAAAAACGGTCAATCAATATCTAACGAATCGTTCGTCTCATCTAATCTTTTAAAAGTAAGTGTGCCTTTGAAATGAGAGAATCTTCAGTTCGAATCAATATATTCTTGTTGTTATAGGATATCTTTGATAACATTATGGTACTGTTTTTGATGATGCTTTATAAATAAGTTAAATACTTTTTATATTACTCAACATTATGGAAGAATTTTCATATTTTCAATGATTTAAAGGTCTATACATTGTGGTCGAATAGCTCATATATTAGAAAAATTTCTGGATGAGGCAACAATATTATTTAAAGTATGCAAATTATTCCCTTGGCAGAGAAAAGCATTTTACATCATCTTAGTGATAAATATTGATAATTAGCTTCATATTTCAAAAAATATTATGACGGTAATATCATATTAAATGTATTATATACGTTGATATGTCTCAACGATAATATTAAAAAGCACTTTATTTGAGAAAAATTTATTTTTGTAGGGCTTATCTACTTATATAAGTGTAATTAATGAGAGATAGTTAAATACTTATCCCAGTATTAATATAACTTATTAACATTTATTAATAGATCAAAAATATCTCAGAATAAAAATATCTTTCGTTTATACAATATCTACATTCCAATGTCACAATTTTACAATTAAAATTCAATCACCGAATTGCTTGTGACATATGTAGAGGATTTTGCATCAATTCCAAATTAGCATTATTTAAGTTTGTTCCTCTGAGATTAGCTTCTTGTAAATCACTACCACTGAGATCTGCTCTTTCCAGGTCAGCCCCAGCAAGTATCGCTGAACGTAAAATACAATTTTTCAAATTTGCTCCTTTAAGACTCGCAACTCTTAAGTTGACACAAGGAGCATTGCTGTTCTCCAAATTTGCCCCTTTTAAATTACATCCTTCCAAATTTGATCTTACTCCACTTGGATCTTCAAAGTTACAGTTTGATAATATTGCACCCTCCATATTTGCACAAAGCCCTTTGATCCCCAAAAGCTGTGCATTATCCATAAAAGCATAGGACAAATCAGCGCGTTCCAAATTACAAAAACTGAGATTGCAATAGCTTAAATTGCAATAACTCAAATTAGCATATTTAAAATTTATGTTACGCAAATCAAGACGGCTTAAATTTGCGTTTTTCATATTAACACCCTGCGAAGAAAAAACTTAGTTCATAAATTACCTACATTGACAATACAGAAAGGAAATTCATTTGATCTTTACCTGAAATCTCAATTCGCACTTATAAGATGTCTGGGTCAAAGCTCTTACAACGTCTTGTCTTGTAAGTGGCGCATTATCATCAATCCCATGGTTTGAACGGTCAGCAAGCTGTTGTAACCGAACGATCATTTCTTGAATATTGAAAAATTTTGCTTCTTCTAGAAGACCATTGATATTCAAGTTAGATTCATATATTAGTTCTCCAGTTCGAAGATAATTTAATATCGCTTCAAAATATCTCCCGTTTCGATCAATCAAGTAGCAACCATTGTCATCTAACTTTCCAGGACTCATAAATTCACTATCTTGAGAAAACATTTTAGCAAGCATTGAGTTTTCATCTTTCATTAATGTTGTCTTTGTTGTTTGATATATCACTCCTCCAATATTCAGTTTCACCCAAGAAGAGGTGGCATCGAAGTTCATTATTGCTCAAATAAAATTATTGTAATTGTGATAGATTTATGTTTATATAAATTGGGATATTTGGTGCATAACAATATGAGAACTTGAAAATTTAGAGTGTAGTTTCTTAGAGGAATGTTCCATGTTTTATGTTACAGTTTTATTGTTAATTCTCATAGTACTACAACCACTTCTAACGTAAGTTTTTGCGTACGAAATATTCATTCGTAGTACGAAATTTTATTAAAAAAAAAAGTCACGACTTTTGAACTTTTCTGGAATTTTTTCAATTCAAAGAAATTCAAAGAAAATTTACAAAATTTTAAACGTTATTGGATACCCCTGCTATTATCCAAAGTGGCAAGGGATAACAAATATTCTGAAAGTGACTAAGATAAAATTTTATATATCATTAACAAAATCCACTTTTAAAGATAGGTATCTCTTCGAAAACCATCATTGTTTAATTCAAATAAATATTTGGAGAACTAGATTATTTAAAATAATTGATATATTTTTCTAATTCCGGAAGACTGTGATCATATCGTGATTTTCTTTCAATATACTTATTGTTGGCAGGACCTTTATGTTTAATTTTTTCCATTTTTTAAAAAGAAAGGAATATCATGTAAAGGAATGTTTGTGGTAAATCATGTGAATAAACAGGAGACCTTTTGTTTAACCATTTTGAGAATGATTAAAAGTTACGTCTGTCGATAGTCGAAAAAACTTTACAGTTTGTATACCCCTAATTGAGAGAAAAGAAAAAATTGTGAAAATCGACCGAAAATTCCTTTTCCATCATTCTTTTAATTTTTTCTCTTCGAAATCTGCGTGATAAAGATAATCACCATTTTTATTCGATGCTCGAGTACGATGAGAACAGTCTCGCGATAAGATTCATCAAATCGGTCACATGCAGTTGGTGAAAATCAAAAAAGAAAATTTTAGGAGGTGAAGAGCATTTTGTCGATAAATTTTCCGTGTGTTCGTGGAAATTTATGCAAAAATCTTGTAGTTAAGTGTTAAACTGTGTGAAAATCAATAAGATCAAAGAATTTAGGGCGATCGAGTACTTAAGTTCGGAAAAAAAAATTCGTCATCAGATATACGGAGCATTGATTGTAGAGAAGGAAAAAAATCATTGAAAAGTGTTACAAAAGGGTCAATTAGGAAAAAAATTCATCCCCCTCAAAAGCAACAATAACAACAAAAGGAAGAGAAAATGGAGAATAAAACTCGATACCAGTTCGACCGACTGCCGATGGTGCTATTTTTAGCTTGTTTAGCCGTCACTGTTGTTGCAGGTAGTGTAGCTAAATGATCCTATCATGAAAAGAAAAATCATCATCCACACAGTTACAAGCGAATGAGTTTTTCCCGAGACTTTTCTTTTTTCCTCTCGATATTCTCAATGAGGAAGAAAATTTTATGTTTTTTTTACCATTTTATTTTCTGAGTTTTCCATTTCACTCTCCTTCTCTCTCACACACACTCTCTGATCACATAACTCTCGTCTCAGTTTCTCATTGATTTAAAAACGCACATTGCGATAGATAAATGAAGATTTTCCACAATTGAAAATAAAATCATTGTGTCTAGTATTTAGAAGGAAGTGAAAACGAGCGGAGAACAAAGAAGTGCATTGATATTAAATGCTTCGCATAAATATGCAAAGCTTCGAATTATCATCTATTATAATATACAAAGTAGCAGTGCTTTTGATCAGCCCTACTGAAATATTTTGTTTATGATGATGGTATTCAATATTCATCAGCATAACATAATCGTACATGCATTGTGACGTAATAGTTTTTATTACTTGTTCTCAGAAAAATAATTGTTTTATAATGTTTCCGGTCGAAAAATTACAGAATGTCAACAAAAAAAGAAGAAGATATTCTGCTAACTTAAAGAAAACAAGCACACGTGGTGTTTTTTATTTATTTCATTTGTATGCCAAAACTTTCATTCAATCCTAGCTCTTTGTAAACGTTTTTCTTCATGATCTTTATATTTATTTGATGACACATTGATGTCACTGTCGCACTGCTGAATATTTACATTAGTCATTATCTCTGTCATGTCTACCCAGTTTACTGTGTTTCTTTAGAACATGTCTTGTGTTGTCTTTATTGTTACATGCACGTTATAATATTTAGAAGCACTAACACTCACAAATAAAGATGAAACAATTTGATTTTCATTTCTGTATCTGTATTTTGTTTTTTTGCTGCAAAGTAAAAATTTTCTACGGAATCTACTTAAACCATTCTAACGATCGTATCGAGTTGTTGAAAACGTCTTCAATCCTACTTAAAATATTAACATCATTTGTTTAAACATTCTTTTGTATTAACAACTTGATAATAATTTTGTTGTGTCAATCAAAGATTTCTTACTTACTTTTAAAAAATATAATTAATTAAACAAACATTTTATAACTTACACTAATTTTTCTTACGCAATCATCTGGATTTTTTTGAAATTACCTAAAACTTTGTTGATTAAAATCAGCATCTCGATCGATTAAGAAAGAACCAATCGACAATCTATATTCACCAATTTATTATGGCGATTCAAATGTTATGGAGGGTGAAAAGTTTTGGATTAGTTGCACAGCAGAACCACCAATAAGCTGGTATAAAGATGGGGAGCCTATTGAAGAACATTTTGCTCGTCATATAGACAAAGATAAATTTACTTTCACAACTCGAGATCATATGAGAGCAAATCTAAATGGGAAGATGGAATCTACTCTAACAGTTAGTCGAGCTGTTATTAGACATAAGGGAAAATATCAGTGCAATATAAACCATGACAACTCCTATTATTTACATGTTCATCCTGCAAGAGTAATAGTTGGAAATACATTTGAGGCAGACAATGATCATACTGATGATAGAATAAGTTTTGAGCCTTTTACAAAAGATAGAACAATGTCAACTACCATGTTGTCTTTTGCTGTCGATGAAGTGTTAACAGAGTCCTCAAATAATAATATCAAATCGGATATTGAGACAATTTTAGATGAAGCAGAAGAAAAATCCAGAGAAAAACTAGTCGAAGCATCGAGAGCTTTAAATGAATTGAATTATAACAGATATGATTCAACATCGCATCTTATATTAACTTCGACAACTTCGGCTTCCCCTGTTTTAAGCGTTACTCAAAGTATTCCTTTACCCTCAACTATTCGCAATTCTTCGCCGCACATGACTACGCATACAAGTGTTGTGGTTCATACAACTCGCGCGAAAGCCAGTGAGGTCGAAATTAAAGGCCATCATGCCAAGCAAGATCACGAAGGTTCGAAAAATAAAATGATTCGAAAGCAATTTTCTTTAGATTTTTATCGTTTCACTTCCCGCTGATTCCGTTTAGTTTGTCTGAGAATTATTATTTATTATCAGATCATTTACAGATATCTTATCAGATGTTCACCTAAATACATTTTTACTTATTCGATTAATAAGTCAAGTTAACATGTCCTCTTATAGTAAAAAACTCTTTTCAATCATCAGCAAAATTATAATTAGGTTTTTCTTATTAGGTCTTTTTCAAAATATTGTTGGCTTAATGTAATTTCGTTTTATTTATTTTTACCTTTGTTTAAATTAAATAGTAGTTTAAAGAGAATCTGTATTTACAATCTTTCAATCAAACGTTCATTTTTTGCTGTAAATACTTTACGTTACTGTTTCGAATAAGTGAGATTTTATGTACTTATAGCCACGTTAAGAACGGAAAAGTATACAATTACATTAATAGTGAAACAATATTTCCAGCTCTCACGATTGTTTTATTAGTAATCATATTTAGAGAAATTTCTGAGTCTAGAACATCTTAACGGTCAAGCTGAATTTGGAGAAAGCTTCAAAGGCCAGTTTAGAGCTAGAACTAGCTATTTGTAAAGTGTTTACTATTTTTAGACAGAAATAATTTTATTCCGAATGCCTGTGATCAAATTTATTTCTGTTTTTAATTTTGATAAGCTTTAATGTATCTATACAATTAAATAAACATATTTCGAAGAATTCCCCTCGAATTTAGTGAAATGTGTTTCGGTTCGTAAAAATCGGTTTAGACTAGTAAGGTAACAAATAAAATATTAAAGAAATACTATTTCCTACGCAAATACGCAAAACAGTTGTGCACTTCAATGTGGATTTTCTGTTCACATATCATATTACTAGATAGGTTTTTATTTACTATTAAGAAATATATTTGTATTCTTCAAACTTATATATTTCTGATGACTTAATTTAAATCTTCTTAAGAACCATTAACATATATGTATATGAATATTCTTTTATTATTATCTTATGTATCTACATAGATATATGATGTTATAAATATTATTGAATCGATCGAATAGCATCGTTGATAGATCCACTTGGTAGACATCATTGCTTCTTCAAAACTTTATTTTATTTTGTATTTATGAATGTAATAACACAAACATATAATAAACACATACACATAACCTGAGTTTAATTACTGTTCAGTTTGCAAGATTTTTTATCTCATTTGCTCCTCTGAATTCTATTTTCCATCCTTAACAAACCTCTACTAAGTAGAAACAATTTTTAAAATAAACTCTCGCTGTTATTTTTTAAAATTAACTTTTACACTGATTCTTCGTTTTAAACAGGAAAACTTACAACCGATAACAAGGATTACGGAGGCAGCAACCTCAGATCATTTAGAACAACAAAACCTTTGAAATTCCTGTGTAAAGCTGAAAACCTAGCAGAACAAAATAAAGTTGTGTGGTAAGAAATTTATAAGATTGCATTTGTAAATGCATTTAAACAAATAAATATTTTTTTAAACATTTAAACATAATCACAAAGGTCGAAATATGATAGCGATGAAAATAAGATAAACGTCAAAGATATAAAAAGTTTAGAGGGACGATACGAAATAAAAGCCAAAGACGGAACCTTCGTGATTAATCCATCGGAGATTGACGATGCCGGTAACTACACTTGTTCTTTAGACGAAGAAGAACATCTTTTCATTGCTTATGGTGAGTTCGTTATAGTACAATTGATGAAATTCTTTTTTGAATTAAATATTTTATAACAGAAACACTCTATGTTAAAACTCCCGATAACATTTATGTTGTTGAGGAAGAAAAAATCGATATTACGTGCATCGTTAGAGGAGCAAAATCAGTTTCATGGTTATACCGTAAGTTTCCGTTTGAAAATTTCATTTTGTTCATGATACTGAAAAAGGTAGTTATGCACAATTATTGGAATTGTTTTAAGGTCGCGAAAATGAAACAAAAGGAAAGAACGACGATGAGAAAAAAATAACTAGTAGCGGAGGGCGGTTTACCTTAACAAAATTTAATGAAGTTGAAGATGCTCGTCTTCAGATCGACAATGCTGTCGTTGCAGATCGAGGATTTTACACTTGCGTCGTAAGCAGTTTATATGATTCAGTTGCAACATCGGAAACTCACGTGCGAGTCAAAGACAAACTTGCTGCCTTGTGGCCATTCCTTGGAATTTGTGCTGAAGTTTTCGTTCTTTGTGCCATTATTCTCATTTATGAAAAAAGACGCAACAAGACAGATCTCGACGAGAGCGACACAGACCAAAGTCCTGATCAGTAAGTTCATTCAAATATCTTAATATTATTATTATTTTTAATTTTTACCACTTGGGATTTTCAAGCCCATCGCTCAATTAATTTTTTGTGAAAGTCTAACATAAATGTTTCAATTTTCAATTTTCCTTTATGTTAGACTTTAACAAAAAATTATTATTATTATTATTTTCATTACATTGCAATGCATTGCTTGGTTGAGTAAAGCCATATTATCTAACAATAATTTTCATTTACATAAATATAATAAAGCATTTGGGCAAGGGATCTGCTTCTATACATGATTACATATATATATAATATATAACTTTTAGATATAAATATGTCATAATATTTTCAAATCATTTGTGATTGTTTTAGGAAAAATGATCATCATAAGGACACAGACGTTCGTCATCGCAAATAAAGTGATCATAACGTTTTCTTTCGGGAACGAGGCTAAGCCGCCGTCGAACTTTAACTTCTTATCCTCTCGTGATTTCGATTTTAAATTTAAAGAAATAAAAAGTAAAAGGTAAAATCTAATCATGCGAAGCCTACGACCCACTTTTTGCAAATTTATCATGTTGAGAGTTTTTTCCGTTTTGTTAAACTTTAATCTCCGATCGCACTTTGTCTAGGATTGTTCATGAATTACGTTACATAAATTTTCTAAATTTTAACCCCTTAAGTCGAACTTTTTACGAGCGGTATGCGAAAAGTGTTAGAAGTACCAGACAAAAAGTAAGACCTATAATAACAGCAAATAACGCGCCCACCTTCACAATTGTTGCGTAATTTATGAACAGACCCCAATCCCCCTTTTCCTCAACTCCAAAATCCCCTCCCTTCTACCACCACACATATTTCGTATACATATTTTAAAATGCTATTAGAGTCTTCTCGTCTCATCCTTGATAGAAAATTTATCGAAATGATAGTTGCGCGGCTATAAACTTGATTTTTTGTTTGTTACCTTTTGCGAAATCAAAACCACAACAAAAAATGTTAAAGAATGATTGTAAAAAAAACACTTCTCTGACTCTTTTTGTTAACAACGCAAATTCATAAATAAAAATAAGAACACTTGCAGCAGAAATTCGAAAAAAAAGATAAAGAAAATTAAAGAAAAATATTAAGAATAAAAACCATGAGTTTGTTGATTCTAAAAAAAGTTATTTGAATAAAGATCAAGCAAAAGTTTAATAAAAAAAACAATTTTTAGGGATATTTAGATATGAATAAAGAATGTTAAGCAAATTATAAAATCTTCACTCATACTTTGAGCATGTCGAAGTAATAAACCAAAACTAAAAACATGATGAATTAATTGAAAATACAAGCTAATAAAAGTCATTTTTCGCCTCCTTAACTGATAAGGCTAGACACACAATATTTTAATTGAACATTTTTTCGTCTTGAGTTGTGAAGAAATATTTTTTATTATTATTGTTTTATGCTTTAGAAGCGTGTAAAAGTGAAGGAAGAATGGATACTTTTTTGACATTCTAGTGTCTTATTTCTCGATGTAAAGTACGATGAAATTAATAACATTTCATTTGAGATAAAAGATGAGGAAGATGGACAAAAGGAAATTGATAAAAATGAAGAGAAACTTTTCGTTGTAATAATTTAAATGATAAAAAGTTATGAAATGAAAGGAGAAAACTAATTAATAAAAAATCGTTAATTAAAACAAAGAGCCCATTCTTTTTTATTTTTAAGTTCCATATGTGTATTATACCTACTTATATTTTAAATAAACAAATTCTTTACAGAATTATAGATTAATTATGATAATTAAGAAGATCCGATTCACTTTTGAATCTCTAAGATATTTAAATATGTATTATACTTTTATACTTAGTATCTCTGCTAAAAAAACAGCCGAGAAAAGTTCAAGCTATGCATATGCTTCAAATGTAAGTATCATTTGTTATTATTTACAATATCCTAAAATGTACCTATATCTAAGTATTAAAATTCAAACAAAAATCTTGTTGGATAGTAACTCGGTAAGTACCTAGTATCATTTCAAATTTTTAAATATGTGATTTATTGCTGATTTGATTTTATTTACAAATAGTAGCTAAATAAAATCCATTCAAGTATTTTTTATCTGGTGGATATTAATGACTAAACTGATATTGTGTTATTAATTTAGTCAGAAATATTTCAAGAAATATATGTAAACAATTTTATGTCCATCTTTCCAGTGAATTTTGTGAAAAAATATTTTATGAAATGGTTTTTCATCTTTTAACTTTATTTTAATAATCAGTATCCAGCTAATAAGGGCTCATTTTATAGTTAATATTATGATCGCAAGACTGCGCTTTCTCTGAAAAAATTGAAAACGGTTCAATAACGATACGGGTGACATCTAGCGACAGTTCAAAACATTTTTCGACTATAAGATCTACTGGGGGTAGATGTCTGAAAAATTAATTAACAACAGTCGAACTGAAACCTGTGGCGAAACTCATAGTCAAAAATTAAATATAAAAAATTCTTGTTTATGCATATAAATATTGCAGTTGCTCTTAAGACTAGATTAATACAAAAGATTAAAAATTCAATGTGAAATGAATTCATTCTTATAAAATAATCATAAATATATAAAAGATAAGGTGTTCAAAGCATTCATTAGACAGAAAAAAACATTCGAGTTTGAATCTTTTTGATTGTTTTTGTATTATTGTTTAACAATTACCTAAGTGTTCTAGGATTATCTTTCACTATAATTTATTTAAAGTACAATAAAGTAAATTCATTTGATTTCGGTTTAACAACGCGATGTATGAGGAATTGTAGAGAAAAGTGCAAGGAGGAAGAATAAAAACAATATCGAAGGTTGGAAGGTTCAAAATGTGTGTTGTGTACGTTTTTACCAAACATAAATATGTATGTGTGGATATAGTCAAATATCCGATAAAGAAATCTTACAAATACTAATAAGTGCACAATGGATCGACGTATTCTACACTATCCAACACATTTAAATTTTAAAAGTTAACATATTCGAACTCTTAACGGAAGCAGAAATAGCGGAGGAATGTTATGATAACAATTGCTGTTTTAAAAAAAGTCTTTTCAAAGCTGATTTAAAAGCCTTGAAAGCCCTGAACTAAAGCTTACGCAATCCAGTGACGTTTTTATAAGCTTTTGTATTCTAATGCGAACCTAAAATCGCTTTTAATTTTAATCAGGAGGTGGCTTCATGATAAGACTTGACTAAAAATAGTCTTTGCCTTTGATTTCAAACATTTCATATTTACTAGAGTCTAATTGGGGTGTTATAATACAGAATATAATATTTTATCAAAATGGAGGGACTGAATTCAAATTTCCCTGGCGGAAATGGAACAAATATGCTCCAACAGATGACCAACTTTAACAATGTACAAAACATATCGAACGTTTTAGTGCAACCTCCTAATAGTAGTAATATTAATAACAACAATAATGCGACATCCGAGCTTAATCCCAAACGTCAACCTGGGTTTGATAGACTCAAAAAACGGATGAACCTTTATCGGAAAAGACAAAATGAAAGTGTTCCTAGATTCGAACAGACTTTTAGTGGAATATGTGAGCAACAAAGCATCGAGACAAATGTACTTCAAAAAAGATTTATAGAGAGTAAAGCTAAACGAGTTGCAAAAAAGGCTGATAAAAAGCAGACAGATGTAGCGCAGGGATTAGTTGTGGTAAGAATTCTTTAAAAAGCATAAAAATTTCTTTTATTATAAATGTAACGTGTTAATTAACCAAATTTTAGACGCAAACAAAGAATCAAATTAAAAGACCAGCATTAGATGAACTTGAAAATGAAGGCGATGTTCTTCCTCCAGCAGCTAAAGTTGCTTCAACTGGCATGAACTCAATTGATAACATGAAGTTTCAAGTAGAAATTGTTCAACAGCTAGAGTTCACAACCTCTGTTGCTAATCTTCAGCCACAGCAAATAAGCACTAATGTTACTGTAAAGGCAATGACTAATGGAAATGTAAAATATGAACCACAAGAAAATAAGGTACAAAAGCACGAGTCCGGAAAAGTTTCGTCCTCATCATTGCCCCTTTCAACTTCCGATATACTTCAAGATTTCAAACAAGAACCTGATAATGAATTTGCTGATCTTGACTTTGGTGGCTTAGCTAACTTTATGGCAAACGATGAAAGTGAATTAAAGAAACTTTTCTCCAATATCAGTGAAGTATTTGATCAAGATTTGTTTGATCAAGACAAAATAAAACAAGAACCAATTTCAAACATTCCGCAGCAAAATGCAAGTCAAATAAATCATTTAAACCAACAGTTTAATCAATATGTGATGCCAGAATCATGTCACATGCAAAAGCCTATGGTACATCAGCTTCCACAGACACATCGTATGTATCAACCTCAGCAAGTCCAACAACCACAACAACAGCATCAACAACAACTTCCGGAAATGTCACCTGCGGCTCAAACTCTTAAGAACATGGCACAGCAGCATCAAGTAAAAAATTCTATAGCTATGAATAATATACACAGGCCACTTGGTCAACCATTAGCACAACAAATAAATCAACAGCATCAACAACAACAGCAACCAAATATGAATCAGAGATTGCTATATCAACAACAGCATCAGTCAAGACATCAACAACATCCACAGTTTAATGATTTAAACCCTCAGTTTCATAAAAACCATATGCATATGACATTTCCACCAGAAATTATCAAACAAGAGATGCTTATTCAGAATCAGCAGCCATCTCAAATTCCATCTCATCAAATGAAACCTCAAATCAATCATCAAATGATGATGCATCAGAATGGCGAAATAAAATTGAACCAACAATATCAGCAATATCAAAATACTCAATTTATAACGAACCATCAGACGCAGCCTCAACAAAGAAATGCATTCAATTCTAATCAACAAAGTACTATGAACATTCATATGAAGCAAAGTCAAATGATGCATATTCAACCGACAGTGAACACTGGTGGAAACATTAATAATATTCATATGCAAGGAGGTCAACATATGCATTTTGCAGGGGACATGAAGATCGCTGATAACACAAATTTTTCGATGCAGCAACAGCAAAGTATGTATTTTAATCATCATAACCATCAACAACCGTATGGAAATGTTCAGACTATGCAGAAAAGGCCTCAGCAACATCAAGCAATGGGTGCGGGTGAAGGTACATATTTTATTATTGTGATCATCCATAACAGAATCAACTTAAATTTTTATTTCAATTCTTCTTTCAGTTGCAACAAACACATATAACATGATGCAAAGTCAATCAATGACATTCACCCCATGAGATGCCATAATGAATCCCTCAGATTAGAGCAGTTATTATTATTTATAATTATTATAACTTTCATTACTTAAAGTTTTCATTCTTTTTACATTATTGTCTCGTTTCATTCATATCCTTATAATAATATAATGCAATTTGATCACGGGAGAATAATACAGTACTCTAAAAAGAATCGTTCTGAGGTACATTTGCCTTCAAAAATTTATAGCTGATCATGATTTATCATAACCTTGCACAGTTTTATATGAAAACAAATTGTTTGATAATTTCTGACTTTCTTTATTCGAGTTAATTTTATATGATTATTCAGAAAAGTAGTGATATTTATTAATCACTTATGCAGATACTTTCAATGAATTCCTGGAAAATTATTACAAAATTAGATATAAATTTAAATTTGTCTAACGAAGATGCTTGGCATGCATAAACCGTTGGAATTGTTTGTCTTTAAGAAACACAATAAAATCGATAGTTTTTTTATTTTTTCGATCCTCAAGAACGATCCTCGATGAAGAACGGTAAACGATCCTCAGAAATGAAAGTTGTAAGTGTTGTAAATATATGAATAATTGATCTGAGTCCCTCTCAATTGAATGCAATTTCATGTCCCATTTAAAATGAGCCAAAATGAAATGTGATATGCACACTTTTGCTGAAGAAATTTTGAATATTTTGTTTTAATCAAGATTACTTTTTATGCTTCGTCAACATATTAATACATAATGGAAAATGTTTAAACATTAAAATAAAAATTTGATATCAAACCGGAACAGACAATGATAAAAATGCTAGCTGAAATTCAGTAAATTAGTTTCAATTTTCTTCATTCTTTTTAAAAAGAGCAACTTTATATCACATGTAGCTGAAGATTTTATTAAAACTTAATTAAACAAAGGTACCATTACTCGTTATGGAGTAAAAAAGGAGAAAAAAAATTAGTTTTTAGGAAATATTTAGCTGTTAATGATATATCTAAATATTTATAAGTAAAGAAAATCTTTTTCATTAAACTTTGAAAATTTTGTCAAATTTATCTATTTATATTATAAAAATATGATCCAAAAAACATNAGAATATATGAAAAACAATTTTATAAAGTTATTGCGTCAAATGATTATAGAGGTATATGATATGCTCCTCTAATTTAAGTAAATATAAATTTATAAATTGTGCCAATACAGTAATGAATTATCTAATAGATTATTACATTTTCCTTTTGAATTTCCTATTTCTCGTGAGAATAAATTATATAGAATTCATAAAACTGGAAGAAGAAACGAATTAACAAAACTAGAAATTTATTTCAGTTTTATAAACAGCTTCAAAAACCTTCAAATTATCATGACGTAAAATTATGCTAACAGTACTGCTTGTGTAAGGACTATCAAGATGATCTCTTATCATTGCATTCTCAAAAAAAAAAAATTTAAAAAATCGGCAATATATCAATGCAGGCATCTAACATAACTTTCTGTGAATCGAAGAAATACTTTTTTCACTGGAGATCAAATTAATGTTACTCACTGCTGGCTTATTATGTCTAAAATGTTATGTAACGATTCCATACTTTTCTGTTTGGAAAGAATTAGGAAAGTACCAGATTTTTTTTTTCATTTCATATGTATTTTCATATTAGTTAAATAGTTATGAATTAATCAAAATAATTATGATCTCATCGCAATATTTGAAATGAAAATCTATTCAGCCTTTTCCATTTACCTCATTATTTTCAACATGCTTTCATTATTGCATTAGAAATTCTTTGCTTGTGAATGAACTGCAAAACAGCAAGTACGTAACAGTTTGCCTGGTAGTATAAGTAGGTAAATGTTAACATTCATCATGGTATAAGTAGGTGAAGTCAAGCACTGTTGTGACTTTTTTCGTTTTCGTGAATTAGAAAGTGAAAACGTTCGCCTCGCGCGGCATGGCATGAAATTTAAAATTTACGGTTTTATCTACTACGTATGTTGCACCGTTGCTGGTAAAAGAAGTTATGCAATGATCTTCAGTCAACCAGCATCTTGTTGGCACAGATATTGAACAAAAAAAACAAAGAGTGGAAATGAAGCTTCTCGATACTCTTCTTGAAAGAGTATTAAAATTTTGAAATATCAAAATAATATAAAAGCTATTCCTGTTTTGCGCTCTATAAGCCTATTTAATTTTTATCTCTCATAGGCAACTCCTGGTAAATTAAGCATGCGTGGTTCATTCTTTGTACTCGTACTTGCATATCTTATCATCTGACATCATTGATAATGCTTTGCCAGACCTAAAAATTTCTTACTTACTATCTTACTTCGGTTGAGCTAATGCGTCAATTAATAGAAAAACTCCCGAGACTAAACTCGTGAAATTAGGTCAAATACATAGTAAAGTCATCATGCGTTTTCTCTCTTTCTCTATCTATCTCTTTTTCCCTCCTTCATTCTCTTGTGATGTGTTTGAATTTATTGCGTTTCTGGCGCGGTTTAATTTATCACATAGAAATGTGCGTTTAGCTGCTTCTGCATTTGTGACTTGTCTATGACTTTAAGCATTTTATAGCTTTTTTTTGGGAGAGAAGTAATAATACTGAAGCAGCAAAACAAACTTTATAAATTAGGTCAGTCACTCAAATTATGGAATAGTTTTTCGAGTTCGATTTTCTCTAGCGTCAGGAGAAAGTTTTTTTCAAATAAAATAAATAGAATTGAAATAAAGCAACGATGTATCCCATTTTTCAAGATTTTCTAATTTTGACAAAATTGTCACAGATTGGACATACATGTTTAAATGTCAGAGATTCGTTCGAATCAAGACGATTGATAGAACGAGCTAGCAAAAATGAATCGACACAACCAAGTTGATCAAGTCTTCATAAATTGATGATCTGATGATGCACATTTTATGTCTTTACGTTACCTAGGTGGGAGAAGAAAACAAATTTATACCTAATTTTGTAAACCGTGTGAAGAATATGATTTTAGTGGATTGTAAAACCACTAATCACAATTGATGTTTTATTTGAACTTATTTTTAAGCTGTAAATAAAACATATATGTTGCTTTAATATTTTATGAACCAAGACATGTCATAATATGAATATTCTAAAGTGGACAAGACATCGTTGAAATAAATTCCTGATAGATAGAGAAAGGATAATTTAAATTGATTTGTCTATCCGTATTCGAACCATTTACTCTTTTATAAATTATATAGTTCACCATCATCATCGTTATCATCAGAAATCGGTGACATATTATCGTGATTGCAATTTGTGGATGAGTGTAAGCTTACACCAAAGATTGATGCTCCCTATGCAAAACAGAACATTAAGAATTCTTAATGCAAGGCCATTTTTGTGAAAATGAATAATTTGCAATTTAAAGGACCACGTTAAAACAATTTGTATCCCGTCATTGCAAACAACGTGCTTAGTTCGTTAGAATATTTGAATGTATAAATTGTTATTGAGTATGCTATTTTTTACAGATGCCACATATTGCGAAACCGTAAGATTTTTCTATAAGGTTTTGGTTATGTAGTATTATATAAGGTACATATGTACTCGTTTGATTTATCAAGTTATCTTTAAAAAAATAAACAAAAGAAAAACCATTAGAAGTCAAATCAGAATTTCAGTTTATGTCCAAAAGTTTTTTGTTTGACGCATCACTTTGTTTCTCTTTGTTTGGAATAAATCATCATCGTTATTAAAAAAGAATTTTTAAAAGATCGAAACTTAAATGCAAATTGTGGGAAATTTGTCTATTAGCAAAAACATCTTATGATATGAAGTAAGATAAGTACAGTCGATATCTGTCAAGTCTCTCCTGGCTTCTACTGTGACTCCCGTTAAAAGTAAAATATTAAAAAAGGCAAAAGGAAAAATAAAACAGAGAATAGAAAATAAAATTATATCAAAAAAATTTCACCCAATCTCTGAAATAATTATAAAATTATATTAAACTTACATACTTGATTATATAGAGTTTAATGAAACGTTTTATATTTTTATTTAACTCAACAATCCTTAACATCAAAAGTCCTTTTATTCCATTAATTTTATTTATTAAAACGTTGCCTTACTCTTTTTACTGTTCTGTTTCATTTCCACGTCACACCTGAATCGATCTTATACGTACAAATTTTTTGTTTTAAATTTTCCCCTCTAAACATGCCTGTTCACGTGCGAATCTTATGAATAATTTCATCTTATCCATTTATGAATTATAAAATGAAAAACAATTTTCTGTAAATTTTTTGACAATAAGATGCGCGAACAACAAAACAAATATTTTTCTTCTTAGCAATTTCAAAATTTAGGAAAATATACAGTTTTGGAAGGGTATTAAGATTCTCTATTTTCATGCTTTGTTTTTAATTAATTGAATTTGTTGCTTTCTGAACTCTCTCTGCAATAAAGCTCGTTTTGTTGAAAAAATTAATTATGACTGAGATACCTATATTAAAAACAGTAAAATTACAATAAAGCTACGCAACATTATAATGTTTTTTCTTTTGATTGATATCTGTTAAAAATGTATAATGACAGAGACCCCCAAGTTTAATTCTGAAAAAAAAAAATTTTGTGGAATTTTATTGTAAATTCTTTTTTAATTTATCATCAATGAGTTCAATAGTAGAAGTAATGTCTTCATTAACTATTTATTGTGAAAATTTCAGTTCCTAAATATTTTCTACATTAACGTAAAATTCAAAGAACTAATCGGTAAGAATTATTAAGTCCTAAAATAAATTGTGCTCATTATAAAATTGGGCTCGAAAAATAAGAAAGCGATCAAATCATTAAATATTTATTTAATTTAATTAAAAATTGATTTTTTAAATTTAGACATTTTTTAAATATAAAAAGATGGGTTCATAAGCGAATGAAAACAATTTTAATTTTTACGATTGTCCAGCTTCACGTGATCACTTGTAAAAAAATAAAAAAAAAAGAAATTCTCATTTAGTTATAAACCATCTTTTCATTAATAGGTAACAAAATCAACAGACGTTAAATTTAAACATAAGTAAAACTTTAATATTAAATGTGCAAGATAAAAAAAAAAGATTTAAAGAACTTATAAAGCGACCGAATATTTCCAGAAATATTTGATTTTCAAGTAACATGCAACATGTTATTCTTACAAAAAGAAAGGCTTCTTTGGAGTGAGCATAATATTTTCATTGCCATTGCAAAACTGTATCAAAAAGAAATTTTATTTCAAATCTAGAGCTTTAAGTCTTTGGTTAAGTTCTTTCTTTATGTTATAAATCAGGAAAGCGATAAGTATTTTCAAAGACAAAGAAATCATAATAAAACTTTTCCTTAGAATTTGCAACTGATTAAAGTCACTAGTTTTCTTTTTATTTAGATATTCGCACAAAAAACCTATTCAACTTAAAGCTAAATATAATGCTCCGGACGGGTTGAGACGATTGGTTTCGCTTAAATTTCTCTAAATGAGCTTAGTACCTATAATAGAGCTAATGATCAATGATCTTCCGATCCAAAACATGTACTCAGTTTTACCCTGAACACTTAGAATGTTCTAATCAAATTATTGCTTTCCATATATTTTCTTTCCTAAGAATCTTTATAACCATTATGGAGAAGAGAATTTTGCATATTTTGCATGCCTTGATCACATTGCATATTCATCGAATTCAATTCGAGCGAAACAATCTGTTTTATTTCAGGATTGCTATGATTTGTCAAACGCATGAAGACCTGATTATATAAAAGAATTACATTTGTTTTCTCATCGTCGCTTCGTCTTAGATTCTCGTTTTCTTTTTGTAAATCTTTCAGCTTTTTTTCAACGTCATGAGCGCGCTTCTTCGCTTTTTCACGAGATTTCCTTACAGCAATGTTATTTCGCTCTCGACGACGACGATACTCATCCGTACCCTTGTCGAGATTTTTCATCGAGTGCTTGCGGCTGTGTACAAGGTTTTTGTTGAGCTTTTGGAAATTTGTTAAGTGAGCTAAAGATATGGATAAAAGAAAAAAAGAATGGAAAGACTAAAGTTACAAATTTACAAATGAAATTTAAGATAATTGAATAAAACACAAGAATTTGTTGGTTTTTCATTTTGTTTGTTATACTTAATACTAGTTTGTAAGAAACGAATGCATTGAAAGTCTACATTTCAAACCTGGAACATGTGGTTGGTGGTGAAGAACAGAAGCGGGTGTTAGAGCAGTAAATGTAGTTCCACTACTATTAACATTCGGAAATTGATAATTTCCATTCAAAAACTGTCCATTTGCTGTAAGTTGCTGCAGTCGCCTTAGCTCTATCGGATCGACAGGTTCTTCCTTAATGTTAGCTTCAGACGTAGATGCATCGTCGGTGTTGCCTGTAAGAAAAGCAACATGAAAATTTACTGCACATCAATGCAAGAAATTTAAAGGCATAAAATGCTACATTTTACGCAAAGTTTGAAGAAAACATTTTCACTTATTTCACAAATTTTAAGCTTATTTTTGTCGCACTTCATTTCACTTCAAAACAATTTACCGAGATTTACCGCGAAATAAAGGCAACTGACCTATCCCGACTTTAAAAAATCTTAAATACTTTTTTTACGGTGATTATTCGTTTAATATGCGAAAAGTTTTTGTCTGGAGCGGCTTCATTGACAGTATTTCCGGAATGTAAATAACTTTAAACAAAATATGTAGCATTGGCTTAAACTTAAGCGAGCGAGACAAACTGATCTGATAATAGAATAAAAAGAGAAATAGATATTCAGTTGAATTTCTTTAAACATAATTAAAATAATTGAAATGACTATCAGTCTGATAAATTTCCAATAAGTAATCGAATTAAATCAATTTATTTTTATGACGCATATGCTTAAATTCAACTTACATATAACCAGCTTCTCAATATTTGTTATACAAAAGTTATGCGATAGTTGCATCTTAAAATCGGATTATTAAATTAGATTAATTTTTTGTGTCATGTGATGTAATACGAGTTGGTTGTTTGATTGTTTATCAAATCATTTTAACTCTTCATAATTAGTTTAGTTTCATCTCTTGTAAACCTCAGTACTACTTTCCGAAATACGAATAAAGCCTGATTCGAGTAAAGAAATAGGTCATTTCAAGCTCTATTCGTTTGAGTAGCGAATCCTATGAGGAAAAATTTCCTTTATGATTCATCCAAAAGTCTTTCACATTATACAAGGTGATGTTTCTTTTTTCTTTTTTTTTTTTGAAGTAATATATTTATGAACTAAAGAAATTTAAATTTTTACATTCATTTAAACTAACCTGTAACACATCCGGGCATGTAGGCAAGTGCATTTCCCGGATTTTGTCGATGTTGAAACCTTGCTTGTTGGAGTGCTTTAGCTGCTTCAGATTGCACTAATCCATTAACATTTACACCATTAACTACGCCATTTACACCGTTTACAACGGCTGGTACTACTTTGTTAAAGAACGCAAACTGTTCTTGTTCACTTCGAAACTGATCGTCAATAAAGTTTGCCAAATCAAGAGAAATCTCAGGGTTTGTAAGTTCTTCGAGATCGTTTTGTGAATATTGCTGTGCAACGTGTTGAATTTGTTGCTGTTGTTGTTGAAGAACTTGTTGAGGATGATGTTGAATTTGCTTTTGTAGGAGGGCAGCGCTATTTGTTAGCCCATTGATATGATCGTTCTTTAAATTTTGGTTAATTGTGATTGGATTGTTGTTGTTATTATTTTGATTATTGGTATTATTTTGACCATTAGACTTCGTCTGTTGTCCAGTCATTTGTATGTTGTTTTGATTATTGTCGTACATCTGAGGTGATTCCATGGCTTTCGAATTAAATTGAAATATTCCAGTGAAAGCCAAATTCTAAATCTTCACGATTTTAAATATATAATTAAGTGCTTCACTTTCAAAACCACAATATCCCTGCTTTTTTAGGTATTTTTTCTGCCAATTATAACTGTGACTTTTTATTTACTTTTTGACTCGGATAGTTTCACTTTTATGTGTCACCCAAAAAATTTTTTTCTCGTCTTTTCAATTTGTTTTTTTTTCTTCTTCTTTTTTAATTTTTCATGATTTTAAGACTTTTCTTTTTTATATTCTAGTAAAGATTTTTGTCTTGAAAATTTTATTTCACGAGTTCTGATCTTTTTCTTTTCATTTTGATATTCCATATATTTTTTCCGTATATTGTAGGAGAATTAAGAAATGTTTTCTTTTGTATATTACACTATTTGTTCAATTTATTAATTTTGTTACAAGCGACCACTTTTCTTCGGTATTCCTCGTTCAACAGTTGTTAACAAATTGTTTTGAAAATAATATATTGCGATAGTTTTTACTTTCGTTTGCCTGTTGCACATTTTGAGAGCTCGCTGTGCGAGCGAACTGTTTTTTTTTTGGGGCTTTCGAGAGAAAAGATTAGCGAGAGAAACAAAAGTAAACGTCGCGTTCATCGGCTCGTGTGAAAAATTATTCTTTTTTTCGATTTCGAGTGAGTTTCTTGGCTGTGTGTGGATATTTTTAATGACGTCGACGAGAGAGTTTACAGCCATTGAATTATGCAATCTTACTTATAACTCTTACTCATTTTTCTAAACGAACCATTCATTTCTCGAACGGTAGAAAAAAGTGAGAGTAAAACTTTTTGATACAAAAATGCATTTTCCATTTCTATTGTGAACAAACATTAAAAAGCCCGAGAAAAGCATGAAAAAGTTGTATTGGGTTTGGACTCTTGTCCTTTCCGTCAATTCACACGACTTCAAGGATAGAATAGATAAGCAACCTAACTCCCATCCTGAAAAGTCAGCAATGTTTATTTAACATACAATAAAACTTTCAAAACCTACATTTGAATGAAAAAATAGTCAGAAACTTTGACATGAAACATTTTTTTCAATAGGAAAAACCAGTTTCCATATACTTTTCTCGATAGGCAGAAAAACTTTTTTCATCTTAAAATTTTAAAAGAAAAAAGGTTTCTGTTATGTAGCATAACTAACATAAATAAGTGAATAAGCAGATGAATGAGAAATTCACGTTTGGATGCTTCAAAGAATTTTCTTCTATTAACCTTTTCATTGGATTTTGATCCACACTTAAATATTTATCGTTTTTATTATATTTTAAATACGTTTGAAGGAAATTTTATTGATCCTTAAAATAATATAAAAATTATTATAAATGGATAGTTACAAAACTTTCAAACATCAATTATAAATCATTTATTGTAATTATGAATTTTATTTTTTCTTTAAAAACACTTTTAGAAACCTTCGTCATTATAACTTTACATGCTAATAATCCTTTTGTTTGAATTTTAGGGCCATAAAACAGAAAAAAAGCTGTGAAGCAAAAATATGTATCATTGAAATTACGTCATGAAAAAACCGAAAAATTTAGAGAAAAAGCTGAATGAAAATAAAAACTATGCTCTTGCATAACATCCAACGAAGAGTGGTGGGAAAGAAAAAGAAAACAGCAAATAATGTTAATTATCTAAGAACCGATTAACCCACTTTTTTAGACGACGAGAGAAAGAAGTTTATTTTCTTTATATGAAATCATTGAATACATAGAGACACACAAGATGCAGTACTTTCAAAGCTTGATTTAATTTAAATGAAAATGAAACAAGTAGTGTCTGCCATAACTATCTTATTGTTGAATTATTTCTTGAACTGATATATCACCATTTCGGTTACTTTTTGAAAATGCATTTGTTTTTTTCAGAATTCATCATCGGTGTTTTTTTTTATTTATTATCTACTTCTTAATTTTAATTAACCTCAATAATACTTAATAAAAGCAAAAGGATTCGATCAGGAATAATAGTTTGTTCTTCAGTTATTTATTGTAAACGCTGACGCATATCTGGGGGAGCCAGAATAAACATTTCAAGTTCCATGTGGCTTAGCTGATGCATTAACTTCGAAATATGTGTGTGTGTGTGCGTGAAATCAGATTAAGAGTTTAATACAAAATCAGATTAAGATCTTAATCCAAATTTATCTTAACGGAAGAAAATTATAAACTAAATTAAAGACAATCAATGAATATAGCCAACGAAAATTTGTGCGACATGAAGAAGATCCTGGTTTTAATTTTTTGGTTGCAGGAATGTTATAAATGGTCACTTTAGGAAATGGTAGCCTGATAAATTTCTCGCGAGAAGATACTTTTTCCTGAATAGCACCAAAAATCTACACATTCTCATTAAAAAAACAATTAAAAAGGATTAAATATGAATTAATTTTTCAGTGAGTATGTACATATAATAAAGTAGATGTACAAAATAAGAATTATTCATTTACAACGTTATCAACTTCGAACAGCACGAATTTTCCATATTTTACATTTTTCTCGAATATTTAGTTCTCTTTCTTCTCATTAAAACTTAAAAGTCGTAATTTAACCAAAAACCGCGAAAAAACGTGAAATCTATCATTCCATTTGTTTCAACTACCTTACGATTGTTTATTAAGAGTTATAGGTTTGTACTCGGAACACGAATTGAAATTCTCAAGGACATAGTTAGTTGGCAGTTGTCATGCTATTCTGAATTTTTTTATGTATATTGAACATACTCTTTCATCTAATAGTTGTTGATAAGCCTTTAAGTAAAACTACTTAAAAATGTATTTTATATCCAAAATGTACGTTTTAAAATTAAATTTCAGATAATGATTTTATGCCCATATCCATATTTATTGTTAAATATTTTTCCCAATTATTGACACTTATTATTTTTGTGAATGATTTTCAGCAGTTTTAGAAATAACTAACTAATTAATAATTAAATAATTAACTACAAATAACTTGCATTTTCAAACTTTACAAAACATAGTAATAGAATTGAAATCTCTTAAGCCAACTAAATTCTCTTAGCGAAAATATAAAAATGTGATTGCAACTGACGATATCTATAATATGTATTTTTTTCTGATTCATTATCATAAGAATTATTGACTAGCCTTATGTGGAAGATTATTATTTATACTTTCTTTGGCAACCTGAAATTCTTAATTATCAAATAATTGTGTCATCATTGAATGTATATTGATAGCAGGTATGACACAAATAAATGTTGATAATAATCAGATGTTGAATATTACATAGTTGAAACATTTCCTTATAATTTTTTTCATGCCTTAATTTTTATGATAATGCTGCACAGTTTAACATAGTATATAAACATGTATATATCTTAGCACCCAATCCTAATCTTGATTCAATGGCTAATTATCAAGCAATTTTACATCGAAAATAAATAGGTTATCAACAAATTCTCTTATCGATAAGATATTTCTGTTTTAAACTTTGCTATTTGGAAGATCAAAATTGAATAAGGAAACACAGATAATCAGAAATTTAGCTATTTGGTAATATGTAGTTTTAAACTGCTTTATTATTTATAATGAACTCCATACAATGTTAATAAATAATGTTTTAAAGCTTTACCTGAAATCTGAAAAAAAATGTCATCTGATAATATTTTTGATAAGAAATATTTACGTAAACAAATAAATGGATTGATTTTGCATAAAATGGAAAACATTGTATGAAAAATGTTTATAAAATTTTTTATCTTTATAAATATCTTTTTGTTTTGTTGTAAATTGTAAACTGAACATTTCCAGCAAGAAACAATAAATTAATATTTTTCATTTGAACTGAAAAAAATCAAGTACGTCTTATAATTTATATGTCACTTACAAGAAGAAAATCGGTCGTCAACAAACAAAATATAGGTCAATGATGCGACTTAAAACCTGATAAGAATTCCTGACTTCCATAGACCGAATAAAGCGAACAACAGTGATCAACGATAAAACGCATTGTTTTTTTTAATAATTTTTCGTGTTGACCTTTAAATTTTCATTATTGATGCGTCATTTTAATATATCAGTAAATAATATTGCTGAAGAAAGCTTAAAACCATGTCAAATCAGACAGTAGGTTTGTATGTCGCGACGATGTCTATTTTGTTCATTATGTTATATAACATTCAAAGCCAAAGTCGAGTTATACATTTCAATGATCGTGTGAAGACTTTTTTTTAATTCGGTACTATGCTATAATCGTGTTTCCCTGAGACTGATTATTCAATTCCATACAATGTTGTCTCTTTTGCTATCTCTGTTCTTATCCAAACATAATTTTATCTAGTATTTTTTTATAAGCTCTGAGTTCTGTCTTATATAAGCTGTTTTATGCTTAAGTTAGCGAATTTTCAATATAAATAGTAATGTAATAGAAAATGACGAAAAGGCGAGCAACCCTATGTGCGCTTACCCCATACATGTTGATCTACTAATGGTATTAAAATAATTTGCATTCTTCGAGACTCTTAGATGTTAATTTAATAATGATAACGGTAAGCGATCTCATTTCTAGGTAACCAATGCAATGAGAGATTCCAGTGTTTTATTTGTTTAGTTAAATATATAATTATATGATATGAATATATATATATATTTGAAACTTTTGCAGTATTTCTGAGGAAGTTTTAAGAATTGGGACATTCCAACCCAATTCTTAAAACTTCCTTAGAAATACTGCAAAGCTTTCAAAAATTAATTGAAACTCATCAAAACAGTGTCGAAAAAAATCTATTAGGCTATCAAATGAGACCATAAATTACATTTGACCTATATTCTTTTTCCGAAACCTCTTAAAACAATCCGAATGTAAATGAGAGAACAGAAATTAGATTTTACAAAAACATAGATTTGGAGCTCCATTTATTTTGATGCGTTTGCATGTTGATCAAATGGAATAAACCAACTTTACTTAATGAAAAAGATGTGGTAGCCGATATTTTCGAAATTTAGGGTTGATCCTGTTTTAAAGTAGGAGAGATGGAATGATAAAACAATGTTAAAATATATTTCCTTATGTTCTAATTTAAACAAAAGAAAAATTAACATAATAGAAAGAAAAATATTAGACAAGATCCCCCAAAAAAAATTACTTCAACTACAAAAAAGCTGATTAATATGTATCACAAAATGTTAAAATTTTGTGTAAAGTCAAGAAAATTTCTAAACGATAAATCCCTGCGATCCTTTCCTTCAAAGTTATTTTAAATAAATTCCATTACAAGCTCCTTTATATTCAAAAATATTTATATGTAATTAGTAATGTTAGAAACAGATCGAAAGTGATCAAAGTCTATATTTTTTCTTCTGTATTATTTATTTTTTATAATTTTGGCCCAGTTTTAGGTGATACATATTTCTATGTTTCACATATTTTTATCTTTAGATATTCAGTTTCTTCTTCTCTCTAAATTAAGTTGAATAAAAAAATGCTTCGATATACGGCCCTTAAATGCCATATGTTCGTACAAATACATAGCTACGATTTCTTGGTGACTCAAACTTATACAAGAGCTGCATTTAAGAAAACATCGTAGAGAGAAATGCGGCAGAAAAAAATAAGAGAGTTCATTATGGAAATACATAGTGCGGGTTTTTTTCTTGAATGATAATAGATTTCAAGGGAGGGGAAAGGGCTAGAAGAGAAAAAGTAGGTCACCGTCTCATGTGAATATAAAAAGAAGTAATGAAAATTTAAAACAATGCATTAACTCAAGATGGTGGAAAAACGGAAGGTTCAGGAAACTAAGTTTTAGGTATATAAAATATTTTTGAATATTTATTGATCATTCCTAAAGTTTTTAAATATTGTTGATAACTAGAATATTAGACAAAATTTTCCGCATTAAATAAATAGTTGCTGTGGTTGCTTAATTTTTTTCCAGGTCAAGCTTATGTTATGATCTTACCATTTCAATAACTATGTACACAAATTATTCCAAAAAATTAAACAATCATCATATTATGAAAGCATAGCAAAATGTGCTTTAATTTGTTTTATTATGGACTAAATTTTTTCTTTTATATTATATCATAGGCAGCAATGTTGAACCTGATCTATTGGCATAGAAATTGTGTAATTTTATTGAAAAATTGTAGATAAATGTGTCTTAGTATTCATCATATAATTAGGAATTCTAAATTATTATAAATGATACAAACACAAATTAGCAAACAAGATAATATTAAATATTTAGAAAACATTATTGGTTTATAAAATATTAAC